GCGGTTATGCCCCAGTCCTCGCCCGACCCGAAGAGGGCAGCCATAAATTTGCTGTCGTCTCGGTAATCTGCGATACGGTGGAAGGGGGTGGGGTTGCTTGGGGGTTTTGTGCTACCTGTTATAACGATGAGTAGCCAAGTACTGGGAAACGAAATTGGGGGACGGTGGCTGACATGCGAAGGGTCCTCGTGCTGTTTTTAGCTTCTTCACCAACTTTGTGGTCAAAGATGGATGGGGGCCATCAATTGATCCACCATCCCAAGCCGAGAAGGTCCCAAGCAGGGTGGGTAGCACGCACCAACATGAAGCTTGTGCCCTTGGAATTCAGTCTGTGGAGGAAATGCAGGTTCGCCTCGTAACATCCAGTTACAATTGACGATTTGAGTTGGTGGTCTGGTCTTTTCTCACGCAAGGGAGGAACGAAGTCTGTGAGTCCCCGTCTTCCTCTTTCTTCCGTGAGACCAACGGGATTAGCCACTTGGGCGGCTGACTGCGCGACTATCAATGGAGGAAGGTGTCCATGATGGCTCGATCTGACTAAGATGTGCTAAACTAGCACCCAAGGCACTATGGTTCTGCGCACCAGTGAAAACGACCACGGCCTAATAAGTGAGCAGTTTTTGTGGCGTTTTCTGTCGCTCTTTGCCCAAGAGGGCATACGACTATCGTCCGGTAAAGTTTATGCCTGAATGACTATACCTCGACTGAAGGCGCAATCTTGTTTCGGTCTCGATTCTTGAGCGATGAGCCTTCCTCTTCCGTCCTAGAGCCACCCCGGCCTTCCAAAACTTGTTTTGCTGTGGAGTATCTATTACGTTGCATCCCCGGTCGTGCCTGGAGTTCGACATGCCGCCTTGCGGGAGAGAAGATTGAAGTGTTTGGGCCACTTCTGCCCAAATAACTAGCATTTTGGTGGCAGCTCCAGCTTTTGAATTGCGAACTGGTCCTAACATGTTCAGCATTTCTCGCTTTGCTGGCTCTGGTCTCCTCTTCATTCGCAAACCTTTCTCTCTCTCTCTCTTTTTCTGGGTTTGCTTTGGGGTTGCCAGTGAGTGCTGGGTTGACAAACAGCGACTCATCTATCCTCGAGAGGTTGCACTCGAAAGCACAGCCAACACCTTTGACGGCACTCAGGAGCCAGGGCCAGCCAGGGGCAAGAGGATTTCCCAGCTTGGGTGGGGTGGGTGCCCATGCTTCAAGGACCTTGCACGGCAGCTCCGATGGACTTGCCAAATCGAGGCAAAGCTCGACAGCACTGATTCTTCTCTCGCGTGGTTGAGGAGCATGGCTGAAGCGGAGTTCAAGCGTGTGCTTATACTCGGGCACGCAAGGTAGCATCAGCCCTGGAATTTTGACATTACTCCGTCACCCTTCTCGCCCATGTAATCAATCGCAATCTCCAAAAAGTTCTGGTGGAAACGCATTGCGAAGGATCCTGGCCATGGCCTCATGTTCCTTGCTGTTTTCACACCTTGTTCCTCATCTTCTTTGTGTGCCACTGGAGTCGTGCTCGCCTTCTTTCTTCGATCTCAAGTCCCTGCTCCTAAGGACGCCAACCATCTAGTGTTGTTGCCATGCTCCATTGTATCAATACTCTTCTCTCTAGTTCGAGGTACCTAGAGCGTGACAGCCACGACAGATGGGCATGAGAAACTCTTCTTGCAGCCACAACTGGACCCTGCGTGTTTCCCGCTCCCCACTGCAGTCGTTTGCCATAGTCCCGCTGTTCGGGAAGCCGATTGTTCAGGGGCAGGCTGGAATATCCCCACCGCATCTTCTGTTCCTGCGTATTGGGAAGCCTCGGGCAGAGTGCTGAAGAAGGCGGGTAATTTTGAGCCGAGCGAGTCTGCAGCTGGGGTTTCGTTGAAGAGCATGTCGGAAGAACGACGCGTCAGGGCTCTGGGTTTTGCAGTGTAAGGACGGGTGTGGGTGTGGCAAGTGTGGTAATCCTGTAAACGGGAGGAAGTACAAAGCAATACATGTCGACTGCTTGCTTCGCACACACAATTTCTCGCGCCTTCCCTGGCTCAAGAAAGTAGACATATTATTAGTGTATAAGCGTTCTTCGTAACACCCTCCTCCTTCTTCCCTTGTCGACACACAGATCACATTGGTCCAAGCTGGGGGAGGAAGAAAGAACGGAGCAAAGGAGAGAGAACGAGGTGCTCAACTTCAGACCGGGTGGGCCCTGGCTCTAACCTGGTCCCCTGCTCACGCTTCAGTGCACCCCCGGACAGCCTCCCCGGAAGCTCCAACGTCACACCAAGAACTGCGAGGTTGTGGGTCCCAGGGTTGCTGCACACTTGAATGTACTTGTATCGAACTTCGATACCTCGTCTGGGGTACAACCGTTTCCGCTTCCATCCACCCTTCGCTAGTGGGCTAACCAAGCATTTGAGCAAGTGCCCCGACTCCAAGCAACGAACAAAGGCGACATGGACGGTTTGGAGCCAAAGTATTTGTGGCTGTTCTTCCGTTTTGGCCGGATTCGATCAAGGGTAATATGCAGTAGAGCAGAGTGACTTTTGTACCACGGCGTTCCGGTAGGGTGCAGGTTGGAAAGGTACGAAACACTCCGTAATAATTGGACCCTGGCACGACCTGGCTAAGGGATTCTTTCTAGACCTTTTCGAAGGTACAGAGAGACGAATTGCAGGTTCGTGCAAGCTGGATACCCTTGGGTGTGGAGGGGAGCACCTCGCGACGACCGGCTCGCTTTCATTGAAGAAAAGGAACGCTCCCTGCTCTTCTTGGGCGCGATGCTTTACCTACCTTTTTCGTTTTCTTTCTATTCCGACCAAACCCAGATAATTGCACCTTTTTCTTTCATCCCTTCTGTTTCTTATCATCCCCTCATGCTCTTCTTTTCCTGCCTCTCCTTCTTTTTCCATTCGTCACGAGTGAGCACCCCGGCTTAATACCACCTAATACACCTAGGAAGCTCGAAAAGCTCCCGTCTCCCTTGCCGCCTGGTGCGTTTGTCTTAGATTCTTGTATTCGCCTCCTGTCGACGAACCCGACTCGCGCACCGCGCTTCGCGCTCTTCTTATCCAACCCCCGTCGCATGGGTCTGGAGCTTCTTATTTTCAAGATTATCGGCACGATCACGATCACGAACCGGCGTCGCGGCTGCTCAATAATAACGGAAGTACATCTGCCCTGAACGCGCACGAGATCACAGGCAAAGAGTCGACGCGAACAAGCTTGATTGCATATAGTGGATTATTCCATTTGGCCGCACTACTCGCCTGATTTGACGGCTCAAATCTCCAACTCGGTCTGCTAGGCTGAAAAAGAAGGCTCAATCACTTTACTTGTTTCTTTGCCTAAAAGAAAGGTGCAAGGTAAGGATTGCTTTCTCCTTTACTTTTCTTCCCTTGCCCGTTTACGGCAGAAGAACTGTTGTTTTTACCCTTTTCTCTCTCTCTTTCTCTCTCTACCTCTTCCTCTCTGGCGTCATGTCTGAAGAGGACGGCGCGTTAGTCGGGAGCTTTCTTTCTTTTGTCTTTTGTTTCTTGTCTCGGCCTTTTCTTCCTATATTCGGGGCCGACTAGTGTCGAGTATAATTGTCCACTGTGAATGATCGAACACGCTTGGTTTTATTAGCGTTGACCTTGCAGTGTGGGATTGATGTGTACAAGGAGGTGAACCTCAATTTCACGCCAGTTCAGTGGTCAGGCTCCTCTGTTGGCTTCCTTTTGGGGGCCAATTTTTCTTTTGCCCTGTGCTCGCACCCCCTTCTCCTTACTCTTTGCTTTTGGTTGGTTGTTGTGGAGTGTTGTTTTTGTACCAACAAACCAAACGCCCATCAAATCTTTTTTAACCCTTTTCACTACCTTGCTTTCCTTTACTCCATTCTCCATTCCTTACTTCAAGCAAACGAACGAGGGAAAAATCCGTTCCCTTTTTTGTCCTCGGCACATTTCATCAATCCTCATCATCCCTCGTTCTCGCATGTGCACACTCTTCGTCGACGATATTGCTGGGTCATCTCGATTTATTGTTTACCGGGGAGAAGCATCAAACTAACCCGCACCGCGCCTGCCAGAATTAACCGTGCGCTGCTTCTCAACTTGCAGGACCGAGTCATTGCGCACCTCTGTCCAACTCGACATTGAGACGAACCGCGACTCTGCGCGCTGCATTGACACAATCTTCAACGGCAACGGCAACACCTCTTGATCGAGACGTGACGACGAATACCATCTTTGGTCCTCGGCTCGTTGATCCACGATTGCCGACTCTTCACCTTTTCCGTTTTCATCTCAAATTATTTCCAACCCTTTTGCCCCGAGCCAAGATTCCTCTTGAAGTTGAAGTGGAAGGCGGTAAACGCTCCTCTGCTCTCTTCCAATCGACCATTCTGGTCCTCACGTCCTCTCGCATCCTCTCGCCGGTCTAGTAATCGCTCGATATTTTCCTGGCCTTGGTAGGTTTGTCCGCTCTTGCTTTGCTTTTCCCGACAAGCCCAATCTCTCCCACCGCTGTTTCCACCCGCTGCGCGCATTTGGACCTGCACCTGTGGAGCCCTCGCATTCCTTACGAACTCCTAAAAGGAATTAGAAAAGAACCCCTGCAGCCTCTCCATTTTGCCTCCCATGTGCTAATTCTTTTTACTCCCTCTAGGTACGATTGTCCGTTCCTGGCTGCGACTGCGAAAAGGTTTCGCTGTCGACTTCCAGACTCCCTGTCTCGCTTTTGATGAGAATGAAATCGCCAGCTCCTGCCGAAGTGATGGGTATCGATATGCTCGTCAACGCCAAGGGGGCGTCCTCAATCATCCCCATGTCATCTCCTCTATCCCCTCGCCCGATCACATCCAGCTGCCTCAGATCTCCCGACCCATGGATCCTCTCGACCGATCCGCCTCTCCTCATGGCTCGATACATTCCTCCCATTCCCGATACTCGACACCACGCCCGGGAGACCTTCACGATTCGCTGCCTAGGTCGTATCCTTCTCCTACCGCTATGCTTCAGGCCCAGGACCACCTCACACCAATGTCTCTGCCCAGTATGCCGCCCACAAGTGTCGCACCGCACTATCAGACCGAGTATAAGCCCTCTCCCGTTCTGCCAGGCACCTGGAACCAGTCTATCCAGCCGATGCCTACGCAACAGCCAGTCCCCCAGCCGCCTGTCAAGGCCTTCCCTGCAGCACATGCGGGAAAGGCTTCGCCCGTCGCAGCGATCTTGCACGTCACGGTAAGATGTTCTTCATATTCACTACCAATGGTCTCAACGAATTCTAATGTGTTTTTCCTTTGTCTTTTAGAGCGAATCCACACCGGTCATCGGCCCCATGTCTGTGACTTCCCAGAATGTGGCAAGCAATTCATCCAGCGATCCGCGCTGACGGTGCATTATCGCGTTCACACTGGCGAAAAGCCGCATATGTGTGAGCGATGCGGAAGGGTGAGTGTGGCTTCTTGTTTACTTTTATTTGTTATTCCAACTAACGCATGAGGACCAACAGACTTTCAGCGACAGCAGTTCTTTGGCTCGTCATCGTCGTACCCATTCCGGAAACCGCCCCTATAAATGCCCTTATGCCAATTGCCAAAAGACGTTCACTCGCCGTACTACTCTGACTCGGCATCAAAACCAGCACGTGGGCACGATAGAAGAGGCTGCTGCTGCGACTGCTGCCGCTCTTGCGTCTAGAAGCAATGGCCTTAAGTCGATCAAGGCTGAGGGTGACCAGCTTTCTGGCCACGGCTCGCCTGTCACTACACCATCCCCCGGCCATAGGAACTTGTCTATGTCGCCTAGTGCCCAACTGGACGGTGCTGGCCTTCAAAGACAGGACTTCCAACAATACGTGACTAACAGCTCTCTCCCGGCTCACATCAGGAGTGATATCCATATTGGTAGCCCTGCCTCCACGACCTCAACTGGCTACAACCCAATTCGGCCCACTTCACATCCCACAAGTTACCCACCTCCCACTCTGGAGCCTAATGTTGAGAACCACTCGGGCCCTGGCAGTGCTAATGGCAGCCCACACATGAGCAGCCTCGGATGGCAATCCCCACCCACTCTGGCTCACCATCTCAGAGCAGCGCGTTCATGTACCCCGATCCCGACTATCAAAACAGTAGCAATAACATGAACCAGTTCTACTACGCGCATTCGGGTCAGATTCGGAGGCCTCAGAGCACCGAGCCTAACCTAGTGTCCATCTCTTGATCCCAACAAAAGTTATGGCAATGATGAACTCGTCCATCTTGCAAAGAACATCTCTTTCTTCCTTGGTCGGAGATAGCCTCACAAGGCCTTGACAGAGGGAGACCAACATTCCATCTTCATGGGCTGGTCCCGAAGGCCTACCGCTTTTGGTGCAGCCCTATCTGGTTCAACAACTAATAATATCTGAATTAACAACCCACCGATACCCGCCCTATCTGTTTTCCTTTTTCTTCAGTCTCAACCTAGCAGGATCTTGGTTCTCGGTGGGCGCTTAAGCCTGCCCATGCTTACCACCCCCGAGCCCACACCATGGCCTGTCCCTCGCTCTCTTTTCCACTTTTAGTCCAGACCGGATACCTAATGACTTTCCTGCCTGGGTGAGAGCATACCCCGTCTCGCTCTTTTTTTTTTTTTTTTTTGTCAACCCTTCTCTATGTTCTAAGTGTTCCTCAACAATAATATCCCCCTTATGGTTTCTGGCTTTGGTTGGACACGTCAATGGCGTGGAATAGATGGAATTTGTGGCACTTTGATTTCCTTTCGTGGTCTGGCGATTCTTTCAATCCTTTTTGTTTTCTTTGAGCACGTTCATGTTTTGTCCTTTGACTACCAGGGCCACTGGCAACAATTTCCTTATTCTGCGCTTACAACCCTCTTGAACGCGTGCCCTACTCTTACATTTCCTTTCTTTTTCGGCATAGTAGATAGTAGACGAAGCGGTAAGGGGGTAGCCCGAGCTACGACGGAGATATCTTATGTGTGAAACGTTTTTTCTTCTTCATTACGCAATATAGATATTATTTTACTCACTCCAATTGTGATTGTTCTTTCGAAGGAAACTTGCCAACGTGAAGTTAAGTAGTGACTCGTATTAACTTTAGCCCCCGACGGTGTTTCCAAGCGGCTGACGTCTCTCGCCTGCAGGGTATATCACAGCTTGCGAAACAGTCGAGCGCTAGCACCATCGTAACCGTCTTGGAGAGAGAAGCATAATGTTACTCGGGGGCAAGAGCGAGTGATGCAAAGCTAGACTACTTAAGGAGTTATACTACGGAGCTGTGGAGTCGCCTCCAACCTGGAGGTCTAATAATACGCAAACACCAAGTAGACCGGGGGTGGTCGGACGAAGATGACGAAGAAAGAGCGAGAGAGAAAGAGGAAGAGAGAAAAAAAGAGAAAAAGGAAAGAAAGATAAGGAGACAAACCCCCACTAAAACCAAATACCTGTTGTGTTTTATCTGTCCATAAACGCCGTGCTATGCTCTTTTCTTTTAAAACATGGGATAAGATGAGGCACAGACTTGGCCACATTCCCTGCCACTCAAAATGACGACCTTCTGGGCTTTGCCCCATGGGCCTAGCCACCATCTGAAAACTGAAGAAGCAAAGCTGAGATATAGAAAACTATCAGGGGCAAAACCTGGAGCCCTTGGGCTCCCAGCACTAAACGGGCCCCTGAAAGGGATGCCAAGTGCTGGATGGACCTATCGCTTCGTAAGATGGCTAAAGTCTTTGAGTACGCCCTCCATGTGGGTGTTGGTGACCTTTCCAGGTCTTTTGGTCGTCCTCTTCTTCTGCTGCTTGGGCTTCCCAGTGACGAGTTTGCCGCCGGCAGTTGGGTCATCGCTCGTGGGCTTCTGTCCGACAGCCTGTAGCTTCCTCGGCAACTCCTCCGTTTTCGGGATAGGGACACGGAGCCACATATTCTTGAACTCGGAATCGATGTCGACCGAGAGGGAGGCATCGTCCAGGTACACATGCTTCGGGTTGTTCTCTTTCTTAGTGCGGATCACGAGAATCTTGTGTACCTTTTCGAGCTCAGCCAGAGTATTTTCGCAGTCGGCCCAACCGTCTTTGAGATCCTTGACGGCGACACCAGAGGCGTCCTTGCGGTTCTGGAGAAATCGGAGGAGAGACGTCTTGTCCTTGACACCCGGGATAATGGGGCGATAGGTATATTTGCCGACGTTCCATTTCTGCTCCGTCACGTCGGGGTTGGGGATGAACTCGACACGCGGATGGCGCCGAATCATCTCTGTAAAGGTCTCCTTATACTGGTCGTTGTGCTTCATCAGACTCAAGTGGCCGAGGATGTCGTCCAGAGTCTTGGGCTCGTTCTTCTCGCGCAGGTACGTCAGCGCGAAATGCATTTGGGTTCCGATCTGGTCGCCAAAGTTGACGTTCTCGGGCTGCGAGTAGACAATGTCCTGGCGCTTGCGCTTGCCCGGGGGCGTGCCCGTCGTGGCCGCCGCGTCATTGCGGGACGTGGTTGAGCCGATCGAGGGAGAGGGCGAGGCGGGGGCTCGTGGAATCGTCTTCTTGGTCTGGATCTTGGAGGCTGCGGAGGATAGGGCGCCTTTGAAGGCCGCCCGCTGGCTCTCCAAGTACGACGACATTGTTGTGTCACCCTTCCTGGTGGGCCAGCAGCAGGATCGAACGGGTTCCGCGGGATCGGTTGGAAGCGTACTGAGCTGGAACCGGCAGGGAAGGCCACTACTAGCGAAAGCGACGGCGACGGCGAGAATTGACTGGCTTGGAAGACGTTGATGACGATGGCAAGAGTTCTCGATTCAAGAGAAGGGTTTTCGAAGGGTCAAGGGGCTGTTTGAGGTTTGCCTAGCACAGGAATGGCCGCCGCTTGAACATCCGTAATCTGTCTGACACACTGACCCGTCAATGAAATGGACAAACGTGCTCGAGCTCCCATGATCCAATTCCGTCCAAATGCGCGTCTCACGTGACCTGGATATTCGGGAATTGGCATAATAATAGCTTGGTTCTAATTGAGGCAGGCCCATGTGACAGGCAGCTGAGATGCCCAGACCCCTGGGCTGTCGCCAGCTGCGCTCTCAGGAACCAGATCAACAAATTGATCGATCTCTGGATGGAAAGATCCGAGTCAGCTCCCCAATGACATGGGGCGCGAACCAGGGTTCGTGAAGAAAGGGGTCAAATTTTTTTGTTTTTGCGCGATCGCTCGCGACTGATCCGTTGACGCCTAGTAATCTGGTCTGGGCAACTCAATGGATTGGCGAAAAGCTGCGACCCAAGAGGGATTCACGATCAGGAAACAGCACTTCCAAGGGGAATGGTTGCTGAAGAAGTACATGGGCGCCTATGGTGGATGAACCCTCCATTTTGGATGGTTATAGTTCCGATCTCCCCTCTGCAGACGGCGAGATAAGTCCGAAGCCGAAAGCCACCAAACCACGCAAAAGAGGAGTCAACGTGGATGAACAAAAGGGGTTGAAATTTATTACATCAAAAATATTAGACTGCATCTCTTGAAAAAGGAAAACAAGAAAGCCCCCTCCCAAATGGCCCTTCAAAGTCTCGGCTCTTCTTGGGGTCAAGGTTTCTCCTGCTCTAGGAAACCAACCAACAGATTTTGGGCCCAGTTCAACCAGCCCAGCTACCCTCAGGAGGGTTTAACCTCCGCCTGCTGGGCAATACCGTATGTGATTGCGCCTTAATTAAACAAACAATGAGTGCGAAGACATGCTGCAAGGCCTTCCATTTCCTCTGAATGAAGAATGCGTGACTCCAAAAAGGCTCTATGATAAACTCGCGCCACCCACTCTAGTCGTGATCATCTGGCAGAGGCCAGCGCGTTTATACAGCGATAGCCTGCTTCTGTGTGTATTGGTAGGCGAAGAAAGAGAGGAGGCCGCCGATGAAGACGAAAGCGTACATGCCAACACCGATGCTGCTGGCGTCGGCGTTCGCAGCCGCATATGAAGACGACGAGGACTTGCCGGGAAGGGGATCGCCGGGCTAATTTGCGCGACTTGATTAGCATTCGAGACGAAAGAAAAAGAACAAGGGGAAACGATAAGAATACGACGACGCGTCGAGTCGTATGCGGAAGAAAACTCACCTGTCGGTCGAGAGCGCCAACGAGCAGAGGCTCTAGCATCTCCCTGGCCTCATCACTGTGTCCGACATCCTCAAACGCCTCAGTCGCATCCTGGCCGCCAACGTCGAGAAGGACTTCCTCGCCACCACTATAGAAGACCGGGGAAATGTAAGCGTCCGAGACTCCGACGGAGACGGGATTAGGAATCAATCGAGGAGGGCCGGTGTTCTCATGACCAAGCCCATCGCAAAACAAGTCAGGCTTCCACTTACGGGTGCTCGTCGACAAACTTAGTAACGTCGTAGACCTTGTCGTGGATAACCATGTACAGGCTGTCCTTGGTGTTGTGACCGGCGACGTCTTGGTAGCTGAGAGAAGCGGACATTATGGCGGTAATCTTGAGCTCAGGAATGGGAGAGAGAATAAAAGAAGGGACAGGGGTGTTCCGAGGCGAGAATGGCGATGAAGAGGCCGATTGACAACAAAAATTGCTCCGCAAGGTCGAGAGAAAGGTTTAGAAGAAGGAGAGGGAAAATCAATTGGATATACTACCGAGGCTAGGCAAAGGTTTGGGGAAGAAGGATGGGCAGCGCAACGAGAAAAGGTGAAGAAATGGACAAGCTGGAATTCCCCGAAGATATGGTCTGCAAAAGTCGAACGGCGCGGGTGGAGACGGCTCCGTGCACTGAGAAATTAGCACGATTCCCAACTGGACAAGTTACTTTCCAAGCCCGTGGTTGGGGTAGGATGAGTGTAGTTGAGCCAATCACAGCAAGTAGAATTCGAACTGATTTCCATCATCCTTGTGTTGTTACGCTCCCGCATGAGGTGGAACGAAGCCTCTAGATGACTAAGATACACTCGCCTGAGAAGGAACTCCTATCTTCACCGTCTCCACTGCCCGGCAAGCAATTTTTAATGGCGATGGATGTGGGGTTGCCCCTCACACTTCGGTATGTGCTTCACGGCACTTGCCCGAAAAACATGTCTTCGCAGCGCTGCTTCGGCTAGGAAGTCGGCCTATCGCCTCGAGCTTCCCCACCAATGTCCTGGCCTAATCGGTACGTTGTGACCTTCTCCCACTCAATCTTTTGTCTCGTCACGGGTAGTTGCCGTCGCAAGCTCTTAAATGCACCCTCGCTCAATCCGGTGAAAGCTCGGTTCACCTCCTCTTGGTACTTCTTCTCCGCGGTTGAAATCTCCCTCACAATTCCATTTCCAGTCCCGCCAGAGACTGTAGCCGTGACCGACCTGTTAGTAAGGAGGCGCACATTTCCGTCCTCATAGTAGTGGACATCGATCTTGATTGACCCTTCAAGACTCCCTGACGAAGGATCGTAAATGTAGAGAGACCTCCATCGTCCATTCCTGTGTTCTCATAATCAGTCGTCCTGCTCGTATACCTCCAACCACCTACTCCTACAGATCCCCAACCTACCAAAAGTTATTCGGGCTATACTTGTTAGCCACGATGATGATAGCGACCTTAGAGTCATCATCAATTGGGTAGGCGCCATACGATGCGCTAGGATAGTGGTCGTCGACATATGTCCCCAAACTCTTCAATATCGAATTTCTGTCACCCGGTTCTTAGCAAATCGTACAACATGGTTGGGGTAGCTTTTGGTGCATGGTGCAACGTACACAATATCGGACCTGGAGCTGTCCAAAACGTGAGATTGAACAGCGCTCGCTTGCTGTAATACTATGGTCAGAAGATAGCCGCCAGGGGAAGGGGGAGGAGGGTGTCAAGTGACTACGCACCCGCTTTGAGTGGTCGAACTGGAAGCTTGACGAGCTCCCAACATCATAGTATCGTCCATCTCCAAGGGAATTATGCGAGCTGACAATGACCTAGGACGCAAGATCAGAACTTTTGTTCAATCAAGTATTCTCTCGATCCTGGCGGTAGCCTCACATGTTGGCTGCTGCCCGGCAGCTTGACTGTCGTGAACTGCTCTTCGTTGTACCTTTCAAAGGCAGGCGCGAGTTTGGAGATTACTTGCGGGGTCGATATCGTGAGAGCTTTGATATCTACAGCAAAGCTTCGTTAGTATAACTATATTGCTATCTCGATCTCAAAATACATACCTGCGATGACGTCGTCAAGCTTTGTTTGTTAGCCCCTGACGGTGTTCGTGAGCCTGCTGCACGGTACCTACCTCGCCTGGAGGGGCCCCTCGACAAAGGAGGATATGGTGTCAATGTGTTCCATTTTCGCGAATCGCCTTTCCAAGTAGACGAGTTTGGTAGAAGTGTGACTTTTGCTCGGAAACTGAACAAAAACTGAGGCTCGGGAGCTTGAGCGTTCAGTATGGCCTGGTGCGGGGCATTGTCGGGTTGCGACAACTCCGCACTCAAGTGGGTAGGCAGAACAAAATTGCTAGTGCACTACTTGTAGCCCGTAATAGGTAGCGGTCGAGGAGACAGTACAACTATATCACAATGCTGTCTCCTCGCTTCACTCCCAAGTTTATCAACAGCCGAATTGTGCATCCCCAATTAAACTGAGGAAGTAGATTTCAATTACGATTAGTCCTCGAGCAATTTAGGATCGTTATTTCAATTACATCTAGTAGATGGTGCGTGAGCCTTTCTTGCATGGCGCGGGGAGGAATGGAGTGCGAGCGTTTGACATGGAAACTTCCGTCGCAGATGCAGTGTGCTTGAAGCCTCTTAGATCATGTGATCTCGCGTCAGTTCGGTGGCAAGGGACAATGATCTGAACTCACGAGTTCCGCGTCAATCAGCCCCCTCTTGTCCGTTTCCCTGAGAGGAAGGAAGCCCAATAATATCTTGCCTACATTCTTCATACACTATCAAAATGCCCCCAGGAAGCGAGCGGCTTCTAATGCTATTGACGAGCCTCGACGGTCTCGTCGCGTCAGCTCTACTGTCAAAAAGAGCAATTACTTCGAGGACGATGATTCGGATGATCCGCTAGCAAACAAGAGTTCCAAGAAGTCAAAGGGCACGTCAGGACCTCGAGGTAAGCGTAAGACAGAAGAGTTGGATGAGGTCTCTGATGAGTATAAGGAAGACAGTGCGGCTGGACAAGACGAAGATGATGCAGACGAAGAGGAGCCCGAGGAGGATCAAGATCAGAATGAATTTGCAACCAAGGTAACTGTGGTCAAGGTGCAATCACTTCGTCCAGATGGTGGAATGGATTATGGAGAAGACTTCATTCATAAGAACACAGCGCTTTTTTGAAGGACTTGAAAGCGCATAATCAGAGGGAGTGGCTCAAGTGTTAGTATTCACGATCGTCCCTCCCCGCCAGCATATATATATATATATATATATATATGTACTTGACTAACATTGAACTTATATCGCTAGCCAATGATCGCGAGTTTCGTAGGGCCCAACAAGACTGGGAATCGTTTGTCATGAGCTTTACGTCGAAACTATCTGGTCTCGACTTTACCGTCCCGGAACTGCCGGCCAGAGATGTCATCTTCCGTATCTACCGAGACACAAGGTTTAGTAAAAACCCAACACCGTACAAGGTAATCCTCTTTGCATAGTCTACGAGAATCTCTCAAGGAATGCTAACACAATGTTACATAGCCTCATTTCTCGGCCGCGTGGTGAGTTTTCTTGTCCCCTAAAGGCCTTTTCTGGCCATACTGACTCATGGTAATAAGGTCTCGAACGGGGCGAAAGGGGCCATTCGCCTGCTATTATATACACGCCGAGCCAGGTAACTGCTTCGTTGGCGGCGGCCTCTGGCATCCTGAGAACGAGTCTGTTTACAAGATTAGAGAGAGTATTGATGAACGTCCGCGTCGTTGGCGGCGTATCTTGAACAACGCCGACCTGAAGACACAGTTTCTTCCCGATGCTAGTAAAAGCACCGATGCAAACATTGCCCTGAAGGCTTTCGCTGCTCGAAATAAAGAGAATGCCATGAAAGCTAGACCGAAGGTAAGTCGAGATCGGGGACCGGAATATCTCCAACCAGCTAACGGGGTTTTTGTCAAGGGAATTTCGGCAGACCACCGCGACCTTGACCTTTTGAAACTTCGAAACTATGTATTGAGTAAAAGGTTCCGGATAGCACCATTTTCGGGCCGGGCTCGCAGGAAAAACTCGTGAATATATTCACGCCCTTAGTCCCATATGTAAGTCCTAATTTCTGCTACTGTCTTACGGCTCGCCTAACGCGCTTCACGAAGGTATCGCTCCTCAATAGCATAGTCAGGCCAGACCCTAACGTGGATGGCGAATTTGATTCTGGCGACGATGAGGAAGAATGAACTGTTCGAACGGGATACCGATTGTATTTACTTGTAACAAAGCCCGGGGTAGCTTCAATGGTCTCCGGGATTCTTGGATGCTTAATTAGTGCTTCTTGGATATACTGTTACTTATTGAGAGCTTCCGATGAGCGTCCCATCAAGACTCTGTGAGCTCTCTGACTAAGAGATGGCCACGGAGGCAATTGTTTCTGCACCATGAGAAGATGGTGGACGGATCAAATCCAATGAATAATACAGACAATATTGGGTGCTGGTCCATTTTGAAAGGCGCAGGGACACCCTCGATTGTCTCTTCAGAATAAACAGGGGTTGGGAAAATTAGTGGTTCACAGCGCCCCAAAAATGCAGGTTGGGCGGCCAGCGGTGCCTAGACACGTGATCTAAGCGGCTCCCACATTCAGCTTCCATGTTCCTCCTCAGCAAAGGAACTAACAGAAGGTACCTGGTAGCTGCACGCGGGTACGTCGCAGGAGTGATGCACTTTGTTTGGCGGCAAAAACAACCGGCCCTGTTAACACCAGCACGCGTTGCTGTTGCTGGATTGTGTACCCATCCAAGCAAGCGGGAGTGTTATTATCACCACAACCATAACCACCACCATCCCTACCTCCCACCTCTCTACAGATAATTCGTGCAGCCCACCAGGTCGATAGCCAAATTAATAGTTCTCCTATTACTTTACCAGGCCAACATCCGCCAGCCTCGTCTCGCTAGATTGTGATCGTTGGGCGAAGTCTAATTCCCGCCTCTTTCCCACCGCGCTTTCCCCTCCAAGTGTCGAGATAGCCAACTTTTCGCATGCTAGCGTATGTTTGGGCGCTTCTTGTTTTGCAAACGGGTCTTGACTCGAGGTCCTCGTCACAATAAGCTAATCGCCTTGTTTCACTTTGCACAGAATCGACGGCTGCCCTTGGGCCCTTTGAAGCGTCTCGTCGCGGTCTCCCGCCCCTCCTCGACGCCGTAAGACGTGCACTCTCCACGTCCCACCTGGCTTCCGCCATCATGGATGCACGGCTGCGACTTGTTTACGACTTCATCGATAACGATCTCTACGAAAACGCCCTGTTCATCACCGAACGATTGCATGCTCTTGACCCCGAAAACGCTTCATGGACTCATCTCGTCTCCCTTTGTTGTTTGCGGTTAGGTCGAGTCGCACTCGCGGCGGAGCATAGTCGGGAAAAGGGTTTAAGGGGCCAACACCTTGGGTGCTCCTATGTATTTGCCCAGGCTTGCTTCCGCCAGAAGAATTATTCGGAGGGAATTGCAGCCCTGAGACAAGCTCAGCCTTTATGGACTGGTAGGTTTTTTCATGCCTTGAGCCGCTCGAGGAACTTGAATCATCATGCAATCTCTAACGCGCAGTTGAAAAGATGACCAAGCTTTGTCCGAACGATTCGCCCCCGACTATGCGGCTGCTAACAGGCTGCTCGGGAAGCTCTACAAAGCGAGCGGGGATGTAAAGTCAGCGATAAACTGCTACGTCGCTGCCGTAGAGACGAATCCGTTCATGTGGGATGCGTTTACAGACCTTTGCGATAATGGTGGGGAATTTCTTTCTTTTCTTGCTACTGATGAGAGAGTACAATTACTAACAGGTTTCCTAGGTGTTCAACTGCGCGTGGGTAACATATTCAAGCTTCGAGATCACACAAGTAGCAAGAACGACCATGGAAAATTGACAAAGGCGGCGCCATCGGACATGAATGCGACGAGCACAGTGCCCAAGGCGAATTCACTTCGAGCAGGCCAGTCTTTTGAATCGGGACTCCGCGAGGCCATGCAGCAACCGTTCTGTGTGCCGAGAAACGATGTGCCTGTTGGTGATGAAAACATGGATACAACGGAAGGCCGACCCCTTCGAAGCGTATCGGGAGACATCACCATGGGATACTCGGGCATCGCTATACCGTCTCTCTCTAAGAAGAGACAAAGGTCCGTGCTAGACGGGCCCCCAGCGGAGGTAGCAGAGTTGCGCTCCGGGCCGAGTAGGAAAGAGAACGACGTTTTTCTAGCCGCTATGCGAGTTCGTCGCTCACCATGGCCCCTCAGCGGAGGAGCGCCCGGCTACTTAACCAGACAGCCCCAGCGACGGGCCTAACAGATCGTTCGACGACTGAATCGGCAATGGCGCGGGATGCGTTCAAGCGACTAGCTCGGCCAAGGAATCCTATTCGTCCTGCAGAGCGTAAGACCTCTGCCTTGAACCGCGCGGCGAACGTTATTCGATCCTCGGCTATTGGTGCAGGGCGGGATACCAAGGCAACAGGGCCGGCATCCCCTACCCCTGTTGGGAAAATGGGCCACCCAGGGAGGATGACTTCGGTGGCGGCGGCGGCGGCGGCGTTAGATCAGGAAAAGCTGCAGGCGCTGATGAATCTACTCCTGAAGCTTGGCGCCGGATATTATCACTTGAGCCAATTTCAACCGCAGGGATGCATTGATGCACTCTCGTCACTTCCGCCTGAGCAACAAATGACGCCATGGGTTCTCTCCAAGTTGGCTCGGGCGCAGTACGAAATGATGGCGTATGGCGAAGCGAAGTCGACCTTCCAAATATTGCGAAAGATCGCACCCTCCTGGCTCGAAGACATGGAAGTCTATTCCACCGTCCTCTGGCATCTCAAGGACGATGTGGAGCTCGCGTTCTTGGGTCACGAACTCTCCGACGACCACTACCTCTCACCGCAAACGTGGTGCGCGGTGGGAAATTCGTTCTCCTTGCAGCGCTGCCATCAGGAGGCGATCAAATGCTTCCGGAGAGCCGGCCAACTCGAGCCCCAGCTAGCGTACTCGTACTCCCTTCTAGGACACGAGCACTTTGAGGCGGAGGAGTACGGGAAGCCACCACGGCTTTCCGCAGGGCATTACAAGTTGATCCTCGACATTATTCGGCGTGGGTAGGGCTAGGCCGCGTCCAGGAGAGGCTGGGCCAAGGCGAAAAAGCCTTGAAATACTACCGCTCGGCAGAAAGGGTCAACCCGAACAATGCTGCGCTGTTGACCTACATCGCTAGGGTAAGTTTGGGCTCCTTGGGGAGGGGCTCCCGCACCCCCTCGATACTTTCGATTCGTCTAGCACATGTTTCGTTTTCGGGTGGAGACGCGCTAACACAAAGTCTTGTAGATACTCGAGAAGATGGGCAAGCACCGGCAAGCGCTAAGCTATCTGCGGCGGGGCACTGATCTTGAACCATCAGACAACTTGGGAAGCCTAATCCGGCTCCAGACGGCGAGGTTGTACCTGCGCCTCGGCCAGCCACAGGATGCCTTGAGGGACCTGCAGCTTGTGCGGCAGATGGCACCTGACGAACCAAGCGTGCACTTCTTGTTAGGGCAGGCATTCGCGATGTCAGGTCCGACGAAGAGAGGAGAAGCGCTGCGATCTTACACCAATGCCCTCAGCCTGGACCCATCTGTAAGAGATCTCCCATCCCCAATCCCCTCTAAAAGTGGATGCACTGCAACACTAGCACGGCGATCTTGTAGCTAACAGATGACTGTAGAATGAAACCATCAAAGATGCGATTACGATGCTTGGCAACGGCCACTAAGCCACTGCCCACTACTGCAAACGAATCAAGGATTAATGAACCATTGATCTCATGCCGAGGACCTGTACCAATGAAACAGTTTTTTTTTCTGCTTTCTTGTTCTTCTTCTCTCTCTTATATCTCCCCGCCTAACAAGGCTCTATGGTTCTTTTTCTTTCTTTTTTTCTCTTCCCATCCATCCTTTGCTTTTAGTCGGTTCTTGCTTGCATTGTTTTCCAACTTGGTCGAAAGTTGATCGTGGGGAGGAAGCTTTTCCATGTCAACGGGCGGGCGACACTTGGGGGATGGCATTTATTGGGGAGCATCAACAATTGCCTCGCAAACATGATTGGGGCAGCATTCGCATTGTGGGAGTATACAAGGATTCACGGTATTGCACATTCATGTTCACGCACAGCACCATTTAGCACGTTACCTTGATGATGACGAAGGAAGGGTTCGGGGCAGTGGCATGGAGCTGCATGTTGGATGGACGTATATATACTTTCCTAGGAGGGTAGCTGATTTTTTGACAGTGCAGGGAGTGGAATATAGTAATGACGTGGTCGGAAACTTGCGGTCGAGCTGTGGTACTTGTAATCCATGGGCGAGAATAAGGGATGCCCTTTCACGTAGTCAAGGATGGCGCTCATGTCAACGGCACGGGAAGCACTGTCTCGGTACGTCCATCCGGATAATACCCGCCGAACTCTTTGCCATACAACTCGGGGTGGGCATATGCGTGGGAATAGCTAGGCACCTGTGTTATGGCCTCGGATAGTACCCGGTGCTTCTCGGGAGGCTCTCAACGTCAGCGTGGGTCTCGTCTAGAACGTTTCAACGGACCCCTGTTTGCCACGGCGAGACTATCTCAGTTCTTGAAGCGACGCGCCAGGGTCGAGCGGGATGGCGACTGACGGCGGCGCTGGGCCAGTGACGGGACACCCCGCAAAACCTCCGAGTTAATCGAGACGTCGCCAGGTCAAGACACAGATGTGACGTCGACGATACCCTTCTCCGTAGTGGGCGGCTTGGGGCTTTTTTCTTTTTTTTTTTGTGTCTCGAGAGAACCCAGGCACGGTTGCCTTGTGATTCTGACAGGAGCATCCTTTGCCTTATGCCGTATCCATCACAGGTGGATAGTTTTGGTGAGGTTCGCGGCTGCTCTGATCTTTTGCTATCACCTTGACAGAGAGCACGCAGTGTATAGAATCAAGCCGGTGCCAAATGCCGGGCTTGTCCGAGACCGGATTTGTCAACTTGATGCGGGCCCCATCCTGCGAGCACTTCAAAATTTGACCCTTGTGGATTTTTAACACTGAGAGATCCATAGATTTTCTTTGCGCCAGGTAACCCGACAATCAATCTACAAGTAGAGGCAAACTAGGATATAAAGTGCGCCGGTCCCCTTCCCTCCCCTTCTCGGATCGCTAGTGAGAGATAAGAGCAGACTCGACAGACCCAGCTCTAAAGACATGGGTAATGTAGGGCTACTAGGGGTCCGGCTATGAGATTCCCCGCCAGCAACCTCGGCGGATATGGGTTCTTCCGAGGTTGCTTAGTGGTGCATGGAAGCCGCCTTCGGGGGCCGGTCCCTAAGTCCGCGGGTCCAGCGACATTTTGGCGTCGAGTGCTCCTTTGGGTGGCGTTGATTCAATGTTTCTCGTTCCCTCCATTATTACCCATTTTGGCGTCTCGAGCCGCACCCCCACTCCAAGATCCGCGGGAAGGGGACTGAACAGTGAAGAGCAGAAGGGGGTATTGCGAGGGGTAAAAAGAAGAAACAAAAAAAGGAGGGGCAATTCGCTTCACACGGCGGCTGCGGGGACGGCATAAAGCTTTATCGTAGGAACGAACCAACGCCCGAAAAGTGGGCAAGGATTTTTTCGCTAGCTGACGTCGGCACTTGAGTCTCCTAACATTGAACCCACCAGGCCTCCGTCCCAATTCCGACCAAGCGCCAAAACAAAGGTATTTTCAAGTGTACATCAAGCATGTGGATCCGACTTTTGACGAGCTTAGCCTTGGGGCGACTCCGCTGCCACGCTTAGTCCCTCGTCTTTCAAGAATTGGCTTTGGGGAAATTGGAGAGCTCGAAGTCTTTTTTTTTTCTCTTTCTTTCTCTTTCCTCATCTCCCATCTCTTTCCTTTTTCTCCTCTCTCCTCTCAATCACTTTTATATAGAACTTTACTGGGGCCTTTTTGCTCCGTGATACACTCGATCCCGTGCCGTATCCACCCCCGCGATTCCGTGCTGCGTCTAGGCCGAAACCCCTCCATCTCCACCAACATGCCTATCCACCACCTTATGATTGGCACCTGGACCCTCCGGGTGCCATCTTCACCGTCGCTTTCGATGACGAGGCCCTGACCCTGACCCTCGTACAGAGGACTGAGATCCCCGAGGATGAGCCCATCTCGTGGATGGCCTTTGATGTAAGTTGGGCGGCGGCAACCGTCACCTAGGTTGCCCACGTGCCTTGACTCAGGAGCTCACACGCGAGTCGCGTATAGCATGCGAAGAAGAACATTTACGGCGCCGCAATGAAGAAGTGGGGCAGCTATGCCGTGAAGACCCCTTCCGAGATTGTCCATGAAACCTCTCAACCCTTGGGCGTTGATCGTAAGTCGTACCTTTACTCCCGCCCTGGTACAAGGGAAACAGAGGAGGACAACATTTCTCACAACCCTTTTGTAGCCCAAGCCAACTCCAAGGAGACCAACACCCGAGCCATCTTCCTGCTCCCGGCCAAGCAGCCCCCTATGCCGTCTACTGCAACCCCTTCTACAAGCACGCCGGCTACGGCAACATCTTCCTCCTCCTCCACCGGCGCCCTCGAGACTAATATCCAAAACTACGAATACCAGCCCAACTCCGGCATCCACGGCATGGTCTTTGACCCCACCGAAACCTACCTCTACTCTGCCGATTTGACCGCCAACAAGCTTTGGTGCCACCGCAAGGACCCCGCCGACCCCGACTCCGGCAAGGTCGTGCTCGTCGGCTCCGTCGACGCCCCCGGCGAAAAGGACCACCCCGCTGGGTCGCCATGCACCCCACCGGCAACTACCTGTACGCGCTCATGGAGAAGGGCAACCGCATCTGCGAGTACGTCATCAACCCGGAGACGCACATGCCCATCTACACCCACCGCCACTTCCCCTCATCCCTCCCGGCATCCCCGACCGCTGGACCATGTACCGCGCCGACGTGTGTGCCCTCACGTTTAGCGGCAAGTACATGTTCGCCTCCAGCCGCGCCAACAGCTTCGATCTGACCGGCTACGTCTCCGCCTTCAAGCTGGCCGACAGCGGCAGCATCGAGAGGCAGATCCTCCTTAACCCCACCCCCACCAGCGGCGGTCACAGCAATGCCGTCGCCCCCTGCGACTGGAGCGACGAGTGGGTGGCCATCACGGATGACCAGGAGGGCTGGATCGAGATCTACAGGTGGCAGGATGAGTTCCTCGCCAGGGTTGCCAGGTTGAGGATTCCCGAGCCCGGCTTCGGCATGAATGCGATTTGGTATGATTAGGCAGCGCCTCTTAGAGCGTGGGGAAAATGAAGACAAATATAAAAAGAAAAAAGCCAAAGGCAAAAGGCAAGGGAATGGAAGGTACGCAATGATATAGGCATTAGAAGGCGTCTAGAACGGAATAGTCGAGCGAAGGGGAGGGGAGGAGTAGCATCTATGAACAACAAATTAATGATTGAATCCTGGATGCATCTATCAATGAAATAATATCAATTGATCATCAATTGGCGACAACTGCAACGGTGGGGAGCTTGCCAAGTATCGTCGCGCTTGGGAGACGAGACGCGAGCTTTCATCGCGTCTGGAAAATCCACTTTAGCAGCCCCTCCAAAATAAGGTGATCAATGTACTTTTAGCCAAAGTTTTGGTGGCAGGTACCAAATCCTTTGCAAAGTCGCGTCCGTCAATGCTCCCTTCTAAACACCGCTGTCAGGTGACCGCCTGCTCTCTTCGCGTTTCTGCCTCCCGCGAACTTGACCAGCGCCATCACGTCCAATTCATGTCCCACTAATACCGGACGCGCTTTACTAGGCCCAAATTTCTTGTTCCAGCGAAACCTCCCTTTGAGAAACACAGCAACTCGTGGCCGAACTAGAAGGACGTCCTTGTCGAAAAACCCGCCGATTCTGGTTTGAAGAGATAGTATCCTCATTTTTACCCCAAGCTAAACGTAGAATTCCTTTCCGCAGCCTGGTCGTTGCCTTGCCTTGTCGAGCCTTGCCGGCCTGTTGGGAGCTTTGGAACGAAGAATGGGGGCAAGCCGCTTTTCGCGCAATGCTCGATTGCATTTGTTTCGAGTTCAGAGCTGCCTTCTAAGAAAATTGCAGATGTAAGTGTTTGCTCGCCTCTTGGATCTGCGTCAATGAGGACCGGCATGCATCGTGCTTCGTGGTGCGATGTGCGTGTTGCTAATAGGTCCTGCGAATAGCTCTCCGCAATCATTCAGAACAATGGAGGCGAGGTCTGCGAACCGAGATTCGATGGCTCGATCCCCGTCGAAAAGGTCACACACATCGTTTCGAACACTATCGACTTCCCGCAGTATACGGAGGCGCAGGCCCTCATGATCCCCATCGTCACCTACACCTGGATCCAGCTCTCGCTCGCCAAGAGCCGCCTAGCACAAATCCGACCTTTTTCGCCCGATCCTCGCATGATATTCTCCTCCGTCGTCATCACCTGCGCCGGCTTACCGGTAACAGACAGGGAAAGCATCATCGGCGCCACGGCCGCGCTTGGGGCATGGACTCCCCTGATGTGACGCGCCTTACCACACATATCTGCGCGCTATCAGCGGATCACCCCATGTGTGTCGAAGCGAAAGCAAAAGGATACAAGGCCAAGATCGTATTGCCTCATTGGTAAGTAGACTTCCGATCCTCTTCTCATTTTCCTTTTTTTCTTCTTTTTTTCCCCTTGCCCTATTGCAAGCTTTGCTCCCCGAATGTCTGCTTACTGGAAGTTTTGCCGCCGCTAGGTTTGACGATTGCTTCAAGCTAGGCAAGCGAATCGACGAAAGTCCCTACCTCCTCCCCAACGCGGCGATCCTCGATGCCAACTCAAACGAGTTTGTGGAGCTCCCATCTAGCCAGCACCTCGAAGGCGCCTCTAGCGCACGACCCGCCCACCTCCTTCCACCCACCCAAAGCTCCGCCAGAGAACCCCTAACCGTGTTCAAGAACAAAACCGTCATGTTGGCCGATGATCTGGCGCTCACCTCGCGCTTACGGACCATCATCGAAGAAGTCATCACGGCCTCTAATGGTGACGTGACAACGACAGTCGATGAATGCAACATGTTCATCTGCCAGTACCGAGACGGGGAGGATTATGTGAGAGCGGCAAGGCTTTGCAAAGACGTCGGCAACCTTGCCTGGTTGTACCACCTCCTCACGACCGACCAGTGGTCGTCGCCCTTGCGCCGTCTCCTGCACTACCCCATCCCCAAAAATGGCATTCCCGGGTTCGAGGGCTTCAAAATCACCCTATCTAACTACGGAGGTGAGGCGCGGACGTACCTCGAGAACCTCATTAAGGCTTCAGGGGCTACGTATACCAAGACGATGAAGGCCGAGAATACCCACCTGATTACGGCGCGCGACAACAGTGAGAAGTGCGAAGCCGCCGCGGACTGGGGCATCAGCATGGTCAACCATCTTTGGGTTGAAGAGAGCTATGCCAAGTGCGCTGTTCAACCGTGCAGTAACAAGAAGTACACCCACTTCCTCGCGTACGAATCTAGGGGAAGTCATTGGGCAGACATTCTTTGACGAGGCTAAGCTACGGGAGAAGTACTATCCGGGCGACGACGACGATCTCCCCGTTCTGCTCAGCGTAGGCGCCAGATCCTGGATACTGCGCAGGCTTACGCGTACGACCAAGGGCCTGCAGAAGGCGTGGCTATTGGTGCCGACAATGTCAAGGTGTGGCGTGAGGAAGCTGCCAGGGAAGCGGCGAAACCCGAGACACCGGCGCCCAAGAAGCGCTACGTAGCGTCGGGCAAGGAGAATGACGAGTCGCTCCTGTCCACTGGTGGTAGGAGCGCGAAGAGCAAAGCCGCGGCAACCCTGAGGCTCCTTGCTACTGACATGGAGCAATATGAGAAGGAGAAGAAGCGGCATAGCAAGGACGGTCGGGGCCCATGGGGCGGCAAGAGAGCGGCAGACCAGCTCGATATGGCGGTAGATGAGGAGAAGGATGCCGAAAAGGAAAAGGAGAAGACGAAGAGGGGGAAGAGGGGCGCCAAGGTCACGCCCACCGCGGAGGTGGAATCGGAAGAGGAGGTTGAGGCTGATGATGGGAAGCCCAGCAAGAAGAAGAGGAAGATTGACAAGCCGTACAACATGACAGTGACAATCACTGGCTACTCACGCTGGGTCGATGGCGTGAAGAAGGAAGACAAGGACAGGGTAAGTGGATGGAAATATGTCTATTATCGCATGTTGCCAAAACCCTGGGCGCGGACCCTTGTGCTAACGTGTGGTTGCGTATAGATGAAGCTAGCAGAACTTGGTATCCGGGTCCTGCCGGAGAACAGCGCCTGCCAGTATCTGGTGGCTCCTCGGGTCCTGCGTACCATAAAGTTCTTATGTGGGCTCATCCGTGGGGCGACTGTGATCTCGACCGAGTTCATTGACCACGTCTTGACGAGCAAGGAGATTGTCGATCCGAACGACTTTATCCTCGTGGATAAGGAGGGCGAAAAGATGTACAACATGAAGCTCTCCACATCGGTTGCCCGGGCCCGAGCCAACTCTGGCAAGCTTCTCCAGGGAGTGCCCATCTACTGCACGCCACATATCCGGCACGGGGCCAAGACGTATGAGACGATTGCCCGGGCGTGCCACGCCATCTGGAAGACGTACGACGGCAAGCACAGCACCATCAAGAAAACGACACGTGAGGAGGACGGTGGTCTCCCGCCGGATCCGGTGTACCTCCTAACATCGAGCACGCCGGCGGAAAAGGAGCTCTTCCCCAAGTTTATCAAAATGGCCGAGGACGGCAACATGGAGCCGAGGATCGTGTCGCCGGACTGGCTCCTCCAGGTATGCATGAAGCAGGAGGTCAAGTACGACAAGCAGTTTGCGGCAGAGGGCATGGCGTAGCGCGATGGAGGAAAGGAGGCGAGAATCGGAATGGCATTCACGCTGGAATTTTGCATCTTCATATCATCATGGGAGCTTGGTGGGAAATGCGGGGTTGGAGAAAACTTGCTTGTTATGGCCCTGGTTATCTTGTTGCTCTCTCTTCCCTCTTCCCCATTTCTTCAATATTGTGTTTTTTCAATATCAAGCGGGAGTCTGGGCATGTGTTGGCACCCATGGTTGGGTGGGGTTGGCAGTTTTGTTTCTTTTTCTTCTTCGTCTTCTATCTTTTTCTTCTGTTGCCAGTCGGGTTTACGTGTACAGCTGTAGTTGACTAGTGTTTTAACTCTAGACCTAGGTCTTTTAGAGACGGGAGGATGGCAACTCATATGCTGATGAAGAATGGATCTTTTTATTAGGATGCACAGACAAGTCAATCGCGGCAACGAGGAACAATAGATGTCTATATGGGTATAGAAGGGACGAAGAGAAGAAGCCGTGAGGAAATGCCCGGGGTCGCACGCTGTTGGCTCGACCGTTGGCTTGGCGCGCATGTTTATGCAAAGAACTTTACACCCTGTGAGTCCTCCTGGCCGAAGATTTGGGCCTTGTTCCTCTTGACGAGGATCTGAAGCGCCTTGATCATCAGCTCCCGGTCGAGGCCGTAGAATTCTGGTTCTTCAAGTCAGTAACAGGGCGGTGCGTTTGACAAGGGGTTGGGACGGAGGTGGCAACGACGAAGCATAGAAGATGTGATGCGCCAAGAAAAAGAAAAAGGATTGATAGGGAACCCACCCGTGCCACGACAAGCCTCGCCCTCCGTCAGTTCGTACACGGTCAAGACCGTGCCCCTCTGCGCGGTGTCGTCCACCCACTTCTCGACGAGGGCAGCCCACTCTTCGGGAGTCCGCCAAAAGACCCACCACACGTCGCGGGTGGCGTCGCCAGCAGCCGCGGCGCCAGAGGAGGAGCCGGCACCGGAACCGGACGCGGAGACATACGGGTCCGCGCGGCCCTTGCGCATAAACTCGAGGACCTCGCGGATATCGGCGAGGGAGAGGCGGCGGTTGATGGCGGGGTTGTGGAACAGGATGGCTTCGGGGGCGGGCTGCGCAGAGCCCGTCGTCGTCGTCGCCGTCGTCGTCGTTGACAGGGAGGAGGAGGAGGGCGGTTGGCTCTGGGATTGGGAGAGGGAGATGCGGTGGAGGCGGTGGTGGCGGCAAAAGGCGAGGACGAGGGAGGACCACTTGGTGAGCTGGGCGTGGTGGGTTGTGAGGTTGGTTTGGCGGGTGAAGAAGGGGGAAGTGGTATTCGCGGGGAAGGCGAAGGGGTCCAGGGGCCCCGCGACGCCCGGGGCGCTCATCGGTCTCGAAGGTGCTTGATATTCCTTTTTTTCTCTGATACCGTCTTAGGAGAGATGGATGTCGCGTTCGGTGCTTGCTTGCCGTTCACTCTTGTCCTTTGCTCCGTCTTTTTGATAACTCTCGTTTCAATGGGTTTGTGCCTGCTTTCGAAAGGATAGAGGAAGCCTCGAAGCTCGGCGGCCGGACGATTCGGGCTCGAAACGTGTGGATATGGCTGAGAAAGCGGCCCGGTGGGAGGATCGGTATCCCGGCGGAATGGGCAGTGGCTACAATTCTGCTCTCCTTGGGAAAGAAGGGGAGAGATAATGTATTGGTGATGGCAAATGCACGCTACATAAATATTGGATGTGATGCTCGCTGAATGGTGGCTCCAGGGAGATGAAAATAGCCCAGGCTCCCCCACCATCGACCAAGAGCTACCCCGCTATTCGACATGTGCCTTTAGAAAATTGTGGTGATCGATAACGCCCTGGCCCTCCAAGGAACAACCTCCAACGTACATAATGGATGTACCCACAATGACGTCCCAAAGTTGAGCACGACACCCATTCAATCGTGCCCCGGGCCCCTGCTACAGGCTCTAATGTTATTTTAAGAATCTTCGCGTCTACTAAGATCTACACATTCATTACTTCCATATATACCGAGGTATAATTCCCCAAATAAAACACCTTTAGAGAGCTCGAGGAGGGATAAGCTACCACCATCGATAAGTGCTGAAGTAACAGCTATTCTCGTCTTCGAGCCATGGCGCTCCTCGACCGACAACACGCTTGCAACATATATCCAAAACTGACAGCCTGCCATCGTCGCGATCGCAAGGCGCCGAGTATCCCAGCAGGCTAGGGGGAGCTTTTTATCAATGTTTGTGGGAAAAGAGTAAATCGCTTTGATTTTACACCCAATCATATCCTTTCGGCGCATCTAATAATAGTAAGAGAAAGAAGAAAAACACAAGCGAAGAAAGAGCTCGAATCTAGTGATAATAAAACATGGATCCAGTGTCCTCTCAAAAAACACCATGCAGAATCAACGTGGAGAGCGGATCTCGTCTCTGAAATACCAAAAGAAAAAAAAGGACGAAAAAAAAGAAGAATCCCAACGATTGCCTTCCCTATGTTTCCTGGCCGGCTTCGTCAATATCTGGTTGGATGTTGAGGCGGCGTATTCGCTGTCAAAATATACAAAACGAAAATAAAGAAAATAAGGGAGGAGGAGAAGAAGGAGGAGCAGTTTTTCTTTTGGAAAGGGACGGAAAAAACGCCAACGCCCGCTCATCCCCGTCATGCAAAGATGTTATTGTGTATCCAAGAAACGTGCATACGTATATCAAGGTGCGATTTGAGAGTTCAGTGGGTGACAGAGAAAAAGGGAAGGGAGGATCGTAACCAAAGGAGCATGAGGCAGAGAGTCGATCTGCATCGCCGTAGGGCTGGCGGATGGCGGGTGTTGCGATCGGAGAGGGGCCGTTTGAAAAAGCAGAGAGTCCAGGCCTCCGAAACGCCCAGCGGTGCTCCCCATTCCGAGCCAAGAGAGATTCTAACAAGACATAGGGAAATAGAAGGAGAGAGAGAGAGAGAGAGAGAGAGAGAGAGAGTAGGGAATGAATGGAGTTTGGTCTATGTGACTCGTACTCAAGAGCAGGACAGCCCAGCGTGGGGCCCGGGAGATGGTTTGAAAGATGACTCGAGGGATCATTACCAAGCGCAGCTGCGAATCCGTTTCGCTTTGGCAACAGATCGCTAGGTGCCGGGACGAGCACTGGCTCCGTGGCTAGTGTGTTGCAGCCACTACAGAGGTCTAGTTTGCGTGGTCCTATTGCGCAGCCATGAGCGAATGGCGTTGATCGTCTTATTACGCGGGTGAAAGGAGACCGATATCGGACAGCAGCCCCGGAAGCGATTGATAGAGGTTGGTGTTGAAACTAACCTCCACCACCGCAAAAGCCGCGTAGTGCCGTAAAGCCGAATTAGCGCCCATCGACGCGTAAAATGTCCGATGGATCAATATTCATATTCGAGAGGAGATGTTGGAACTACGTGGCCGGAACGGCGCACGGTGGTGGAGGATGATGTGTGAATCCGGGTAAAGTCCCAACACGAGGTTTGTTTGCTCTTTGTAGAGGTATAAAGTAAAGGAGAAACGAGGAGTAAGAAAAGCGAGAGCGCGTGTGATAGATAAGCTTCAAGATATATGAGATGATGCGCGTCAAGACAGGGTAGATGGCAGCGAAATGGCAGCGCCTCCTAGCCCTGCTTAGGAGAGATGGGTAGGCGGGGAAAACGGGACTACATCAGGCCCGCGAGGGATCCAACCATGAGTTTGCCGAGATAAGGGGCAGAGCTTCGCCATCTGTCCTGCTGCATCTGCTGCATTTGCTGGATCTGTTGCTGTCGGACGGCGGCCGGGTTGGGATTGTATGGTTGCTGCGGTACGGGATAGGGCTGCTGGCCCATTTGCGCCTGGGTATGCGCTTCATATCCTCGGGGACTTGAATCATGCCAGCCGGGGCCGGCTCTGGCGAGCCTTGGGGATTCATAGCTTGGCTCATGAAGGCCTGGCTCTCCTGCGCAGGATATTGCATAGGCGGGGGTTGCTGGAGGGGCTAATGGCTCCGTTCATAGCACCAGCCATGAACAACTTCTCGAAAGCAGCGATGCGCTGTTGCATCGCGTGGTTCTCGTCCAGGAGACGATTATTCCTCTTCTCCAGATGCCGTATATATTCGGTGGCTTTGCTCAAGACCTAGAATCTCCGTTAGCAAAGAAAGAGGTTTCACGGGCCCAACTATGCCCTCTCGGCGGGTCGCCTGCTCATGAACTCACGGTAGCCTTGTTCAATTTATGGGCCGGAGTTAGTCCGTGTAGTTCCTCGCGGTCTTCGGTGGTATCCTCGCCCCTCGCACTCTTAGACATGATGCGCAGACTCGGCACGCTGTCGCGGAGGGCGGCGATCTTGTCGTTGAGGTTTGTCCGATACCTCTTCTCGATCATGTTATGCGCCGTCTTCTTGACTGGCTGGGTGCCGTCGTCGTCGTCATCGTCGTCGTCGATGTCGGCCGACGACTTGCGCTTCCTGTTGCCCAAGTGCTCGGGGACGAGATACCTCCGGGCCTCAAGCTACTGGGAGACTCGAGCGCTTGATCCGAGTTTGTTGATTGGAATTGTAAATGCGATGGCATGGCGATGTTGCGGAGAGCTTCTTGTTGGGCGGGGGTTAGACTTCCTAGCGCACCGGGTGGGAGGCTTAAGACATCGTTCGGGTCGTTACTCTGGCCTTGGGAAGGAATTTGGCCGGGGTTTTGCTGTCCACCTGCCATTGGATTAGAGTATAAGGGGGCCGAGGCAACGTTTTGTTGACCAACACCCCAGGGAGCGTTCTGAAATAGTTGTTCGGATGCTTGACCGGCGGATGAGGGATCGAACGGCCAATTAGGGTTTGGGTTGAAGTACGATCGCGATTCGTCGTTCGAGAAGGCACTATTCGAGGGATCGGCTGTTGTTGACGTTGGCGTAGGAAATTGGGTATTCGTTTGGGGTGTGACGTTATCGACGAGATTGGTGTTGCTGTTGTTATCAAGGGCGGAAGAGGTCCCTTGACTATTAGAATCTTCGAGGCCATACATGGCCGAGGGGTCTTGGTCCGTCATATTGCCAGACACGGGATCACTGCCTGCAGAGGTGGGCTGATCCCAGGCAGGGGAGGATCCCCTTTCAAGATGAGGACCGGGAGATTAGGCCCGTGGGCGGGGGAGGCCCGCGAGGACGGCGAGCGCACGAGTCGAAGCGGAAGGGGAGGGAGGAGGTTCCACGAAGGGGGAGGGGGAAGGAGTGAGCAAGCGCCGAAGGAGCTGGAGGGTAGGAAGCCACGCGAGAGGCAGGGTCTCAGCTCAAAGGATGGGGTGGGGCGGGGACTGCCGCACCGCAGGCACAGGTTGTGGGAGGGCAATGTCCAGGATGAGGCGATATCGATCGTTTGTCGATGCGAGCGACTTTTCTTTGTCTCTCTCACGGGTGGAGAGGAGGGCTGTAGTGTATGGGAGAAGAGAGAGTGTGAGAGGAGGGGGAGCTGTAGGCCCAATGGGACGAGGGGCAGGGCGGCTCGGGAGGGGGCGTGCGACGGACGGTGGATGTTGGCAGAGCGAAAGGGGTCGCTGTTTTCGTCTCGAGAATCTTACGAGCAAGAAGCCGCGAAGGAAAGGAACCCGTGCTTTGGGCAATTGGGAACACTAACAGCCAAGGCGCAGAAATTGCCTGTTTAGAGGTCGTATGATGGAGAAGCGTAGGCAGGGGTGTAATGTCCCGAAAAGAAGGGTGCTACCCGTGGTGGTTGTTCGTTTGTCGGTCTCTGGTATGTTTCGCGGATTTTGCTCGAGGCAAGGAAGTCTTGCGTTGTGTTGCACAGAGCGAAGGGGGATGTGGAGGGTATTTCGATGGTCACTCTCGGGAAGATTATGTACGATCGACGCAGATTCAGGCCCCCATAATAAAAAAATAATGAGAATGAGAATAATAATATGGGCCTACAAGCCAAGCTGCGAAGCAGAGAGTAATGGTGCGGCGGCTTTGCTCCTGTCAACGGGGAGGTCGTCTGTGTAGCAGGTCGAAAAGGTCAAGAGGTTGCGATGTCTCGTCGCCGACAAGGAGGACTGTTCGGGGAGGTGGGTTTTCTGGGCGGTTCTTGGAGAAAATCCTGGGTCCCCGGAACATGAAAAGCGGTCATCGTACGATTTTGGGTGGGGATCAGCCCAGACTCGGTGCTGGACAAAGGTTAAGACTGGCCGGTCTGAGGTACGTACTTGTCCCAAACGGGCACTCATTGTTTACATGTACCAGTCTACCGATACCACTACCAGCAATGGATCCCCGACTTGTAGTGTACACTCCACTATGAACAGGCGGGCAGGCGGCAGGGCAGCTCTTTGCCGGCCTCGCTGGCCCGCGAGTTCCTTAGTCATCGCGGAGCATGAGGCCCTGTCGGCCGAAGGCTCCAAGAGAACCCGAAGCATCGATGGAACAAGTTTGCAAAGATGAAATCTCTCGCGTTGAAACTCGCATCATCCATTGATCCAAGGCCAGGATGTCCCCTGCTGGCGAACTCGAGAGTGATGCATCTATTACCTCGAGTTGCCTGGAAGCTCCCTTTGTCCGCTTCCTGATTCCTCCTCGCCTTTCGCATTACGAAGAAAAGGATCAAGCCAGCTCGCTCCATATCCGATACTAATTGGATCGTTGTATCTCTTTGGCACGCGCGCTCACCTCGATGCCCCTCGTCTCAGTGCCCTCTCCTTCCAGAGGATGACTAAACCATTGGAAGATGGCTGGCCGGCCGGTGGGATTATGCCTGATGGTTCCCTTCTTGAAGTCGGACTAGACCCATTTGAATCGCCAACGTCAATTTCATGAGCTCCAGGGTCGATTCATTCCCTCCTCCGCCGTGTGTGCACTCAACTGTCACATGTCCCAAACCAAATTGCGGAGCCAAGAAAAATCAAGAAAAATAAGAAAAAAGGATCAAAAATAAATAGTTCCTCATATTCGGAATGTCGCCAACACCGACTAGTTCCCGTTTCCCATCTGAGAATTCGTATTCGGAAATTATGCCTCTTCTTAATCTGACGATGTTCGTCAAGTGCGGCTTTAACCTTGGGGAGCTAATGCTCAATCGATTCTGTTTTCCTTCTAACCCTCTTCTTTTGCTTCGACATGGTCTCAGCCCTCCTAGCCTAGGAAGCTAACGTATTCTACGGCGATCCTTCAACGGCTTTCACCAGGTTCATTCCAGTCTCTCACCTTCTAGAAGCCACAGACACATTCAGCCTCCGAAGCCATGAACATTCCGCAAATCCGCGCATTTTGTGGCTGATTGACAGGTCCGGTTTCGGGGATCTGACACGATCTCGGAAAGTTTCCATCCTGCCTCCGTCTCTAGTCTCTGGTTCTTCCCGCTTCTCTTTAAACTTGTCTTTTTATTTTTGCTTAGGTGAACTCGGGTTCTTCAGAACTGCAACGTCAATGGAGTCGAGATGACATCGATTCGAGCAACCCAAAAGGTAAATGATTAACGCCGTTGATGTCGTACTTTCCCTAGCGGCCGCGCCCAAGAGAACAAAAAACCCACAAAACCTAAAACATTTTCGAGTAACTCTTTCTTATACAGCGGGAGACTAGCCTGTACAAGCTAAACACCGGAACCTTACATATCAAGGAAGTGAAGATAAAAGAAAAAGTCAAAATACGCTTATCTCATGCTGAGAAAGAAGCGCAATAGCAAGACGCCTCGTCCGGTGGAGGGGTCGTTCGTGACACATGCCCAATTAGACAAGAAATGTTTCCTGCCACTCCATTCGTCCCGCCGGGCGACCACGGAGTCAACCGGATTCCGCAGAGAGGAGGTTCGGGCCACACGGCGCGGACCCGGAGAGAGAGAGAGAGAGAGAAGAGCACCCCGCCTAATCTAACTTTTTTGTCCTTTTTTCTCTTCTCTTCGTCCCCACGTTTGGAATGTATTAGCCCACTCCGATGACTCGGGTTCTAACGGGCCCCTACCCTCGGGTGGCGTCGGTGCCAAGCTCCGCAATCCCCTCTCCGTCCTGCCACGGCGGGTTCAAGCTGGAGAGCCAGCGGCCGCATCCGGAGGGGGCGTTTAGCGAAGATCTGCTGATTCCCGCTTCGTCGCCAGACATATAACGGTGAAAAAGAGAAAAGTCTCCGCTCTCTTTAACGTCGGTTTGATAAGAAAGGAAAAGAAATGGGGAAACGGCAAACCTTTGAGCCTCCAGTTTTCCGTTTCCCGAGTGCACATTCTATATCACGCTTATCCTCCCTACCTTTGCTGAGGTAACTAGCGACTGTGTCTATCCAGTGTGGAGTTTACGTCAAGGGACGAGTGTCGACATGCCCACTTCGAGTTTCCTATCGCACAAGCACGGTGGTGGCTCTGATGAAGAAGTTGTGTTCATTAACTGTCATTGATGAGAGTGCAAGATAACTCGCCCTACTTTCTAAACCTCCACCGCCTCCAGACTTAGGCTGGACTATAAAATGGTATAACGACAAAAGAAATGGACTATGAAATAAGAAAAAAAGAGAAGAGAAAAGATTTGAGAAAATATAGACATGAAACGATGGTCCCGTTGCCACGTCTGGCTAATCGTCCTTCTCCCAACATCTCTCCAACATGGCACAAACTCCGTTCCCCGCGTCGAGGCTGTTTTTGGTCCCCGCAAGTAGTAATATGGGGACAGCCAAGTCATATAAGTGAATGAGAAGGGATAATGAACAGCGTGCGAGTTGGCGAGAAGTACGCGCCGACCAAGAGGAAGGGCGATGTCTTCTTGTTACCGACCCGCTCTAACTGCCTGGGTGGTCCGCCAACCTCCGAAGTCGAAGACCATCCAAAAGTCTAAAAGGGAAAGAAGGAAACAAGCCAAGTGACCCGAGAAAGAAGAAAAACGGAAGAACGCTTTGGCCCTGTTACAGAAGCGCAACTGATAGGCTTTGCTTGGTCCGTTTTTGATTTACCAGATATCCTCGCTGCTCTTAACCATTTCCACGGTGGGCGTCTTGGGCTCCAACCTCTTCATCCGCTTCCTGTCAGCCTTGGTGACGAGGGACGGGGTCATGGGGACGCAGGGAGTGTAGGGCTGGTAAGGGGAGTAGGGCACCGCCATGCCAGTGAAAGGCGTCATGGCCCCGCTTGGAGAGAGGGGTCCAGTGCGCTCGAAAACGGTCTGCTTGGTGCTGGCGTTGGTGGATCGGGGGAGGCCAAGGGGTTTTCGTAGGCACGGAGGGGCAACGATCCACCCGTCCTCACGGCCGTGGGGGCGTTGGGCCGCGAGAAGCTCGAACCGGGCTTGGGGCTCGAGGGGATAGGTAAAGTCATTGGGCCCCTGAACGACCGAGGGGACGCTGGCAGGCTAGGGAACCTATTGACACCAGGCTTAGGGGACTGAGGTAGGCCAACCAGAGGGCTCTGCGAGTGTGTCGACACGGCGGACTCGGGCTCAGCCTCGGTAGGGGCAAACGACACGTTGCGGGTGTGAGTGCGCCCCTCCATGGCGGCGACGCCAATCCTCTCATCGATGCTCTGGGTGCCGTCGGGGAGCGATCCGGGGTCAGGGGCAAGACAGGCTTGGCTCCGTGGTAGAGAGTTTGGTGGCTAGGGATGGGGGCGGGGCAGCGGGCGCATATTGGCGCGGGGGATGGTGTTGAGCTCCTGGGACTCGCGGGGAAGGTTCCGGACATGGGGGTCATGATGGGAGAGGAGATGCTAACGCCCTTCATCTTGCTCCTTCTGGGGGACATAAGGGAGGAGAAGAGGCTGGAAGCCTTGGACTGGCGCTTCTCCTCCCCGGCGCCCGCACCGAGGTTGAGCTGCGCGGGCCGGGCCCGCTCCTTTTGATGGTGGCGGGGGCATGGGGCCCGATGACGAGTTGGACTCCCGGCGGTCGGCGCCGATAGCGATGGGGACGGGAGGAGCCTCTACTCCATTAAGCTTGGCCTCCTCATGTTCCAGGACATATTTGTACATGTCCTCAAGGCGAGTTTGAGCCATGACTCTGTCCGCGGCGACGATTCTCTGGTCGACGGTGTGGTCAACTCCAAGGGGTGATCGAATAGTAGACGTGGGCGAAGCAGGGAAGACGTAAGTCTGGTGCTCCGGTAGGCGGGGAGTTTGAGGAGTGTAAGCAAGGGGCGAGTCTATAGAGGCGTAACCAGCGTCGCCGTTGAGTATGACGGGGCTACGGGGAATGCTTCGAGGAGATGTAGGAGGCCAGGCGTACACCCGCTCTTCTTGAACGACAACGGCGGCCTGCGGCTTGTCGACGTTTTGCAAAAATTCAGTCTCGTTCTCACCAGCGCTGAGATGTTCCCTGCGCCTCTTGGATAAGATGAGCAGCGCGATAGCGACAATGACGAGCGAGAGGGCGTAGGATCCGACGATGCCTCCGATCTGGGCGGGGAGGTAGGTTGATAGCGTCGGCGCGGTGGAGGGAGTGTCGTCGTCTGTTGCGGTGATGGTGGCGGGGGCCTTGGAACTATCGGCCTTCCTTTGGAGGGCTGAGGGGAGGGCGGTGGCGGCGTGGCACAAGAACAGGGAGGGGATGATGATGTTGGTCAATAGGGAGCGTGAGTGGCGCAACGACCAGGCTCGGGTAGATGATGTTAGGGATGGAGGGGGTTAGAAGTAGAATGGAGATGAGAGGAAGAAGAAGAAGAAGAAGAAGAAGAAGAAGAAGAAGAAGAAGCAATAGCTAAGATTGAATCAAAGAAGTAGAGGTCGAGGCCCGGCTGAGTTTAAGAGGGTGGTGATGGCTGTCTAGCATGTTGATGTCAGGGACGTAGCCTGGTCCTAATGTACGAATGATCCTCCACTTTGAGATCGACCGGCGCCGCGAGCAAGACGAAACATGTTGCGAAGGAGAAGTCGCATGGGAGGAGAAAGGGGGGAATAAAAGTCGGGATATCCAACGAGACAAAGGGCGTGGAGGGTATATACTCGAATGGGGCGGCGGCTGGTGATGTACAGCTTGTGTGTCGAGACCTGTCCTGGGCCTGGGGGGCGGGAAAGGAGAGCCGAGGGGAATTGTGCATGGACGACTAGCTTACACCCCCTGTCAAGCGGTTGTAGACCTCTGGTCTTTTCTTAGTTCCTGTGCGGCCAATTTTTATCCTTTTGAGTCGTGGGGGATGGAGAAGTCGGATGCGAGGCGAGGCATGACTGGTTCCTTTTCTTGGGAAGGTGCATTTGTACATGGACTAGCAAGTGCTTCCTTGGCCCCCTGTTCACCGCAGATATCCAATCCGTGGTCTTGTCACACACCAGGCACATGGAGCTAGGCTTTCTGCTCGTCGTCTTGGACAGCCAGCTCGAGAACATGCATTATTATGGTCTATACCCCCTGTTCTTTCCTTCACACCCGCCGCGCTCTGTGTGTTTTTTCTTGTGACAAGATGCCGGCCTAAGCTGTCTAGAATGCTGCTCGGGTTCGGACTTGACAGAATGACTTATTCTAGGTCTCCTCCTCGGCCCCATGGCTGTGGGGTTAAAAGAAAAGAAAATTACAAAGAAAAAGGCCACCCATAAAGAAAGAAACCCCCGGGCAGAAGGGAGGATGTGTTCCGTGGATCTGAACAGAGCGAGCGAGACACAAAAGACCACAGAGAGAGAAAGAGAAAGAGCGAGGGAAAGCTCTCTTGCGCATACTTCGTCCTTGCCAATGGGCGAGGGTGGGGCAAAGGCAACGAAGAGAAGCAGCCAGCCAACGAAAGCGCTCAGAATTTGAATGGCGGCGGCTGGAGAAGGATGCACAGGCCGAGCGGGACATGGAAAGAGCGATCGCTGATGCGGGACGCGAAGCTTGCCATTGGCTGAATGGGCGTGATGGCAGGGGTCAGCTAAGCGCCCGGAATCGAGAGGGGACGAATTGGATGGATGAATCCCGCTCGCCATCGTGATTGGGCGGCGTGGTCGGTGCTTTTGGGGATTTTCTCTTCCCTGGTGGCCTCGATCCCTCTGTGCGCGCGCAGTGGTTGGCGGACGGAGGGGGTGGTTGAGCTCGACTTGGCTGAAGATCTGTTGATCGATTGGGTCCATTGCGTCTTCATCTGAGATGACTATTCATGGACAACTGAACCGTCCCTCTTGGATTAATGCCTCTACCCTGTCCTTGGTGCAGGACTTCTTCATGTCGCGATAATTGAGTTGCTCGTCTCGTCTCGTCTTTTTCTCTATTAGCACCCTCTATGAGAACAGCAACTCTCGCGCTCGCTCTTACATGTAGTCACTAAAGTTGTTTCGTCGTGTGATGGATGGATCGATGCAATTCTATCCATCAATTGAAAACACATTCGGCTAGCCTCTACCGAGGTGTGATGCAGCCTATTTATCCCCATCAGCTACTTCATACGTCTCCCTCAGCACATCGCACTCCTCGGCGCCCTTCAACACGAGAGGTCCCGGTCGTGGACGTCTGTTGCTTAGAGGACTGGTCTGAGGAGTGAGATCAATTGGAGTCTGACTATTATGCGGGTGACCCTGGGATGATCACCCAATCTATTCCTACGCCCAGTGCGCAGAGCGTGCAATATCCAATTCTTCAAGATTCGGAGGGATCCTCTCGGTTCGGTAATGGTGGGGCCGGGAGCATTAAATTGCTCCAAACTGGCACGCACACACTGCCACTCATGGAGCCAAGTTCCATCATCCATCAGCACCCCCTCGAATTCGTCCCTGGCAGAAAGACGACTGAACTATTCCCACACCTAGCGGTGTGCTACAAGTAGAAGAAGGAAAAAGAGAATCCACAATGGAATGGCATGGATTGCTAGGGCTCCATAGGGTTGGAGAACCAGCTTCGAGACTCTCCCTCTAAAAATTCCGCCTAACGCTCCCTCGTTGGTCAGTAGCCCGACGAGTCTTCAGGGACCGCGCCGCTTGATTGAGACGACGGGCTCCTCAGTAGCCGCCGGGGGTCCTTGTTAATCTGCCGAAGCGGCTCTCGATACTGGCCTTAGGGGCCTTGTTTTGTTGAGCTAGTGCTGGCCAAGTTGAAAACTCGTGCTTTTCCCAGAGGAACCAGCAACCGGAATAGACCAATTCCCTTGCCAGGGCTGTTCCGGATTTCGTCCCCTCTGGTGTATGATAGCTCAAGGGTGGGATTTCTCATTGATCCACGACCCTCATGAGACCTTATGATGCCCCTGACTTCAAGTTCCTTCATGTTCTCTGGCGCCAGCGTGATGAAGAAAGGTTAACGGCGCAATGGTCGTCTATTGGGTTGATTGACCCTCCATGTCCCCAGCAGTCATGCGAGGAATCCAAAAATTAGCAAGGTCGAGGGCACTACGATTTCATCACAGAATCAAACCACTACAGGCTAACAATAATGACAGAACTCTTCCCTAGAACAGGGAAGAGAAACCGGACAAGTCGGCGAAAGTGTGATGACCTTTCCTAACATGGGCATTCCACAAGCATGGCCTGGACGCGGATGATATGTCAGGCCGAAAAGTCGCATAGGGTTCTGGGCCGAACAAAGAATGAAAGTCAAGAGGAGACAAGGGACAGCTCAGCTTGTATTAGTCGGACTCCGTGCTTGGATTTCTCTCCCCTCTCTCTCTAAAATCAACCGCATAATTGTCGCATGGCCGTTCACGCGGGTGATTGACAGGGTTAGCCTCGAAAGCCCAAGCTTTGTCGGCGCCTAAAAATGACCCATTGAGCAAAGCGTCCATGGTCACTTGTGCACTGACACCGACTAGCGTAGATCCTCTATCCGCGCCTCGACGAATCTCATTGCCGCTTTTCAGGGACGACATGGACGCAGCTCTCGCCGCTGATGTGCTGTGTGAATGCAGGAATGGGAAGACAGACGAACTATTGTGATCATCGGCCGGATCCCCCAATTGCGATATCCTCCCCCTCCTATACCGTGTGATGATGGCAGTTGATGATGTTGATGTTGATGTTGATGGGGAAATAGAGGTGAAAGGAACAGGGGTAGGCAGGAGACGCAACTTGAGCATTGCATGGCAACTATTAATTTCTTGTCCTCAAGCCTGTCCTGGCCTTCCCCCACCCTCCTCTACGATGATGCTAGCATCTCTTCCCTGTTCCGTTCATGAAAGATGAGCGCCTTTTCCTCCCCGGCTTCAAAATCTGACGATTCACACAAAACCCAAATGGTGGGGGCCGAAGCAACAGCGCGACCTGCCTTCTCGAGCCCCATGTAGTCTTTTATCTTTTTCCCCCTGATGCGCGAGGGTGGGTAGGTCGGTCCCCCTTCTACAGATGGTTACCCGAACTGGTGGGTAAAAGGCTGATGGTGTGCGAGTGTATATGCACTGGCGCCTCGCTTATGGGATTTTACCTCTGCAGAGGACGTCAACTCGCACAAGCAAGTCTTCTCCACCTCGTCTGCATGGGGACGGGTGCAGTAATCGAGCCTGCTCGACCGCCTGCATTCCTCATCACACCAGCGTTTTTCTTTTCTTTTCATGGGCTTCTCTGATGGGCTGAATCTCGGCCGAGGAGAAGGTCTGCCCCTGATGCAGCCTGCCGGATTTGCTGGGACACCACGCGATAGGACACAAAGGTGAAGGGGCAAGGCGGGTATGTGGCTCTGTCCGTCTGAATGCAGTGAGCGGGATCGTCACCCCTTCCTGATAGGTCTTACGAGATAATGGTGTTCCGCATTTTCTGGGAAGCGCATGTTGGGGGTGTGCTGTTTCAAGAATATTGCTCTGCAGGAGCGAAACCCTCCCTTCTCTCCCACAAGAAAGCGGCTCGCCATTATCATGGCACTCACTATGTCAAACAAGTTGGTTTATGTTGCTATAAGATCTGAATCCCAAGTCCTCGCAAAGGCTTGGAGTGAGGGTTCTATGACTAAGCAGACAGCGGGGAACTCTGGCGAGTGAGCTCTAGCGTTTGGCGTTGAACCCGACAGGGGTGCAGGTTCCAAGTGAGCGGTGATTGGAACATTGGACCCTCTAGACCCCACCATAACTGCCATCGTCGCGTCTGGAGCTGAAAGCCCAGAAGCTTTGGCTGAAACGCCTCGACGCCGACGTGCATTTTGAATACTGAGGTTCTCGCTCAGCCTTGACAACAAAAACCGTTTACTTCCCTCTTTACTCTGGGCTTCGAGCTTCGGGCTTCGTGTCCGCTCTTATGAGATTAACATTCATTCCAAAAACCACCCCGTGGCCACCCGTCACGAACCCGCGAATGCTGCCATGGCCGACGCGTCGGCCGCGAACGACCCTCTGCTCAGCAGCTTGAACGCCGCCCAGCGACGAGCTGTGACGTCCACCTCCGACACCGTCGCCATCCTCGCGGGGCCCGGAAGCGGCAAGACCCATACTCTCACCGCGCGTATCGTCTGGCTCATCAATTATGCCGGGTACCGGCCGTACAATCTCGTCGTCGCGACCTTTACGGTCAAGGCTGCACGGGAGATGAAGGAGCGCATCGCCCGGGCACTGGGAGAGGAAAAGTCGAAAAAGATCGTGCTCGGCACCTTCCACAGCATCGCCCGGCGGTATCTTGCCGTGTACGGAGAGAAAATTGGGCTGAAGAAGAACTTTGTCATCGCTGACGATAACGACACCCGAGCCATCATCACGAGGATATGCAAGAGGTTGGAAGGGGGACAGATCCCGCCTCGGCCAAGGACTGGATCAGCAAGAAAAGGTCGGAGCGCCCGGGCGCGACGAGATATTAACGGGGAGAAAGAGGCCTGATCCACCAGAGATGCTGAAAGTGTTTGAGGAATACAAGGACCACATGGCCAGGCACGGCTTGCTGGACTACGACGATCTTCTCGTCAAGGGGGTGGAACTGCTCCGCGCCCACCCCGAGTGCGTGAAAAACGTGCAATCCGTCTTGATTGATGAGTATCAGGATACCAACGGCGTGCAATATGAGCTTATGAAGCTATTTGCGAGCGCGCAGCGGCGCATCACCGTGGTTGGCGATCCGGATCAGAGCATCTACGGGTGGCGCTCGGCAGAGATTAGAAATCTTCACCGGCTGCTCGAAGAGTTTCCCCGGACCCACGAGATCGCCCTCGAGGACAACTATAGATCCTCGCAGCTCATCCTCGACGCGTCGCTTCAGGTCATCCAGCAGGACAAGGCGCGGTACCAAAAGTTCTCAAGCCCACGCTCCACAAGGGCGCGCGCCCGGTCCTGCGCACTCTGTGGTCTAGCGCCGTCGAGGGAGAGTGGATCGTGGCGGAGATTAGGAGGGCGGTTGTCATGTCGGGGGCATGTTGAACTACAATGATGTCTCCATCCTGCTGCGGTCGGCTGCGTTGTCTCGACATATCGAAAACGCTCTCGGCAAGTCGGGTATACCCTACAAGATGGTTGGTGAGTCGGACACATCTCAAGCGCCGTAGATTGGCCACACGATGACCTAACGCAAATTCCAGGTGGCCTCAAGTTTTACGATCGAATAGAGATCAAGCTCCTCCTAGACTATCTCCGCGTCATTTACCAGCCTGACAACAATGATGCGGTGGTACGGATAATCAACAAGCCGAAGAGGGGCGTCGGAGAGGTGACGATCAAGAAGCTCCTAGAGGAAGCGGAAACCTCGAAGCTCAGCCTCTGGAGCATGATTCTTGGGCACTGCCGCGGACAGCGTAAACTGAAGACCAACCTCACAAAAGCTGCGGAGAACAAGCTGAGTGGGGGTCTGATCCGCATGATTTGCGGCCTGCGTCACCGCCGAGAGCGCAAGGGCGAGAATGGCGAACCCGTGTTGGGGCTCGTCAGCTTGATGGAGGATCTAATTACGCAGCTCGATTTTAGAGAGCACATCCGCGCCTCATACCCGGAGGAGCACGAGTCGAGGCTCTCCAACGTTGACGAGCTTTTGACCCTCGCGGAAGACTTTGTGAAAGATCTGGATCTTGAGGAAGATCTCCCCGAAGTGGAGGGTGGATCGGGAGACGGAGGACACGGACGTTTTGGGCAAATTTTTGGCCAATGTCGCGCTTGCCACCAGCGCCCAAACAACCGATGACCTACAAGGTGTGACGGAGCTCGTGACGATATCGACGATTCACGCAGCCAAGGGTCTCGAGTGGCCGGTCGTCTTCGTGCCCGCCGTGTACACGGGCTCGCTGCCCCACTCCCGATCGGAGGACGACGACGAAGAACGGAGGCTTTTGTACGTTGCCATGACGAGGGCACAGGCGCTGCTCTACCTTACCGTGCCGTGGCACACCCACAACGAGAACCAGGTCAGCAGATCGACCTTTGTGCCAGATGACATTGTCAAGTTCTTTTCGACGTTTGGCCCCTCCTTCGAGGCCCAAACGGTGGAAGCGATGGCCAAGATCCTGCGGAGGAAGGCACCGTCCATGGCCGAGACGCTGAAGAAGCTTCCCCCTTGTTTGCCGTCGAGGACAATGCGCACGACGAGTTTCCCGCTGGCTACGATAGGCCGCGGGGCCACGTGCGCACTGCGCGGCCTGGTGGCTTGCCGTCGCCGAAGAGGCAAAACGCATGGTCTCAGCCAGGCAGGGAACAGAACATGTCGCGGTCCTCGTGGAACGGAAGGGAGTACAAGACGACGATGGAGAGCCGGACGCATTTCACCATGGCGGCGGCGGCGCTGCCTGGATTTACTACGGCGGGCGCGCATCAAACTGCCCTAGCGGCGGCAGCGGCAGCTGCAGCCGCCACGTCTACAAAGGGGAGGCTCAAAGCCGCAGCAACAGAACCAGCAAGGGTTCAGGCAGGCGGCATCGACAAAGAGGGCGGCGAACCAGCCCACACTCTCTAGTTTCATCCGACAGGGTAGCAGCGCGGCCACGCCGGCGGCGGCTATGCAGGGCACGAAGAGGCCGGCGCAGGAAATGGAGGGTCGCGCACTACCAGGGATGCACCAGCCGCCGCAGCAGCGGAAGGCCCTCAACCCGAACCAGGTGGGGAACAACTTTAACCAGCCGCTGTCGCAAAACACGATCAGCGAGCTGGCGAGCCGCGGGCTGCAGGACGTCAAAAGGCGGGTGCAGGCGCGCCGGTCCGAAATCATAGTAATATCGGACGACGACGACAACGACCTGTCGGATGGGGGACGAGCAAAGTCCGGAGCGTAGCGCTGGTCAAGACGTACCCCGGGTTCTCCAGCTCGCCGCCGCGCCCCGAGCCGGCGGAGAAAGTGCCAGTCAAGGCGGCTGTGGCGGCGGGGAGACAGGCGGCGCAGAATATGTCGGCGGGGCACGGGGCGCGTCGGCCTGTGAGTTTCCACAGCACGACGATGGGAGCAGCGCGGCTGGGCGGTGGTAGCAGGGCGGGCAGCGGGGGCGCGATACAAAGGGAGGCGGGACTAGCGCCTGTGGAGACGCTGATGAAGCCGTTTAAGCCACTGACTGTGGCGCGGAACGGGAACCTGGCGAGGCCGGAAAAGCAGGCTCGGCACTACTAAGGACGGGGCCATCCCTCGCTCACCCCTTGCATCATCGTCATCATCATCGTTATCGTTTTATCATCCTCATTTCTATTCTCGTATACCCGGGTTATTTATTGTATATACATAGAGCGGGGATTTTCGGATACGTTTCAGGCGTTATTCGAGAGGAGAGGGTTTTAAGGAACCAACATGGCACCCTCATTTTTTCTACAAGATATTTCCGAATTAGGAAGTACGAAGTATTGCAGTACACAAATCCCGGGCCGGTCGGGATGGTTCTTAACAATTTCCTACGTTTGGATGTACCTCTTGGTGTTTAATTTCGGTGCCTGCTACAAGCGTTTGGTCGTGTTATGTTAGCGCAGGTGCCGCGTCGTCCCAATGTGTTAGTGTCAGAACGATGCTCTCAGCCGTTATGCTTTGCGATAATGGCCCCTCCAACATCGCTCCGGGTCATCCATCGCCTCTCAGCAGCATGCAACTACATGACGCCGAGGAATTATCGTGCTCCTGAATGGCGGCCCGTTGTCTCGTCGTTTCCGGGGTAGAGTTATGATTCATCGGAATGAAAGAAAGGAAAGGGGCGAGGGGGATCAAGTATTTAAGGGAGGCCGAATCTCTGCCTTGCAACAGTTGGAGGATATCATCACCACCAAGCTGATTCACTCACCTACATCAATCGTAAGCCAAAGAGCCTTTCTTCTAAAGATCAAAGCCTTGTCATCTCGACCTTTTAGTTCTCTAGCAGCCATCAATCAAAGGTCTTCTCGACTGTCAAAGAACAAAACATTGCTTCCCAACACCCAGGAGGAACTATCCATTCGCCTTCCTAAACCTCAAGAACAACAACGCCCTCACAAACCACCACCTACGAAAGCGCAAAAACGAAAATTGGAACAAATTAAAAATGTCGGCCTCTCTTGTCCTCCGCCCTATCGCCGCACGCTTCACGGCGCCCTCTGCTCTCCCCACCGACTCTTCTCGACGGCCTCGCGCCGCCTCGCTGAGGCTGGGGCCAGAAACCCGCGGGAAACCCGGAGCTCCCCGGTTCAGCCTGAGGAGCGTGGCGTCGACGCCTCGGGGCCGTGCCTACCTCATACTCGGGTTTGGCGTCCTCGCTGGGCTGGAGACGTATGCCTGGACCAAGTTTGGGCCCAGCATCCTGGGATGGGACAAGGGCGAGAAGGCCTAGTTGGTGAAGGGCTGGCTTGGGTACGAAGTTAGTGGGAGGTGTTATCCACTCTACAAATGTGCATTCGTTTACGCTACTTTTTTCTTTTTTTCTTTTGTTAGAAATCTTCATATGTATCAGACTACAAACAGCAGTTGGTGTGAAAGGAAAGGCGACAATTTTGTATACTGCTACGGAGCTGCATTATTGATCCATAGATGTATTGGGGAGATGAGGGGTGGACTTGGAGGGACTGATTCGTTGGCTGGAGTGACAGAGTCAACACCCTCAAGCCCCTTTAGGGGATATTAGATGAACACCGAACCACTCAATCGCAAGAACGCTGATCGCGTCTCTCCCATTTTCCTTTGAATACGTCTTAATGTCAAGTTTACAATTTCCGCAAGCGCCGAACGTGATTTTCTTCCTCTCCTTTCTAAAGGGGAGGATGCTTCAAACCTATCCGAATAGTGGACTTGGTGTGGAAGGGGAATAATAATACGATGGACGAGGATGCACGGGAAAGAGAGCGAAAGAGAGATCTGCGTGGCGCTGGCAATCATGCCCATCTTGTTATTAACCCCCGTCAAGTTCGCCCAGGCAGGTTCTTGAGGGTGGGGGAACGAGCTGGAGACAAGGCAAGGGCCCGAGGGAGGGCCAAGGACGGACAGGTCCAGGTCCAGTCATGTGGGTAATGGAGGGAGCACTGGAGAGCGGACCGAGCAGGATCAAAAAGACAGAGCTTGGTGTTATGGTGGAGGGTGGTTGACTCTCGGCTTCAATTGTGAGATTCCTTGTGGATGCTTCCGGAGACTGATTCGCATGCTCTTAACAATGCTGGAATCTGCAATTGTTTGGTCCTCACGCTCTGTATTACTTTGTATGTGGAAAGAGTGAATATTGCGGCTTTCCCTTACCCTTTCCTCCTCCCCTCACCTTCGCCGTCATGAACAATGAGGGGTGAGTTAATGTCCCAAAAGTCCGCGATAAGCCGGGGCCTTGCTTTTTTCGTCTCTAATTAACCCAAGCGCCATTGTTGCCTTGCCGTTTTTCCCCCTTCTTTCCCTTCGCTTGTCTATGCAGACTCGCCTAATCATTAATTCTCCATTCCCACCGGCCGAGATGACCAGAGCCCAAGCCCAAGCCCAAGCTACCAGGTGCCGGAGCGGTAATGTCAAAGGTCAATGTCACGGCGTGGGTCTGGCCCCACGGGCGCAGCGACGAATCCGGGGTTGAAGGATCCCATCCATCCATTCACTGGGACCAAAGGCCTTCAACTTGGCAGCGACCAGCGCTTTGCTCAAAATGGAGGGTGGCATCGGCGGGTCAAGCGTCAAGCACAAGGACCCAAAGGTCAAAGGACACATGGGGGTGAAGAGGGAGGGCCAAAAGGACCAGAAAAAAACACCACTTGATGCCGAGTAATGTTACCAAATGACACGCTCCCCGGGGACGAGAGAGTCGGGTATCTAAATGGGAATCGACGCCTTTGCGCGGTTTTCGCTCTTTGGATCTATTACAAAGTATAGCATACTATCGAATAGTGATACCTCGGCGTACGAGACCAAGTCCCTTGGTTAAGGGGGAGCCTGAATCAAAACGGCGAGGTTGTACTTGTAGGGGAAATGATACTGGACAAGGGGGGCAAAAAAGGAAAGAAAGAAAGCAGAGAGAGAAGAGGATGGGCCATGTCCAAGTGATAATGTTGAAGTGTAGTGTACACTTGACGACTTGGCATATCATTTGCAAAGTCCTCAAATGCAATCCTGACGTCTTGATTGGCGAGGAAGGAACGATGTTGAACATGGAGGGCTACGTCACATGGGGCTTCTTTGGGGGACAGAGCACGAGAACGAACATCGCGGGCAGCACAAACTAGGCTCGATCCGATGATTTGAGGTTACAGCTCGCTGAGGTCTCCTCTACGCACACACGCATCGTACTTTGCGCATGCCTTTGTTTGCACACACACACACACACACACACACACACAAAGTGTACACACCTCTTTTTCTTGGTCCTTGTTGTTCCTTCGTTCCGCCATGGGACCTTGTTCTCCATTCGGCCCAGGTCCCTTTCTTTTGTTTGGCCACCGCCCTGCCGCCGAGCCTTTTCCCCAACCCTGGTTGCGAATCTCGCACAGCAAACGCACGATCTGCCAGTAGCATGGCTTGCCCTGGACTCTCTCCCTCTTCCCTCCCCGCCCACCCCTTTTTGGCTGGAGGGTAGATCGACCAAATCGCCAATCCGCGAGCTGAGAGCATGGGGCCCATCATCATCTCTTTCGCTCAGAGGACCAAATTTGAGCTAGGCAAGACAACCCACCACACTCCTTTTCCACCCTACCTCGGACTCTGCCGTCGAGCAGCAAGATGCGGCACAGGAAAGCGTGCCACACACCCTCCCGAGCTCCCTAGGCTGGGGGCAAGTGAGTATTATGATAGTGTCCGCCGAGAGACCCTGGTCGGATGGACAATCTCCCCGCCGTGCCATTCTCGCCTTTCCTTGGTGCATCTCTGCCCGCCAGTCGAGCGTAGCAATCAAGCAACTCGACCACTGAAAGAACAGAATCTCTCCAAGTCTAGTCCATGACCGCTGCCGAGTGTTCCTCGGATCACGCTCTTTCTTTTAAAGTGTTTCTGGCCAGGCACGCCGTGTCTCTCCCTCCCCAGTCTCTGACACCCTGACTGGCTCCATGTCTCTGCTGTGACCAGCGCCTTTCCCGCTCTTGTATTGCCACATTGCTTCTTTTTTATTCTTTTCTCCGAAAGAAGCATATGTATAACATCTCAAGTAGAACATGGTCACCCTTATATATATATATATAAACGCAGATCATCCTTGGCCTGCACAGCGCTTCCCTTTTGTACGTTTCTAGGTAGCTCGCCTCCCAGCTCCTCGCCTGTCAGTCGTCGACCAGCCACCTCTTCCCACCCACGGACGTAATAGCTCTCCCCCACCTATTCCCTATCCTCCTTTTGGGACATTTGCGCCGCGCAACGTCACTTCGGTCTTTGGATGCACGAGAGAGGGGACAAGCAAGCCGTACGCGCAGTAGCTTCCCTGTACCAAGCTCAACTTTACACCTTGGACATCTCTACTCTGAGCTATTATCCCCCTCCCCCGCACTTGACTCCCGGGACATGGTGATATCAGAGATCGGCTTAAGCTTACCGTGATCCCTCCCTGCGGTCCGTGAGGTTGATTCCGGCGGTGGACGCTTGTGGGCACGAGACCTTGATGTTACACACCTACTTGAGCGTGTTGCCAGTTTTGGTGGTTTTCGGCCTCTCTTTGATTCCCTCCTCGTCTAGAGGTATTGACGGGCGTCCTAATACTTGGAGTTATTCGATCCCTGTGGCCTTGTAGAGATATATATATATATATATATATAAGAAGAAGACGCCCAGGCTTCTTCCCCGAACCGGTTTACTAATATTCGCTACTTAATAATTTCCAAGCTTCCGGAGGTTGCCACAGCCGTACCGCCTCCTTCAGTCATGGCGCGACACTTACACGCCGGGCCCCGCCCCGCCGTTCTCAACTTGCTCACGTTGGCCCTCACCTTGATCCTCGCCTTCCTCACCACCCCCTCCCATGCTTCTCCCCTAGCTGCCGACCTACCCCCGCGGATACCAGGCACATCCGACTCCCCGCGCCGCAGATGGCGACAAGTACCTGCTCGGCGTGGGGAAAGGCGACATCACCGGCCCCGTCGTGGAGATCAACTTTGCCGGCTACGCCGATACCGACCAGGTCGGCTCCGGCTTGCGCCAGCGCTTGTACAGCCGCGCTTTCATCATTGGCGATAAGAGCAAGCCGGCGGACCGCTTCGTGTATCTCGTCATTGACACCGCGTCGGGCGATACCGCCGTGAGGAACGGCATCGTCGAGGGGCTCAAGGCTCTCGGCGGAGATTATGCCAAGTACTACAACAACCGAAACATTGCCGTGACCGGAACCCACAGCCATGCGGGCCCTGGTGGATGGTGGAACTATCTGTTGCCGCAGGTTACTAGCTTGGGGTTTGACCGTCAGGGTTACCAGGCCATTGTGGACGGTGCCGTGCTCTCTATCAAGAGAGCCCATGATTCCTCACCGAGGTACGTTTTTAAAAAGGAGAGAAGGAAAAACAAGGAATCAAGGGAAAAGCAAAAAAGCCGAAATGGTGAATAGGCGGGTGGCTAACATGGCATCCTAGGGCTATCTCGACGTCGGCACAACCGACATCACCGACGGCGCCATCAACCGCAGCCGCTGGGCCTACCTCGCCAACCCGACGGCAGAGCGCGCGCGCTACTCGGCCGAAACAGACACCACCATGACGCTCCTGCGCTTCCGCCGCGCCTCGGACGGCAAGACGACGGGCGTGCTCACCTGGTACCCGTGCACGGCACCTCCCTCCTGCAGAACAACACCCTCGTGGCCGGCGACAACAAGGGCGTGGCCGCCTGGCTCCTCGAGCGCGAGGTCACGCGCGGCACGGGCTCGCTCGCGGGCACCGCGGCCGAGGGCTTCGTCGCCGGCTTCAGCCAGGCCAACGTGGGGACACGACGCCCAACGTGCTGGGCGCCTACTGCGACGACGGCAGCGGGCAAATGTGCAGCCTGGAAAACAGCACGTGCGCCGACGGCCTATCGCAGTCGTGCCACGGCCGCGGGCCCGAGTTCCGCAAGCTCGATCTCGGCGTGTCGTCGTGCTTCGAGATTGGGAGGCGGCAGTTTGCGGGCGCGCTCTCCATCCTCGGCGCGCTCTCAGCCAAGTCTACGCCCGTGGTGGGGCCGACGGTCAAGTCGTTTCACTTTTACCACGACATGGCGTTTTCCAAGTTTAGGCTCCCGGACGGCACCGAGGCGACGACGTGTCCGGCGGCGCTGGGCTACTCGTTTGCCGCGGGCACGACGGACGGGCCGGGCCACTTTGACTTTACGCAGGCGGACGCGGGGATCCGGACGCGAATCCGGTGTGGTCCGTGATTTCGGGGTGTTGCGCACGCCGTCGGCCGAGCAGAAGAAGTGCCAGGAGCCCAAGCCTATCCTCTTCGACGTGGGCGAGATGAGCACGCCGTACGCGTGGTCGCCCAACGTGGTGGACGTCCAGGTCCTTCGCGTGGGCCAGCTCGTCGTCATCGTCAGCCCCGGCGAGGCCACGACCATGGCGGGCCGGCGGTGGCGGGAGGCCGTGGGCGCCGAGGTGCGCGGCCTCATCGGTCGGGACCCCGTCGTGGTGCTCGGCGGGCCGGCCAACACGTACTCGCACTACATCACCACGCGGGAGGAGTTTGGCATCCAGCGCTACGAGGGCGCCTCCACGCTCTACGGCCAGCACACGCTCGCGGCCTACATCAACCTGACCGTCTCCGCCGCGCACCACCTCGCCCCGGACGCGTCCTCGAGCCCGGCTCCGGGCCCCTCGCCGCCGGATAATCGCAAGAACTCGCTCTCCTTCATCACGGGCGTCGTGCAGGATAACCCCCATCGGCAGCACCTTTGGGAAAGTCGTGACGCAGCCGGCGGCGAGCTACGCGCGGGGCGCTACGGCGCGCGCCGTCTTTGTCGGGGCGAACCCGCGCAACAATTTGCGCCTCGAGGGCACGTACGCGGCGGTGGAGAGGTTGGAGAGCGGGGGTCAGTGGCGTAGGGTGCGCGGGGACGGGGATTGGTTCCTCGTGTACTCGTGGAAGCGCAAGGATTGGCTGTTTGGCACGAGCGAGGTGACGCTGGAGTGGTATACGGGCGAGGATGGGGCGGCGGCCGATGTGCAGCCGGGGACGTATAGGTTCAAGTATTACGGGGACTCGAAGAGCTTGTTTGGGTCTATTTCTTCTTTTGAGGGGACGAGTAATAGCTTTACGTTGGCGTGATTTCTACGCGAGTTCTTTCTTTCTTTCTTTCTTTCTTCTTTTGGCTTATCTTCTTTTGAGGGTAAGGGGGCCTCCCACTTTCCTTGCCCCTTTTGATATCTTTTTACTTCTTCCCATTCTTTAATCCACCATCTAGCTGCATTTAGGGCTGGAGAAAGATGGTGTACCACATGTATATACATCCATGATAATGATGAGAGTTATGAGTTTTGACGAGCAGGAAGAAGACTCGCAGATGACTATGACTATGTGCATTGTATTACAAGAGAGGATTGTGAAATGAACAAAAAAGTTGGGTATCAAACAGGCTATATATATAAGATTACAAGGTGAGTCGCTTTAAAGAGCGGCGAAGACCACGCCCACTTCAGTAGCCGCACCGCTCCCTTAACCACGACGCGACAGTGTGCGCGGCGGTTCCGCGGTCAATCCCCAGGCCGGGTCATCGGCGTCGTCGACACCGAGTACGCGCACCCTCTTCTCGGGGAGGTCGCCGTCCTCGTCAAAGTCGAAATCCCATTCCCTGCGCTCCTTGACCTCGAGCTTCTCGACGCTGCGGCGCATGAGGGCGGCGAATTCGAGGGCCTGGGTCTCAAAGGTGTTGCCCCATGGTTTTAGGGGCCGAGGGGTGGACGACTTTTTCCTACGCGAGGGGCGGGACGAGGAGGAAGAAGAAGAAGAAGAAGAAGAAGAAGAAGAAGAAGAAGAAGCGGTAGCTTGGGGCTGGGAGTGGGGAGGGCGGGAGTACATGAGAAGAGTGTCGGGGATCTTGAGAGTGGAGGAGCGAGGGGGAAGATTAGGGCGGCGCGCCGGGGAGGAGCGGGTGGGGTTGGGGCCAAGATGGGAGAGGAGCTCGCAGAAGAGCTAGCAGAGACGGAGGCGAGCCAGTCAATCTGGGAGGCAAGGGTATCGGAGCGGGTGAAAGAACTGGGGACGTTGATGCCGGGGGTCTGGAACATGAGAGCAGGGCTGGCAAAGACGTCGAAGAGGCGGGCGGGACGGTGGCCAAAGAGGCCGGGCATGAGGGCGGCGAAGCGGGCGAGTTGGTCGCAGCCCTGGTAGGAGACGGTGGACCCCGCGAGAACCGTCCCTCGTTGCTCTAGATCGTCCTCCTCCGCCGCGTGGGCCAGTAGCGTCCGTCTCGCGGCGGCGGCGCGGGAGCGGGAACGGGGCGGGGATTTGCGGTGGGCGCGGTGGTCCGGGAGGAACATGGGCCAGCTGTAGATGCCGTTGAGGACGGCGAGGCCGCGCACGGCAAAAGGGAGATGGGGGCGGGATTCGGTGAGGGCGAGGGAGGTGGCGAGGGAGGCGCCGAGGTGGGAGGAGAGGACGAGGATGTCGCGGCGGGTGAGGCCCGGGGGTGCGAGGTTGGTGGAGAGCCAGTGGTAGGCGAAGGCGACGTCGTGGACGGGGGTCGGCCAGTAGAGGGGGTGGCGAAGGGGGCGGCGGCACCGGGGTCGTCGGCGTCGGAGAGGTCGCCGTAGTTGTCGTCGGGGGCGAATGAAATGGGGGCCGGGGGTGAGCTGGCGGACCAGCGGTAGTGGATTACGGCGGTGGGGTAGGGCTGGAGGAGGGGAGGAAGGGCGTCGGGGGATGGGGTGGGTGAGGGGAAGGGGGCAGATAGATGAGGAGAGGCGTGGTGGCTGTCTGTTCGGAGATGTTGTGGAGGCTGTGGATAAAGAAGAAGGGGAAGGCCAATGTTAGTGGGGAAACGCGGCGGCGAGGGATAGATGCAATGAAAGAAAAAAAGAAAAAGGCCAGGTGAGGCACGTACGAGATGGCGATTGAGCCGGCAGAGCCGCAGGGGACTTCGACCGTCTGGTAGTCGGGGTGGTGCTGCTCCATCGCCACGGGGCCTGGGACCGGGTTCGGGGCCGGGGCCGGGGCCGAAGAGGGAGCAGCGCCGGTTTAGCTTGGGGGACGAAGGCGCCGCGATGGGAAAGCCGGAAAAGCCATGGCATTGGGAGGAGGGACACGATAATAGGGTGAGATCGAGCTAGTGGAGCAATCCCCGGCTTCAAAGGGGGAGGAAAAGGAAAATTTCCAAATAATGACGATGGAAGGGCGTGGTCTAGTGTACCTATGTAGTTCTATCAAAAGAGTGGACGCGCAAGCGAGGGTGTAAAGGAGGGTGAGCTTCTGAGCAAGCTGCTCGTGATGAGTGCAAAAAGTGGATGCACGTCAGCGCTGCTCAGACGCGCAGCGCGTGCGGCGTTTCGAGGATTCTCGGAGATAAAAATAGACATGGGGACATAATCCCCGATGCAGCAGACCCCATAGACTAACAGCTGCGATTGAGTCTTAGACATCCCACGAGCTCGAATAGCCGTTGCGAGAAGTCGGGGTCTTGTTTTATTTATTAGATCGTCGATGACAACCTAAGAAAATGGATATGCCTTGTCTTGAATCCTCTGCGGAAAGGAACGTGAAGCCTCAAGATGTATCTTCACTGCACACTTGTCCACACAAAAGTGAGTGCTCAGACTGCGATCAACGGCATGTTTCCGCATCTCATGAATGTCTTGCATTGTCCTCAATCACATTGCGCCAAATCAAAAATGGTCTGTCCATTCCCGATCTAGAACCTGTGGCGTTGAAGAGAGGAGACTCGGGAAAGTATCTGCCCCCATCGTAGCTTCCGCCCCATATCCACCTGATATCGTGAAGGCATCGCCCCTCCCTCTCAGCACCAACTTGCTCCACGTAGTCTCCCATCGTAGACAAACCAACCCTTTGAGCCTGATCAAGCCTGATCAAGCCTTTCCAAGCTCGCCAAATCGAAATGGGCCATTGATCTATGGATCCATCTATGGATCAATTCCCAATAGTTTCAAACCATGATAAACCTTAAAATTCCACGCAGCCGCCACAACAGACTAACCTGAAGCTTCCCGCTTGGTCTTGTTTCCCCGTCTCTATATGTACCCTTGGAGTCCGTCTCAAAGGGACCCTTGGTTGTTGGTTGTATGCCTGTCTACTCTCCGACGACCTTTCGTGCCTTGCTCTCTCCCCCTACCTCCAAGATACCTTCGCCCTTACCCCCAATTCCTGCGCAGCCTCCCCTCTTCTCATATATCACTATCAGGGCTCTCACGCTCACCCGCTTCAATACAACACGCCCTTCCCCTTCCCCTCGATGTATCAACTCCCGTCAGCTTCCTTTGATCCCTCTTCGGTCCTTGACGCCATCGTCCACCTACCAAGATGACCTCGAGGCCCTCTGTTCCAAAAGTGGATTCTGGAAAGAGTGAACGGCCTCCCTGGTGAACACCCCTCTGGTCTCAGCGAGTCTACCGATCTAAATCCACTCCTCGAGCCAACGTTTGTGCTGCCCTCTCTATCCCTACCTTCTCCCCACCAATCCTTTTGTTGTTCATCTACTAATGCCGCTTGCCACTTGTTTGTAGCCGCTGGTGGTTCGCTTCGTCCGCTTTCCCGCTCATAGCTGGATGTCTGGGTCCCGTTGCCTCTGCCCTTAGTATATGCGCCCTTGCTCAGCCATGGCAGCAATACCGTCCTGCCGGCTCTCACTGGAAGGAGCGCCATTTCCTCAAGAATCCAAAATGGTACACCAATGCCTCCCTCCCCCTTCCCTCACACGAATATAACAATGCTAACCATTCACGTCCCCCTAGGATCTTCATCGTTAACCTCATCCAAGTCATCGTCGCTCTCCTCGCCAACCTCGCTCTATTCCTCAACATGACGCGCCGCCTCCGCTTCTCCATCGCCCTGCCCATCACCATCATCGGCTGGTACGCCTCCGCCGTCTGCCTCTGCATCATCACCTCGATCGCCCACATCTACATCAAGCCCACCATGCCCCAGGACCACGTCTGGTCCGAGGCCTTTGGTACGGCATCTGGGCCGCCGTGCTCTACTGCATCGACGCCACCCTCCTCGTCTTCACCGCCTACGGCGCCTACACCCGCCACTACTCGCGCGACTTCCAGCTCACCGCCAGCCAGCGCACCCTCATGCTGCAGACCATCATGTTCCTCCTCTACCTCCTCCTCGGCGCCCTCGTCTTCTCCAAGATCGAGGGCTGGCCCTACCTCGACGGCGTCTACTGGGCCAACATCACCCTCTTCACCATTGGCTTCGGCGACCTCGTCCTCAACACCCACCTCGCCCGCGGCCTCCTCATCCCCTACGCCTTTGTCGGCATCATCAGCGTCGCCCTCGTCATCGGTTCCATCCGCACCCTCGTCCTCGAGCGCGGCAGCAGACGCGTCGATGCCCGCGTCACGGAAAAGAAGCGCCTCAAGGTCCTGCGCCGCCTCACCCGCCGCGGCCTCGACGACGTCCTCCACCCCATCCGCGCCACCGTGTCCCCGGATCCTCAACCCTCCCCGGCCCGTCCCCTTGCCGCCACCACGTCGCCGACTTGAACGAAGCTGCTCGCAAGGCCGAATTCGCCCGCCGCGAGGCCGAGTTCAAGCTCATGCAAATGATTCGCCGCGAAGCCCGCGCACGCCGCCGTTGGATCTCCCTTGCCTTTTCCCTCGCCCCCGGCCTCACCCTCTGGCTCGCCGGCGCCGCTGCCTTCCAGCAGTTCGAGCAGCCTTACCAAAAATGGTCCTACTTTGACGGCTTCTACTTCACCTTCATGTCTCTCACCACCCTCGGCTACGGCGACCACACCCCCGTCTCCAACGGCGGCCGGTCCTTTTTCGTCTTCTGGGCCCTCCTCGCCCTTCCCACCATGACCGTGCTCATCTCCAACGCCAGCGACACCGTCATCAAGTTCATCCGCATCGCCACCCTCGAACTCGGCAAAAAGACCATCCTGCCCGGCGAGCACGGCTTCGAGCGCGATTTCGAGTTTATCCTGTACAAGCTATCCTTCCATCGCCTCTTTCGCCACAAGTTCAATATCCGCCACCACGCCAGCAACTCGGAAGGCTTCATGGGTCATCTCGCGCGCTTCCGCGACAAGTACAGCGTCGGCGGCAGCCAGATCGACGTTGGAGAATGTCTCCACTGCAGCGACGACTTGAACACCAACGGCAACGACGACGCGGGCGGTAGGAGCGGCAGAAGCGGCAGCGATACCAACGCCCTCCGGCGACCCGCCACCCCAACCCCCGCGACCGCTTCGAGGCCGAACCTCCTCCGCCGCCGCACCAGCAGCAGTTCCGCCCTCTCCGAATTCACCATCCCGCCCCGCGATCCCGCCGACTACCACTACCGCCTCATCTCCGCCATCGCCGAGGTCGCCAACGACGTCAAGACCGACCAGGAAAAGCACTACACCTTTCGGAAATGGGTCGAGTACCTGACCCTCATCGGCGAGGACGAGGCCTGTGCCGAACTGCACTGCGCCCCCAGCCTAGAGTTCGCCCCCGGCTGGGCCGCGAGGGCCTCAAGATGTGGGAGCGCAAGGTCGAGAGGGACGCGCGCAGGCGGAGACGACAGCGCGCCCGGGACACCAAGGACGGAAAGGACGGGGAAAAGGAGGAGCAAGACCGGCTCGACGAGGAAGGCGACGAGGAAGGCGACGAGGACGAGGACTTGGAGGACACGGAGGGAGAGGACCCCGATCGGTGGAGCTGGGTCGGGAACCACAGTCCCCTTATGAAGGGCGTGTCCGAAGGGGAGTGGATCCTCGAGAGGCTCATGGCCAAGCTCAAACTCGAGTTGGAGACGGCTCGTCATTGCAAGCGGAAACGGAGGCAGCACCGCGCACACATTGTCCCGCCTGTGCGGAGACGGGCGCCTCCTCGTGCCGAAGGCCGACATGGCGCATAAATGGGCCCCATCGTTACTAAATTCACCTATTCTGAGGGACGTGGATCTATTGTTATTATTTCTTTATTAAAAAGGATGTACCGCTTTAATTTCAAACCCTCTTCGCTATGGCAAGGGTTTCCTCAGTCTATGGATAATACGCTTACTCGATGCTGTTCTTGTGTCTCGAGGTGTTCCCCCCGTCTTAATCGAAAGGGGAATAGGGAAAAAAGGATAGAAAAGAAAAGAGAAGAAACCCCTTTGGCCAGATGTAATGTATGCGATCCCTAACTCCGTCTTTGCTTTTCCTTTTGTGAATTCTTCTGTAATAACGAGAAAAGAAAAGATATCTCGGAAGGGTATTTCGGCTTGTGCCCAAGTGTTACCCATCTCAAACTCCACGGAATACGTCTAAAAGCAAGTCTGATGCCGCCCACCGATGAACCCATGCAGGAAATAAGAATTAGGAAAAGAGGATGGAAATGTGAAAAAAGGACGGTAAAAAAGCACGCCCTTGGAATCGTAATCGGCGCTGGCACCGGCAAGGATGGTCGTCTTTCGTTTTGACATTGCACCCTGGACCAAGCGCAAACGCTTCCTCGTTTCTTTTGTGGCTTCTCCCACGTTCAAGAAGTATTGTTTCTTCTTCTTTGTTTGCTTGTAAAAACAAGCAATCGGATCGTGCTTTCAACTTTCAGCACCAATCCTGAGCAACGCGGCCATGCCGCGAACCAGGTACCTTAATGCGCGCAGGGACGCCGCCAAACCCTCGGCCACAATGCTCAGCCCTAAGGCCAGCACAACGACCACTAACCCTACGACTAGATAAAGGCATGTGGCAATAACCCAGATCGCGCCTACGAGTCAATTTCCACCGAGGAGGAGACGCTTGTTCTTCTTGATTAGGGCGTTCAGGGCCTTTTCGTACTTGTCCATGTCCTTCCTAGATGCCACAAAAGCCTTTTCGAGCTCCTCGGGACTCAGGGGGCGCCGGCTTGGGCGGCGAGTTGTCCCTGCCGCCAGGTCCCAAGAAGCGCGGGAGGAGCTCGTCGTTGATGGGGTTTTCGTCGACTTGGTCGGCGAATAGGTTCTCTCGGGAGGTCGGCTGCGTCTCCTTGGGCTTGGCAACTGCCTTACCCTCACTTGCAGACTTGACTTGTTCAACTTCTGGAGCCGCATCCGAAGGCTTGTCAGTGCCGACATCACCCTGGAAAAGAGGGCTCGCCCTTGGTTTGTGGTTGTCCGCCGACTTCTGGTCGTAGAACATGGCCTTGAGGCGGTTCATAACCTCCGCAGTGTTGGGGTCCTCTACCTCGTCTCGCCACTTGCTCCCGCTCAGTGTGCGGTTTCCAAGACGCATGCTTGGCATGGCAAACTGGTTGGCAAATGCGATGGCCTCCTCGCGACGAATCTTGGTGTTGTATGACTTGGGGATGTCATCCTCGCCCTGGGGGAAAAGCTAGGGGGCCATTGGCCACCATGCGGCCCTCGATGATCGAAAAGTCCCCGGTTGGCGCTCGGTGCTTATCATCCTTGAAGGCTACTGGGTCGTTGACATGCTGCGCAACTCTGTCTTGAAGCAGCAAGTAGCGCTCTTCTTCTTCCTCGCTCAAACTGCGAACCACGTCGCCAAAAGGCGTGATAAGAACACGTTGGCCATTTTCTACGCGCCGGATTGGCTTGCCTGCCAGAAGCACAATTTCTTCGTGGCTCGAGACAAAGTCCTTGGAAAAGAGCTTGGGATCGTGCATGCTACCTATGTTGCCACCGCTCTTGCTGGCAATTGCGCTAGCCTCCGCACGGAGGGCGTGGCCATTGACTGGCTTGAGTAGGCTCAGTGTGTCGGGTTTCACGCCCTCTCGTACGAGCTCACGGAATATCAGGTCCGGGGTTGGCTCCAACTTTTCAAAGGGTTTCTCGGGTTCGGGGCGCACGATTTCTGCTTGAACGGGAACAGGCTCTGGAGGAGGAGGGGGACCGCCTCCTTGGCCTTGTTCTTCGCCTTCTTGTTGTCTTTCGACTTCTTCGTCGGCGATGCGCTCGCGGCGCTGGCGGTCGGGGCTGGGGAGCAGTGGGCTTCACTATGTCCTTGGCAGTTGTCGACACTTTTTTGTTCTTAGCAGTGCTGTCTTTGGCTTCCTCGGAATCGTTCTTTGGCTCAGCGATAGGCTCATCGACCTTTCTGCTCGCCTTGGACAGCTTCTCCTTCTTCTGTTTCTTTTTGCGGCCTAAAACGGGCGCATGCTCCTCAGCCTCCGGCTTGGCTGCCTCGACAATCACCTCCGTCATACCCTTATGCGCCTCTTTGCGTTGTTTGCGCTGTTGGCTCTTGGTAGTAGTGCGCAAGTGGGCAGACCCAATAATCTTCGAGGGCGGAGGAGAATTCGAACGGGACGCGGGAACGGAGGCCGACACTATCGAGGCGCTGTCACTGATAATCTCGCTAGTGGGTGTCCCCGGCCGGACGGCGCGCCCAACCATTGAAAGCAAGCCGGGAGCCGTGGTGCCCGCTGCAAGCCCGGGAACGCCTTCCGTCCTGGGTGTGGAAACGAGCCTCAATGTTTTGGGCACTGCCCGGGACACGTTTGACGTTGCTGCTCCAGTGCCAGAGAGGGGCGTGCCCGGCCGGGCGTCAGCAGGGGCTATGGCAGATGAGGGAGTGCCGCTCAAGGGGAAGATTCGGTGGTTTCCAGTGTAGGTCTCTCTATGGGGGTAACGACAGCAGACGTGGGCTGGCCCGTTTTGGCAGAGGTTGCGGCTGCGATGTTAAGGACATTCTTTGGGGGCCGCTTCTCGCCCGCTCGCTTACTCGTCGGTTCAATTTTGGCGGGAGAACCAGACAATTCTTGCTGCGGAGCCTTCTTTGGTGTCACAACTACGGGCTTCGGTGTCGGAACCTGGGGTTTAACGATTGGCTGCGGCGCGCTCTGCTGGGCTCCAGGCTTATGGGCGTCAAGGGCGGGGAAATCCTCCTCTTGAAGGATTCTGTTGCCCTTGGAGGGACTCGCCTGGGATGCGATATCCTTGGATAAGCCGCTATCAAGCGCTAGCGCTCTGACCTTTCTCTTGGCCTCCGCTCCTGGGGTTCCTTTCTTCAAGCCGTCCTGCTTGGGTCCGGCAATGGGCCCAGCAGCTACGGACTGAGGGCCATGACCAAAGACTGTAGCTGCCGCCATGGTCGGGGTGATGGGCACGGCTGGTTGGGGTATGCCGTGTACCGGCCCATACAGGTTGCTCGGGCTAAACGCTAAGCCTGGTGGTACCGTGGGTGGTGCGCCAAACCCAACCAGTGGAGGGACGTGGGCGACCGGTAAGAAGGTTTGGGGTGGCTGAGAGACAAATGGAAGAACAAACGGTTGAATCGGGCCGGGGTAAGTTGGCGGCTAGTGATGCCGGTCTCATCGTCATCCGCAACGAGGGCATCTACCGAGGTTGAAGCCTCGTCGAGGGAGGGTAGCTCATCATCTGTGACTGGGAAACGTTAGCGTAACGAACAAGAACTGTTCTCCGCGCCGTCGTTTTATGCAAGGGAATAGGAAAGAGTCCAGAGTCGCGGGGCCGCCCAGAGCCAAGTGTACAAGGATATCGAGCCAAGTCAAAGAAGAGAACAAAAGAAAGAAATAAAAAGGAAACAGCCGCCCAACTAAAAAGGACATGAGAGAAGTGTGCAAGGCTGAGGAACAGGCCCGAATTATCGCCTGGCTAGGTGGGAGGAGGAGGCGAAGCCCGCCCATCATCAGGGCTGCATACATCCTGCGTACATGATACATGATATGTTCTGCGTCACAGTACCCTCCATCATCGTCTTCCTACAGAGGCCAGATGATGTGATGGAGATCAACAAGTTTGTTCGTCAAACTGAACAATGTAGTGAAACAAAACGGACCATCCATCTATTTGATCCTTTAGAATTGCTTCCAATCTAGGCAAAGAGAGTGTGTATGCCTTGTGCCAAGTTAACGTACATGGAGGCTTGAGGAAGACGATGATGGCTTGCCTGATTTGGTGACCTGTGCATTTCTGGGTAAAGATGCAATGCCCCCGAAGGAGGAAGCCGCCGAGGTTGTGTGAAGCGAGGTTCTCGGGTGGAGGATGGCCACCAGTCCAAGCGATGTTTCCCCACAAAGAAAAATAATAAAGAAATGGATGATGTAGCGAAGAGACCCGTCGACGACGGTAGAAAACGAAAAGTGATGACGCCCAAATGCGAAACCATCCTGGGGGTATAGAACCCAGGTCCTTGCAATGCTCAATGGCTTGACAATAGAAATGCGTTCCGTGCTTGCTGTGTATCCGAGAACTCGGCGCCCCAGCTAGCAAGAAGAAAGAGGAGAAAAAAAAAGTGATGAATGCCTTCCCGCCGATCCTGACCTGCCTGTTTGGGGCCAGGCAAACTCATCCCGAGACGCCTTCATGATACATGAGAGAAGGGGGAGAGTTCACAAGGAGTAAAAGAAAAAGGGGGCCAAACGGAGAAAAAGAAAAACAACGATGTCGAGAAAAAAGAAACCAAAAGGACAAGGCTGGTATCCTATACACTTTCTTCACCATTCCACTGCCTCACTTGGTATCCGCTCTGGAACAACTGGGCAGCCCCTCAAGACAAACAAACAAAAAAGACCTTTACCATCGGGCATAGGTCGAATTATACATCATGCTCGGGTTGTACCCACCTTGACTCTGACCACCAAACAAGCCCTGTCCGACTCCAGCGTTGCTCTGAGACTGGTGCTGCATTCGCGCCTGCAGGATACTCGGGTCTGCAAGATCTACTAAACCACTCCCCCAGAGGAGGAAGTGTTAGCATGCCTGTGCTTCTTCCCCTTCTTCTTCTGCTTTGAACCGAAGTCTTGGAATGCTCCAGGCTGGTTACCGTAGAGCGACGCCAGGAGGCCCGAAGCAGGAGCTGGGGTAGAGGAGGTAGAAGATGGGTACTGGTTGGAGAAAGGAGAATTCATGTACTCACGCTTTGCCGCATCATGGGCCTGGGCGCTCCCAGCCGCCCTTCCGCGAATGATGCTTTGCAGCAAGTCACTGTTAGTGTCCTTGGGTGCGGCACCAAAGGTGACCCGCCAAAAGATGGGCCTTGCCCGAACATGCTTGGGGAGTCCCAGTAGACTTGAGGCCCGGAGGAGGGCCAGGGACTGAGCTGGTGTAGTACTGACTGCCCTGCTGGGAAGGGAATGAGGTAGGCATCATCGCCTTTTGCTGGGCCATGATCCTGGGGTTGGCAGCAATCTGGATCGTGGCAGCATTGCTGGCACTCTCATTGGCAAAGCTGAATCGAGATGATTGGCGGCTGTGGCCCTGCTGCTGCATCAACGAAGTGAGAGACTGGGCGGCCGAGATCCCGGGAGGAAGATGCTCGGTGAAAGCGCTCTGAGGACGCATGTACGCTTGTTGCTGGGGAGTCATCGTGCGGCTACCAATCGAGCCAACACTGGAATTTTGAGCTAGGGCTGGACCGAATATTCCATCGGCGCTCGAACGTTGAATGGGGGCTGAACGCCACCACGTCGCAGGTCGTAGCCCTGTCCCTCCCTAACGGGTTCCCTCTCCTCGGGTTCTCCGCCAAGAGCAAGGCTACCGCCGGCCTCAGGCTCGCCCTCTTCCGACGGCTCCTGAGTCTCGACAGTCTCTTCCTGCTCTCCACCAAGGCGGGCCTCCTCCTCGCGCATAGCACGTCTCTTCTCGCCACCACGGATATCAAACAAAGGAGGGTAGAGCTCAACGGATTGGCTGATTTCAGCGGTAATGTTGGGCAACTGCCAGGAATAGAGCTTCTTGATGATGTTCTTAAGAACGTCTTCTGGAATACTGCCTGGCTTGGTTGTAGCCGATTGTGCCGTGGGAGGGGCCTCGGGTTCCTTCGACGCCTTGCTTTCCTTCACCTGCTGTGCAGGTACAGGTTTGGCCGGCTCAGGCGCCGGAGAATCAATAACAGCTTCCTCAGTCGTAGCAGGCAAAGAGGCGGAGATGGCTGGGCTGGGCGCAGCCCCACTGGTAGCATGACTGCCTCGCCGACTGCGTTGAGGATTGCGGGCCCAGTTAGCAGAAGAGGGTAGGGCAGAACCGTCCGTTCCATTTTCCTCTGACCCGTCTTTGCTTGCTGGGCGGCCGCTCGATTGTGAGGTTGTAGAAGGAATATGGTGGGTCTGATACTGTGAAGGGGGTGGTGGTGGTGGTTGTTGTTGTTGTTGCTGAGGTTGGGGCCTGGGGGCTGCCCGAGACGAGGCGCCCGAGGCGATGGGTCGTTGGGTATGGATACTATTCATCGATGAAAGGTCTTGTCGCGTGTAGCTGTCCTCTTCGTCTCCACGTTCATGCAAGAACATGCATCCGCGATTGGTGCACTGCTCATGCTTCAACCAGGCAGAGCAATACTTGGTGGTACCAAGTTGAGCTCGTAGAGTGCGCTCTCCGTTCTGGGATCCGTTAACTGCCCTGATGCAGCGATCTGCCTCTTCTGGCTTTTCAAAGGTGACGTAGATGCCGAGCGAAGGATTCTGTCCCTCTCCACCTTTTCGGTTCGATATCGAGATTTTTGGATGTTTCCGTACTGGCCAAAGAATTCGGGCTTTCGTAGCGTTTTCGTGAGCTCGTCCTCTCGGACAGTTGGAGTCAGGCCGGTTACATAAACCAGATTTTTCTGAACAACACGAACTCCGACGAGGTTCTTGCGATTTTCTTTTTCAGCTTCTCGTTTTTGAGCCTCCTTCTGTCGCTGTTCTTGAGCCCGCTTTCTCTGGTTTTTAGTTATGTTGGCTCGGAACTCAGCCTCCTGCAGAGCATATGTTAGTGATCGATGGATTTCCCTGTCGAGCGTGGCTAAACTGCTAATGGGGAATGACGTACTCTTCGGGCGTTACGACTTTCCACTGTATCGTTTTTTCATCGTACGGTCGTCGGCATGCTGGACACAATCCGTTCATGTTCGACTTGATGTTGTTGAAGCAGAACTGGCATACCTAAAGTATCGGAAGATTGGTTAGGGAGCTGGTGAGATGCAGCCTGAAGCTGAGAATTTTGTGTGAGGGAACGGAGTCACATACTTGGTAACCACAGGGGCATGGCCTGAAATTGCGATCGGAAAGATCGAACTCCTCGATGCAGAGGGGCTGTTTCGGTTGGACGATGTTAGAGATTAAGGGCTTGTTTGGTGGTGTGTGGCTACGCGAGGGAGAGTTGAAATTCAACACCTCTCAGGCAGCCGAAAAGGAGGATGCGAGAATACTAACCAAGAATCGTCCTCATCGTCGATGAAAGTATCTTGCGGCGCCATTTTGGATGTTGATTAATTATTGGATGGGTATCTAAAAGGGTTGAAGAGACGTGACAAGGAGCAAGAGAAAAAGGATAGGGGTGGATATGTGGATGCTAGAAAGATGGATGATGGGTGTTGTCGGGAAGGATCAGGCATGGAGAGAGATTTGGAAGAATCGTCTTGAAGGTTGGTTAGTAAGGTTGGAGGACGGGCCAGAGCCTTCCTTCCAGATGGAACCCACAGCGTTGGAAGAGAAAAGAAAAAGACGCGCTAGGTCCAAAAGAGAAAATGTACATCAAGTCATGTGACTTGTCACATGACTAATCAGAAGAATGCTTTCATGTGGCATCTCTTAGCAAGGTACACATTACTGGTGTGTCTCAATCAGCAAATTGGATGTATCATTGTAGCGAAGAAGGGGACTGGCCAATACCACGACCGAAATTGTTAATGCCGCCTTTCCTGAAGACATCACCAATTCCTCATCCACGCAAGATTTCTCTCGACCTCGCCGCGGCGATATCTACCACTCCACCGTCCATTGGCCGCACGAGCTATCGGATACCACAAAATGGCTAGTCGGGTTTGCCGAAGCAGAGCTTTAGCTTCGGCTCTTCAGCCAGTCAGGCCTTCCATTCAGGCTCAGAGTGCCGAGGCCCTCCGTTGCCTCTCCGCGACGGCCGCCCGGAATGTCGCCATCGGCAAGGACTCTCCCAACATGAGGCACGCGCCTAGGAACCCAATTGGCACTCTCAAGGCCCCATTAGTGAATCCGGCCGATCAATATGCCTCCAAAGCCGACGCTCTCCATAAATATGGAACCTGGATCATGGGTTGCCTTCCCAAATACGTCCAGCAATTCTCGGTCTGGAAGGATGAGCTTACGATCTACATCCCTCCCGCCGGTGTTATTCCCGTTTTCTCCTTCCTCAAATGTATGCGCTAGCCTTCGTGGTTTCCAACCCCTCCGTAATAGTATTATGCCAGCTGACCGTGCTTCATGGGATTCCTTTAGACAACACCGCCGCCGAATACACCCAATGCAGCACCGTGACGGGCGCCGATTATCCTACCCGCGACCAACGCTTTGAAGTAGTTTACAACCTTCTCAGTGTTCGACATAACTCTCGCATTCGAGTGAAGACGTACGCCGACGAGGTTACTCCCGTCCCCAGTATCACCCTCTCTACGATGGCGCCAACTGGTTTGAGCGCGAAGTCTACGACTTGTACGGCGTCTTCTTCATTGGCCACCCCGATCTTCGCCGTATCATGACCGACTACGGCTTTGAGGGTCATCCTCTCAGGAAGGACTTTCCCCTCACAGGATACACGGAGATTAGGTACGATGAGGAGAAGAAGCGAATCGTCACCGAGCCGCTCGAGCTTACCCAGGCTTTCCGCAACTTTGAAGGTGGTTCTAGTGCCTGGGAGCAGATTGGCCCCGGTCTTGATCTTAAGCCCGATACTTTCAAGCTTCCTACGCCAAAGCCGGAAGAGAAGAAGGAGGAGCCTAAGAAATAAGAGGCTAGAGGAAGGCTCTAAACAAAAGTGAAACCCCACCAAAACAACTGGGCTTGTATATACAAATACTCGTGTTAGAATTATCAAGTTATTGACTCTTTAAAGTTGCTCTATCCGGCACATTTCCTCTTCTTCCTCGTCCTCCTTGGCCGAGTACCCACGGTGGCATCACGTCGAGGCTTACCAGGGAGCTCTACGAAGAGCACAAAATCTTCGAGAACAGAATTTATAGCAATCGAAGCAGATATTGTGAGGACCAATCTAATAAAATAAAATTAAAAGACTACAAGAGTGAATCTCAAGACCGCTTAGGTTCGAAGTCGCTTTAATTTCGACAGGGTTGTCCCGCACTTCGTGGGGGAGGTGAGCTCGCCAGAGTTGAGCTGTGTTACTTGAGCTACGCTACTAACCAGTCTCTGAGCAATGAACAAGAAGGACTAAGGGAATTGAAAACAATAGACGGTGGGATTGAACACCTTCTCCTGCGCCAGACCAATCCGATTTCCCATGATGCATGCCTGTACTGTATCGGCCATCTAGTCTTCCTGCAAGTCCAACAATCAACGGGGGTCACAGCATGAGTCGTAAAGCCGTGTGAGAAGGCGACATTCGTAATTTCAAGAGGGGGAAGTGGGGAAGTGTTGTGTGAACAAAAAGTCAGTAGAGAAACTGTCATAATATAGAGGTACGAGAGCACGCTCTATAAGGGTAGGTCATTAGGGAGGCATGGAAACAGCCACCGTCGGTCGTGATGAGTCCCTGCTAAAGATGCCTAGACAAGTGGTAGCTTAGGAGAGATGGAACGCTCCCTGGCCTTCCTTCATAGCTGTGAAGAGCTGTTTCTTCATGATATCGATTGTAGTGTAGTCAGGCAACTTCAAGTAGTTGACACAAGTCATGACACTTGGCAGGTAATCGTCGGACGTGTATGGGTGCTCGCTTGGCTTGCAAACCACGGTAAACATGGGGGTTAAAGATTTGAATCCTGTAGGTTCGTATGTTAGCGACGCCGCAACTTCCCGTCATCATCCCCTGTCATAAACATACCTCCAATAGGCAGCTTAGGACTGCCGGTTGTGAATTGAAGGAATTCTCTCCGCTGGGGCAGAGTCAATTCGCTCATGGACTGGAGGAGATTTTTAACAGAGCGGCTATCCATGTTATAGCCATGATCTGCCTTGATTGAGTCCATAAGGGCTAAAAAGGAAAGTAGGTTAGCGCTGTACCGCCTAAAGAAAGAATCGGGGGCGTCTTCACTTACTCTCAAGGGACCAATCCTCATCTACACTGCCAAATAGCGAGACAAGCTCGTCTGGTGTGAAGGCACTCAGAGCCGAATAGGGGAACACATGATTGAATCCGGCACGGAAGGCATCCACCTGCCGCCGAACGCCAACCCCAAGAGTCAAATCAATGACCCGATCTAGGTATTCGTCCACATTGGAGATGGTGACGCGGATTTGAGACCCATTCGGCACAAGTTCGATATCAGGATAACCAGGAAGGGTGAAGTCAAGGCAGAGATCATCAATCCTAGAGCCGTCGATGACAATGTTCTCCGAGTGCATCACTTTCTGGGTAGGCGTGCGGCTCGGGTCTTCATCGATCTCCTTCTTCGTGATGGAGAACCGCTTGATAGCCTTCAACGACCGGGCTAGCCCTGGGTCAACGACCTTGACAGCACCGAGGGAAGGTCGGATTCCGACGGGAGAAGACTCGTCACCGATTCGGAAGAAGATAGGATTGAAGTTGATGTCAACAATGCGGGAATCGAGCATAGAGCGAGCTACGAATTTGCCAAGGGACGTGAATAGATGCAATACTCGTTCCCCATTTGGCGATGAAGCCTCCTCGTCACTCATCGGACGCGGGAAAAGGCCAGTGATGCCATTGATGAATTCGTCAGCATCGTTTGAATCGACTTCACGCCAGAGCTTGAGTTTCTTTTGGAAAATTCCCTGCTGATAGTAGAGTAGAACTCAAGGGTTGGTCCAAGACCAGTACCCACTTCTTCAAAATACTCGACTTCCAAGACACTCTGGCTCGCTCCATACAACTCCATAACCTTGAGTGCTGATTCGAGAATTTTAGCGCGGCCAATTCTAACCTTTTGACGCTGGAGACGCCCAAGGAAGGGACGGTCGTCTCGCCTATCGCGACGAGAGTCCTCAGACGATTGGGCGTTTTGCCAACGAGTCATCGAACGCGCATAGCCGAATGAGGTAGACTGAAGGAAGAGATGCCGTGTTTCAAATGGGAACAGGAAAGGATAAAGCCTAGCGAGGTCCTCGGACCAGCTTGGAAGGCAGTTGCTGGCGACAATCAACGGCTCTTCCAATTGGCGATTGAGTTTAGCGGTTAATTTGGTATTCACGAATTGCGAAAGGGGTTCTGCAGCAAGCGGGATAACCTCTTGCTTTTCTATGAGAACATCCTCGAGGTTGGCATTCAGGTCATGCAAAATGCGCAAGAGTCGTAGGATTGAGGCAGTAGTGGGGTGCTTAGCGAGCGATGCTGGGATCCCATCGATTGCGGGCTCGCCGTCAGATAGGACGGTGAACGAGGACGATGATTCTTGGGGTACAGGCCCGGGCACACGCTTGAACTTGATAGAATGAACCTGCGACCAAATACTCCGTCCGGCATGGTCGCCAGAGGTGGAAGTCAAATGATGGACGGCTCGGTAGATAGTGGTGTCATTGCCGATAGGTTTCCCATCAAGCTAAACTCCACATGCCAATCTTGAGGCGTAGATTGTATCGCCGCCGCGTAGGACATGGGACGAGGGGCAGTAGATGGGGTCGGGGTTGCCTGAGAAGGGTTGTGGGGAGGAGGGGGCCGGCTATTGGCGTTCCTAGGGGTATGCACCCTCGTTCCATCCTCCTTCCTAGCAGTGACCTTGTCACCAGCCACCTCAAGGTTAACGGCCGAGGGGTCGGGGCGGCCTCCTCGGCCATTTCTTCGTCCAAATCACCAGCCAGGTCGGCAAGCGTTCCTCCTTCTTCAGTTGCGTCATCTTCACCATCGCTCAGGGGTTTCTCGTCTGCACACTCGAGAGCGTCTTGGAGGTCATCTTCCTCTTCTGGTGGTGGCAGAGGAGGGGGCGGTGTCTCCGTAGACCCGCCCTGGCGGCACGAAGACCGCCGTAGGGCGCGTTTATCGTGAGCTGAGCCAGACGGAGTAGATGGTTCCTGGGTGGGATCAGATTGAGCGGATGGGTTAGACTTCGACTTGCGTGAGACTCTCGCGCTAGACGGCGTAGTACCGGCAGCCGGAGGTGGTGGCGTAGCTACTGTCTCCGGAGCAGGGCGATCAGCTAGTCTACTCGAGGATGAAGAGCCAGCGAAAGGGGGCAGTCCTCGGGCACCAGCCATGGCGGCTAGTGCTTTCGAGAGGCCGTCACGCCTCGCGCTTCGAGCTCTCTCGGTGATAGAAATTCGGGGGCGCAGGTAATCATCGAGCGATTGGAATGTCGCTATCGCCTGAATCGACACAACAATATTCCGGTAAGGACGTGGAATATCTGCGTCGTCTTCTGCGACGAGGCGGAGACGGATTTGCTTGCCGAGCATTGATACAGCGCTACTTCGGTTACCGTCGGCGGCGTTATTATGCACGGTAATCACCTCAAAATGCTCAGACCTACTAAGCAGATCTTGAAGTTTGTGTATCATGATACTGAAAGCAGATGTGGCGGAATCTCCGCCACCAATCTTCACCAGGCCCTCGCCAGAGCCGCCCATAAAAACTTGAAGGAAGGCGGATTGAGCTGCACGCGCCAAGCTCTCATCGGGATTGCTGAACACATCAAGAAGGACGCGTACAAGGCCAGACGCTAACAGTTCCGCACTCGTGACACTCTCTAAAACGTCGGCATCGAAGTAGGAGGCAAGTCTCGAGAACACCTCGATACCAGCCTCAGAAGTGTGAGGCCCATATGAGGGATCAAGGTATAAGCTCTCAAGATCTTGCGCAAGATGAGACAAACTATCAAGAATCTTTGAAGCCTTCTCTTTCATGACCCTGCTCTGGGCCTCAGTTTCATGCGTTTCGAGGAATTGTTTGGCAACCTTGCGAATAGTGTTGCGACTGTGCTGAGCCTCAGATAGGATAGGATGCTGTGGACTCTCGTCGATAGACATAGTAGATCCCCGGGAGCTAACCGGCGAGCCCGAAGCATCGTCATTCGGTGCGTATGTGCCGCCCTCGTCTTCGTTCTCTTCGTCAGAGGATCCATTGTCATCATCATCCTCGCCCCCGAAGCTTCGTTGTCCGATTGCTGAACAGCCGAGTCCGTCGAGACATGAGAGTCTTGCGTCTGGGGGTCTTGCTCTTGGGTAGAGGTCTCCGCGGGTGGTTCTTTAGCTTCGTCCTCCATAGCGAGCCTGGATATTTCCGCCATAACACCTTCACGGTAAAGCTGGTAACGGTATATCTTGTCTAGTCGGCTAACCAAGAGCTCTGTGGCTCGAAGACCCAGCATAACAAGAGAAGGATGGTCCTTCTGGGACAAAATGGAGGCCAAGAAGGAGGCATAGGGGACCGACCTCAGTGCCTCAACTAAGACGCTCTCATCAACATTCGACAACATCTTGAGCTGCGCTGTCAGGACCTTTTGCCGGACAGTCAGATTGACGGTGCTGGAGAAGGCATCTGTGAGGGTAGGGAATAGAATCAAGGCGAATCTTCTGACTTCATCCTTGCATCCTTGCAACATCTCCACTCTCTTCTCATTCGCTTGATCCTGAGTTCTAGCTGGGCTCGTGGCAGATCCGAGGGAAACGGGCTCCGGGAAAATGTTGAGCTCAAGCAGAGCAGATGTGTCAAGCTCGCGAGGGAGGCCAGGGAGGAGCTCGCAGATGACATTCAAGGTCTCGATAATCTGCTCGCGCGGGCGATGAATTAGAGCTTGCATAATGACAACGCTATCTAGCTTGGACGCGACATCATCCGTGCCACTCGGAGGAGAGACGCCAGTCAGTATCTGATAAAGCGTCTCAACTACATTCAGCTTGAAAAGGTCAGCCGAGAGCTGCGGGCTTGCTCTGGCGGTGAATGCCAAGACTCGAAGGAACTGAGTATGAATATTGGGCCCAATCAAATTAGTGGTTCCAGGAACAAGCAGCCGGAGGATAGCTCTAAGGAGCGCAACATCAACGAGTTGCTCGAGTTTTGAGGGTGGAATTTAAAGCTCTCAACAATTCCAGAGACGCACAGCGACGCCTGTTCGACAACGCGCTGGTCACTGCTCCCGAGAACATCGAGAAGCTTGGGCATAACGTCCCGAACGACCACAAACGAGTCCTCGGGGATATTACGGCAGCAGTTGGCAGCAGTCGTCACGGCAGTACGTTGCGTACTCGTAGCGAAGAAATCCAGGTAAGAAAGGCATGCCGTTAGCCCACCTTCGCGTACAATAGCACTGGGATATTCTGTGGAGATCTTTTCCAACGTGCTTAGGGATTGCTCGGCAACATCGATAAAGGAGATCTCCAACAACTTGCTGCAAAGTACAGGCACAGCACCGCCGTAGACGACGTTGGCAACGCTAGCGGGCAAAGCCTCCATCAAATTAGCCAAGCAACGGCAGGCGAGGAGCATGACCTCGGGGCTGTTGGGTGACTGCATCAGGGAGACAAGCTCCTTTACAAACGAGTCAGGGGAGAAATGGCCAGAGAGATTATCCTCGTTGGAAACAAGAAGGATCTCTGAGAGCTCTTGCAGGGCGGCCTGCTGGATGAACTCGTCTTTTGGCGAAGGCTGGTGAGGATATCTCGTAGTCGTGAAGACACACCAGACATCATACCGGTGAGCGCTCTGAGCGTGCTGGAAAAGCCTGTCATGTGGCGCCCACCAAACGCGCCGAAGGGCCCGTCATCTTCATCTTCGTCATAACGTTGGGCGTCATCCTCGTCCATCTCATCACTATCATCATCGCCAGACGGGTTGTCCTCGGCATCGTCAGGCACGGAGGTTGGCGGGTCGGGGGCATCTTGAGGCTCGTCATCCGCTCCCGTCATTTCAGCATCCTCGTCAGCATCGCTGGAACCGTGTGTGCTCTTTTTGTTCGCTGGCTGGAATGGGTGTCTGTGCCGACGGTTTCTTAGTTAGCACATCGGAAACCCTAGAGCCGTCGTGCCAGGCAAGGCTGTATGTAAGTGTGGGGATACATGGCGTGGTACGCACCTAGGGTGGGGGCCGAGGGCTTTTGCTGCGGCTAGATTTCCTACTGGACGACGCCGATGGCGTAGCAGATCTTGCTGTGCCAAAGTGGCCCGAAGAGTCTCTATATCACGCGAGATGGTTTATTAGCAAGACTCAATGCTACTGCAATCACATGTATAACACCGGGCCCCGGACATGGCTTACTCTAAGCCCGACATGTTCGAAGAGGGCTTGGTCTTTTTAGTTTGCTGCACCACAGAAGAGGAGGTTTGGGTGCTTGGGGAGGCCTGCTCTGGCTCTAAACCCTTCTGCCGCTTAGATCGTCGAGCTGAAGGTGTTTGCTGGCTCCCGCCGGAACGAGGGCTGGAGTCCGGTTGCGTTGGGGCCTTTCGCTTCCGAGTATTTGAGGGGGTGGATTGGTGGATAGTTGTCGAGGATTCAGAGGTATTCGTCGGCACAACGGCCGGGGACTGAGTCGCTGCAAGGTTTGCTGCTTGTCGGGCAGCGGACCTAGTGACTCTATGAGACATAGCGTCAGCACACAGTAGAGAAGGCGACCCAGAGTTTCTCTAGGCCATTTGTCCCAAAAGCTAGGACGATGATGAGCTTGCAAAGGTGAGGGAGTGGAGGCTCATGAAGGGCCAGAATCCGAGGACTGCACCTCTTCTCGCTTGAGAGGCAACAGCAAGTGTCTTGCGTTCTCCGCTTGAGTCCGGGCCAAGCTTCGGCCAAGGCCACGGTCAATTTTCAACTAAGAAAAGAAGTGGGTAGAAAAGAGGCAGGCGAGCAGTGGAATGAGAAGGAGAGAGCAGGGGCTAGGATGAAGATTGAGGGTGAAGAATGCTAGGTGACGTGGATTGGAGGGAAGGTGAATGCCCAAGGAGCAATGGTGCCTGGGGCGACTTCGTATCTACTCCACTTGGTAAAGAGGTGGTTTGGCAGATGGTTGGTGACAAACAGGGATAGGAAAAAGAGAAGGGCTAGCAAGAGGAGCCTTAAACCTTGAGGTAAGGAGCGGAAGGTGCAGAAGGGGGATATAAAGGTGAATAGGAGGGCTAGGAGAAGGAAAGAGCATCCCTGTGCAAAGCCTTGTAATCAAAGTGAATTGCAGCAGACAAGGCTAGGAGTTGAAATATAGATGGGCTTGCTCCAGACAGCCGTCAAGGTAAATGAGGCCCAGTGCTTTACTGGAACATCAAACCCTCTCTTGTGTGGGGAATGCTTTAAAGAGGCACGCAAGGCAACGAGTTTGGCAGCCTTGAGTGGAGCCAAAGACGAGCCGAAGCGTACACTACAGAAATCGGGACACACTACAGCAGGAGATTGGGAAGTGCAAGACGATGGCGAGGATACCTTTGACCCGTGTTCGTTGGGCTTCCCGTCACACCGAGAGTAGCTCCGCTTTCTCCTTCGGTATAGGACGGGGAGGTCGGTTCGGTGGGCGCTGGGCCAAGTATAGGTGGATGTTGGGAACGAATAGAGTGTCGACCAGGTGGGCGTGGATCGCTATCGACGACGACCGAGGTTTGTTCTGCCATGGATTACGCCATGAGGCGGACTTATCGTAGCCTCAAAGGGATGGAGTTTGGAGGTATCGACAGGTATCGCTGTTAACAAAAAAGTCGCTGTACGGGGTTGGGCACAGGCTACGTCGAGAAAGCTGCGCTCCTGGACGGGCAGGAACGAGAAACGGGGACGGTTGAGGAGGCGAGCGGCCGGCCAGGACTCAACAGGTGACTCTGGTGGAATGAGGCGAGGCACTGTCGGGGCAGGGAGATGTTGAGAGCGCTCGGGTAGACAGCGGAGACGACGAGATGGGTTGTGGGCAAGGTTCACATATATCGGCGTCTATCGCTGGAGTGCATAGCTCGAGGAATAAGTTGCTGGAGGATGGCGCACGAGATCAAGTTCAGCCTTTAGAGGGATTGATGACTGAGGCGGCGGCACTTGAAGCAGGCCATCTCATGTTAGGTGCTTTCAAACAGTGCCCGGCCTTACTAAAATTCTCTCCCCGACAAGTCAGCGCTCCACATGATTCAGGGTCACCCACAACGGTAGCACCAGGCGCTTACCGTTTGACGGGGGCATTCTTCTCCGGACCAATGAGGATCCATTTTAAGCGTCCATTGATCAGAAGTCCATTACGGCCCTAGTACCCCGCTAAAACGGACTTAGCCTCAGAACCCGACCTTATTAATGCCTCTTCAATTTGAATGTTGCCTTACGAGACGGTCGTTCATCAAGGCTGCCCTGGAGACTTCCGTTTCTATTACCCACCAATAACTCAGTTGATTGACGGGATTAACCCCTCTCAATGTTCTTTGTAAGAGCCGCTGCTTGTGTGACACTCAACTCCCCTTCTCACACTTGATTTCAGCCCTCTCCTCCTCTTCTCGTTATCTCGGAAAATACAGGACCCTTGACATCCTGCGCATTCGTTATCCATAGTACGCTCATACAAACATCAGTTGGAGAATAGCAGCGGCGTCTCCAGTTTTTGCGGTCGTTTCTCCACTATCATGAGTCGACTGACGTAGACCATAAATGAGGATGGGTGGGTAAACGGTGTTGTTTCTGTGCTTGCTTCAGCAGTCGGTGGAAATATTGCGCCATCCAGCCAAAATTTAGTTTCTATTCTAGAGAGTTCTTCCCGCCTTCGTAATCATTGAGGTCGTACTCATCCGGGTATCTATCCAAGATTGACCGCAATTCTGCCATCTGCTTCTTCAAGTCCGGCGTGAGCTCTTCATAAACATCCTCGAACATGGCCCTAACGGGAGGCTTCTTCTCACGCTCTGCCTCCTTGAAAGCTTGCAGAACCTCTCTCCGTAGCCGTTCCCTCGCTTCCTTCTCCTTCTCATCGCTCCAGATATTCTGTGACTCCATCCACTTTCGTAGTCGAATAATGGGGTTGTCTCTCCTCTTCCAGTCCTCGACTTCGACTCGAGCCCTGTAGGCAAAAGAGTCATCCGAAGTACTATGGTGACTTACACGGTACGTCAATGCCTCGATGAGAACGGGCTTGCCACCATCCTCCAAGGCTAGCTCACGTGCACGCTTCGTAGCCTCCCGGACGGCCCAGATATCATTACCGTCCACCCGGATGGTTTCAATTCCGTAACCTATTCCCCGGCTGGCGATGCCATCGCCTCGGTACTGTTCCAGGGTCGGCGTGGAAATTGCGTATCCGTTGTTCCTGCAGATGAACACAACAGGACAGGATCTAGTCGCAGCCATGTTCAGGGCGGCATGGAAGTCCCCTTCACTCGCGGCTCCCTCTCCGAAATACACGGCTACAACGCGAGGTGCTATGCTTGGGTCATTTTGTCTCTGGATCTTCAAGGCGTATGCAGCCCCGGAGGCTTGTGGTAATTGTGTCGCGAGGGGAAGATATCGTGTGCTAGGCCGGGCATTGTCAGATGATGGTGACTCGAAATGGGGTGCGACGCACGGCGTGAATCTGGGGGACACTTACAATATTGAGCTCTTTGCTCCCATAGTGTACTGGCATGTTTCTTCCGCGTCCAGGCTCGTTCTTATTGGCGAATAATTGGTCCATGAAATCGGTCGCCGTGAATCCTCGGTGCTTGAAGACGCCTTGCTCTCTGTACTGACAGTATATTACATCGTCTTTGGACAGTGCCGAGGCTGAGCCCACGCAGACGGCCTCTTCGCCAGCTGATACCATGTAAAAGCTGACGCGACCCTGTCTTTGTGCGTCAAACATGATTAAATCCATGAGAGATACAAAAGCATATCCTCGTAGATTTTTATGACTTCCTCTTTCGAAAGGTCGGGAGTAAAGGACTCATCCACGATTGTTCCATGTTGGTCCACAACCCGGTAGGTTGGTATCGCTGGGTGATCCACCGGCCGGTCGAAGTTGAGTGTCGTCGTAAAGGCGCTTTTTACAGCCCCTGGGAATGAAACGAATTCGGAATCAGGCCTCTGGGAGAGTGTGCTTGCGGCTCTGATGCAGGAAGGAGATGATCGTGCGGCCCAAGAAAGCGGCCTCACGAGCTGAGGAATACCCCGAGCGCGGAGAAGCCGAGGTGACATGTTGGTTGCTTTGGCGTCCTTTTGACGGTATCAATTGATATCGCGAAAAGGTGAAATAGGAGAGAAGCTTTGTGGGTTTCCTAATTATACTCTTAGGCCGAGATCAATGGATGGCGGGGAGTACATCTTCATAGGTGCTGCGGTCCGGTGCGTGCTTGGGAGCGGTTGACCGAGACGACGTCATAGAGCCGACGCAAAGCGAATGCCTTCAGAAGCCGACAGCAAAAAGGGTCCGGCTTAGCCCTGGACCGCTCCCTGACACTCAGATCAAAACGACAACTGGAGCTCTGATACCTGAATTGAGTACTGAAATTTTATTTATTCATATCCATTGGCTTTTCCCTTGTAATTGGCACTCAAGGATCAAAGTTATCACGAATTGAGGGTTGGGAATACCCTACCAGCCTACCTCCATATATTAGAGAACAGCCCACCCGCTCTTTAAGCCTTATGTGAAGAGATGTGACTCTATCTCACGATATCCTCAAGTGCTAAGGGTTCTCGTGTCAAAAGAAGTGTAAAAAGAAATAAAAAGGCGAAAAAAAGCCATTATGAATCCTCCAACTAGCACATCAAGAAGAAAGAGAGAGAAGAAAATGGTGACCAAAACACAATTGCCTCTATTCCTCATCTGCCACCACCACCACCACCACCCTTTTTCCATTCAAGATCTTGCTATCGACTCCAAAAAGATAGGCAATCGAGGGATACACAACCTAAAATTGAACAACAATGAGCAGTAGAAACGGAATTGTCTTGACGATCTTCGTCATCATATTCTTCATAAGCTTCATCGCGTTTATGGCGCGAAGGACCCTTCTTGACTTTATCGTCGCCCTCATGCGCAGGAGAGGGCATCAACCAGCGAACGATACAGAGGTGGGCGTAGTTCAAGCTGGCGAGGTGCCCCAGGGGCAGGCCAACCGCACAGGCCCCCTTCGGCTTAGAGTCCGTCACAAACCATGCCGCCGAGCCCTGAGGAAGTCAATCGGCCGATTATTAGCGGCCTGGCGGGTTGTGGTGGTCTTGAAGGTGGGTCTATTTTACCTAAGTAGATGTGGCTGTAGTGTGGCGACAGCCACTTGCCGTTTCGAGGAAAATTCCCCTGCAGCCAACATCGGCCCAGCTCTAAATTTCGCGGTGGTGAGAAGACCGACTAACAAACACACGGCAGACCTGACAGCCTCGCAGCCTTTTCTTGCCGAGCAAAATTCTTCAATATGGTATCGCGGCCCTGCGTACGCGCCGCGAGGCGTGTAACCGTCCTAGCGTCTCGACAACAAATACAGGTCCGCCCCTTCACGCGAACCGCTCTCCTTTCCGACGCCCAGCCCTCCTCGCGAACATCCGATGGTTCCCCGCGGACGACACATTTTGGTTTTGAGACCGTCACCGAGGATGAGAAGACTAAGCGCGTTGCCGGCGTTTTCCACAGTGTTGCCGAGTCCTATGATAAGATGAACGACCTCATGTCGTTCGGTTGGCATCGAGTATGGAAGTATGTCACCCTGCCGCTCCCTCGTTTCCTTCCTCCTCAGCCATACCTCCTCAGCCATACCTCCAAGTATAGCAGGAATTTATGATTCATAACCCCCGCGATACTCTTCCTGCATATATACGAGGTGCTCCTAAGTGTATGATGTTTCGGTGCACTTACATTGTCTTCTTCTCTCCTCCCTCAAAAGGGACCAGTTCGTGTCCGGTCTCTCTGCAGGCCTCGTCCCCGCCGGCCCCAACACCGAACTCCGTCTTCTCGATATAGCAGGCGGCACTGGCGACATTGCCTTCCGTCTCCTACGTCAGTCCATTGATGTCCACCGCCATCCTTCCGTCCACCTCACGATATCCGACATCAACCCCTCCATGCTCCAAGTCGGACGCTCCCGCTCCGAGTCCCTCCCAATTTCTCACCAAGCTGCGCTCTCTTTCCTCGTAGCGGATGCCACCCAACTCCCTTCCTCCATTCCCGACAACTCGGTCGATCTTTACACCGTCGCCTTCGGTATTCGTAATTTTACAGACATACCCGCCGCGTTGCGGGAGGCGCATCGTGTCCTCCGCCCCGGCGGCGTCTTCGCCTGCCTCGAGTTTAGCGCTGTCCAAGGCAACCCTCTCCTCGACGCTGTATACAAGAGGTGGTCCTTTAGCGCGATCCCCTTGATCGGCCATGTCATCGCGGGAGATCGCGATAGCTACCAGTACTTGGTAGAGAGCATCGAACGCTTCCCAAGCAGGAGCAGTTCCGTGATATGATTGTCGATGCGGGATTCGCTGTTTCTGGAGATGGCTATGAGAACTTGACTAATGGGATTGCTGCCATACATAAGGGCATCAAGCCCATTGTTTAGCTGTAAATTAGCTTTATCGGGGTTACGCCCAGTAACCGAGACTGTACATGTATTCTAAGCTTGCGATGTAACATTAGTAAAATTCAATTAGAATCAAAAGTTTCTTCGTTGACACCGGTAATGAACCCTCGTCTAGACTAAAGTTTACACACGAACGGATGCTTCGCGAGGCGTACTACAGCACCAATATACTCGTCAGCTCTCACGAGCTATCCCTTCCCGGTTATATACGGGCGTCTCGTTTCCTGTCTTTCACCCGTTCGAGATGTCGCGGAACAATATCGGGATGGTGACCGACAGGCAGAAGATACATAGCACATGCAGTTCAAGGAGAAATTCTTCGATAATGTCGAAAATCAAGGGCCTTATCTCGCCGGGGGTGATCGTGAGAGTGAGAGGTAGCGCCTCGCTGAGTTCAGTAGCAAGCGAACGAAGATTTAGAAGTGTTATCACGATCACGCTTCGTGTCAAGATGGAGACACCAATGCAGATAGAATTGCGCACACGAGATTCCATTGAATGGCACGTAGTGCCCAAAAACAAAGAGGAGTAAGGCGCAAGAAGAAGATGTGCTAAACTCAATTCCTCCGACTCCGAAGCGACGATCTTAGAGGAGAAAACAATAGAGGCCCGGTGGCAGCGGATGTAAAAGTGCCAGGAAAATATTTTGAGGAAACAAAATAGAGCGTACGGAAAACAAGACTGGGGCAAAGAAAAAGAAAAAAGATTAACTGAGAAAGGGGACACCACGCTAAGATCTCGCAACCGAAAACTCTACTCGTTGCCGACCTCGCGCTCCTTTTTCTTCATCGTATTACCAGTACATAGCCGCGGTGACGGACAGGAGAAAATGACATAGTGGTATCGCTGCAGGCAAAACTACATGGAAGTCCACTTCTAAGGCTCGGAAGAGGCACACTACTCTTCTACTCTTCACTCGTCGAGATCCCCAATGGTTAGTAGCGGTTTGAGCCATTCGGCTCAAAGCCGTTGTTTGGGGGAGGGAAACTCGCCCAACACAAGCGTTCATCGATGCTGGTAGGCTCGCCTGACGATAGGACGTAGTAGTGGCGAGGCGACCCGTGAGATTCAGTTATTCGACATCTAGGAGTCGGGACCGGGTGTGGCGGAAGACGTAGCGGGAGATGAAGCCCCGCCGTCCTTCAAACCGCGGCCTCTCCCACCGCGGCCCCGGTCGCCGCGGCCACGACCCCCTACCACCACGCCTGTTGCTCTCCGAATCGCTGGCACCGCCGCCAGCACTTCGGTAGCCACTGCCAGAGTTGGAAGAGCCACCACGGGTACTGCTGCCCCAGTTCCCGGCACCACCACCCCTAGCAAAAGGCTTCGACTCGCGGTGTTGGAAGATCTTGACAAGGGGCTTAGACCGATCCTCTTGAGTTCGGTTCTTTACGTCATCAGGAAGTCGTGCCATGGCGGCGTCGCGGTCCTCGATTGTCTTGAACTGCACGACCTTGTTTGACGCACCCCATTTCTCGACCTTTAGGATTTTAACCCTGTCTTCGTCAGCAAATAGCTCGCGAGCCTGCTCGTCAGAGTTGACGTTCATAATGAAAAGGCCGACGATATCTTGAGCTGGAGTTTTGGGTGCTGGAGAAGCAGAGGTTTCGGGGGCAGGAGTAGATCCGTTCGCGGCGGGGGCCTGCTTCTCCGCCTCTTTAGCCGCGGGGACAGGCTGGGGGTGGCTGACTTGGGCTGTACATTGGCGAGGGCTGGAGAGGCAGCGGCGGGCTTCGGTTGATGAGGGGCCGAGGGTTGCCTATTCGCGCTAGGTGGGGCGGGCTGCTGGCTTGGCTGGGGGTTCGGCGAGGCAACGGATGGAGGAGCCGCGGCGGGCTGCACAGCAGGGTTGGCTGAAGGCTGTTTAGATCCACGATGGGCAAAGTTGAAGCCCTGGGCGCGCATCTCAGTACCAATCCGACCGTCTTGGATCTCAAGGACTAGCCAGCCGAAGGCGGCGTCGGCGAGGTTGAAGTTCCACATGTTCTTAAAGGCACTCTCGTCAACCTGGCCAAGTGCGGTTTGGCCGGCAACCGGGCCTCCGAAAGGATTGCCACCCGCCGCGGTCGTGGGCATCTTCTCCACGATCTGTAGCGCGTTCTTTAGAAGGTTTTGCTGGGCTTCATTCTGCTGGATTGCGGGCTCAACCTCGCCTTTGACGGTTTCCCAAACATCGTTGAATGAGGCTTTTGAGGCAGCAAGTTTGCCGCGGTAGTGATCTAAGGTAGGGTTCACGCTGAACTCGTTGTACGAGCTTCCATATCGGAAGTGCAAGCCAGCAGAGATGGAAAAGTCGGCCTTGAGGGTGACGGAAAGCTGGTTGAGGATACCCTCACGGGCAGGGGAGGCATGAGTAACGAAAATCCTGGTTTCGGTTGGGTCGTAAACACGATTGGCAGTATCAATCAGCTCACCCATCTGAAGCAGCGTCGTCCACATGGTTCCCTGGCCACCAGCGATGGTGGTGCGGCCTTCACCATTGTCAAAGAGCTTGTGCATGACAACGGCGCCGCCAAGGCCCAGCAGCCTTAGTTTGACACCCCCAATCTCTAGAAGCATAGACCGCGCCTCGTCAATGATGTGGAGGTTGGGCACCTTGTACTCGCCGGATCGGAACCTTTCCAATACACGGACATCCTCGCAGGCTCCCCACACGGTGTACACGGGCACGTCGAGCTTCACCTCACCACTGAGCAGAAGAGGAAGCTCAGAGAGGGAAGCTCTGCCGCCGAAAAGCGGGATTTAACTGGGCTAGGGCCAGCCTGGATACCTCTCTTGACGCCATCGGAGATCAACGGGGAATACTGGGCGACATGCTTCAAGGTCCTACAGAAAATCAAGTCAGTAGGGGCCAGCAGGACGAGGGTTTGATCTCGCGAGGGCTGATGGGCATGGCCGGCAACCGGGAAATACGAACTTTTCGGCAATTCTTTCCAGAGAGGTGGCATCGTAAAAGCCAAAGTCGCCAGTATGGATGATATGATCGGCGCGGGCTTGCTTCGCGAGGTCGTTGAGGGAACGCAGGTTTCCTAAGCACGTGAGATTAGGGCAGGTTCTTTGGTATAAAATCAAGGGTCTGCGTCGCCTAGGATGCATGGGCGTACCTCGAACATCCGCTATGCAGAGAACTCGGATAGGACCAGTCTGAATGATTCGGCCCTGGTTCGGCAGGAGGGCAGCGCCGGGAGGTAGGTTCGTAGCTCCGTTAGGCAAATAGCCCGAGTTATTGTAGAGTCGAGGCTGACGGGTTCGACGAGGCATTAGTGGCAGATTTAAACGGGCGAGATGAAGAACATGTGAGGTGGATTGAGGGTTGGGCAGGAGGAGAAGTGATGCGCCGAGCGTGATTTGGGGCGCAAGCGTATCGCAGATGGTGATGGCGGCCAAGGAGCTTGTTTTCCATTTGCAGATAGGCAAGGCAAACGGAGGGTATAGGCAGATACAAGCTTGGTCACATGGCCGGGATGCGAGGAGGGAGGTCGAGGAATGAATGGATCGATGGAAATGAGGGAAGCTTGACGCCTACTTACAGCGGCCATCCTAGGAGAGTCGGGTGGGCTCGGGAAACTTCTTCTGTCGGAATGGGGGAGGAAAGGCGAGGAAAATACGGGCGCCGGCGGGGAATCACTCGCGATGGAAGGTGGGCTCGCGTCAGCTGTCTATGGGGGTGTGTGTGTTAGGCAAGCCTTGGGCAACACCGATTCGAGGAGACAGGTGGTGGAAATGGTCGCGATCGATCGCGTTCGCAGGAAGAGGGTATCAGTAGGATATCGGAAGGGATGGCTAGGATGCAGATTTGATGGAAAATAGCGAGGATGGGGTGGATGAGGAAGTCCGGGGGTTGAATGAAGTCAAGATGCAGCACGAGGCTGGTGGTTGGTGACAATTCGTTCTTTGGGAAGGAGAACTTGGAAAATATCAAACGCTGAATGGGACAAAAATTCCCGAGGAATGGTGCTGAGAGTGATGGACAAGGGTCGGAAGGAGACGTGCGTGTGGTGCGTTTTCCAAGACCAACTGGGCCCAGCTCACGATTATTACCCAGAGCTAAGGAGTGCAGCATCTAATAGGGTAGGGACGTTCCTTCCCCTGGGTAAACCTCGACATATCCCCTGGCTCTGCTCTCTTCCTTAAACTGACGCCTGAGCACCCATTGACTAAGCTCTCCGGACTGTGTCAATTCAACCACTTCGCCATCGAAGCTCCATATTAATCTAGCTCGGAAACACCATGCCGGAAAAAGATGCCCCATTCCATCAAATTTATAGCCATCATGAGCTTGTGTGTTGCAGTAAATACAACCAATGTACATTCCTCTGCCTGTGATCCTATTTCCTAGAGAACATCCGGTTGTACTCACCTCGCGTCTGAGCTTCCAAGCCGTCAGAACCCACTTCAAATCATATACACTATCTCTCTCTCCAATCCTATCGAACCCCTCCAATCATGTAACAAGGTAAATATCATTGCGAACAGCGGTAAATCCACGTGAAAAGGGCATTGCGATCAATAGTATATGTACATGACCATCAGCTCGCCAACTCCCAGGCCAAGGGTAGATCAAGTCGAGTTTTGACTACGACTTACTGGATGATTAGTTCTCTCCCAACTCTTGATACAGGCTTACAGGCTTGCTTGACAAGAGCTAGTTCTAACCCCCGAAAAAAGCGATGTCCTACATAACAAGGCTAGTGCATTGCAAACGCCCTAATCGGCCCCCAACTCTTCCGAGATTGACTCTCATGGAGCCCACTGGCGGCGCCCAACCGTCTTAATACTCCTCTTCCCTCCTCTCTTTCAGGGAGGTCCGCTTGACGTCAAGGGCTCTTGGGGAGATGCATAGAGGGCAACGTGGCGAGGAGAGAGAACGAGACAAGCACGGGTCAGCGTATGAGTATGGGGGTCACAGGGGAGGAAATGAGAGTGACACGCTCGAAGGCGGAGGAAAACGCACAAGGCACTTCCCAAAGTAAGAGGCGCGCTTGCGCCGGCTTGGTGCATAGGAGAGAGATACATTATGTCCATAAGAGCTTCAGATGTAAGAATAGAAATAAGGTATGTAAGGGGAAGATGAGGAGGAAGCAAATTGGTCTCCAGCTGCAAACAGAGGTATTTGCGCCTATGGCTTGCAAGATGGGGAAAAAGAAAGGAACAAATGAGAAACGCCATCCTGATGCATTTAAAGCCGGGAGATCTGTGGACTGTCCGGCATTCATTTGATACACACAATTCAACGCACATACACCGTTTAAGAACTCCACCCAACTTCCAGTCATAAAGAACCCCCATAAACACCCGAACTCCCAACTAGCGTCTTCTTTCCAGATAAGAAGCTCTGTGCAAGCGGAGGTTTCATAGAGCCTAGGGCCCTGTTGCGGGAAAACTGCCTGGCTCCGAAGCAGCGGTAAGTATCGGCGGTAAATCGTCGGAACGGTGAAAGGGGCGTCGTGCTACCACATATCCCCTCCCCTACCATCCCTACCATCCCCACCATTGTGCTGTCTGCCGTACGAATAGTAGTCTTTATCGCCGCTCGGCTGTTGCCCGTAGTCATCGTGGCCACTAAAGCCATTCCCATTGTTTTTCGGGTCGTTGGAGTCGTCGTGCTCATCATAATCGTAAATGTGAGTGTCGTCCATATAGTCAACGCTCTCGTCGGCAGCATGCGCTTCGCCATACTGGGCCTGGTTTGCATCCTAAAAGGGTAAATTTAGTATACCCCGTGATGATTACGGGCTCATCTTTCCCAAGATTCTGTGCAACTTACCCGATGATAATCAAAAGTATATCGGTCGATGCTGTCGTGCCCGCCTTGCATGTGTTGCTGCTGTTGTTGCTGCTGTTGTTGCTGCTGCTCCGCTAGGTACTGCTTCTCCTGCTCCCTCCGCCTGCGCTCCTCCTCTAGACGTCTTTGTTGGGGTGATACCGGGATCTGCATCTGCGGGTGCATTGCCTGCACAATGGCAAGATAATTATACATGAAATTACTTAATAGCACTTGGCTGTGGAGAGAGCGTCGAGGGTTGGCGAGCTTGATGTGGGCCATCCGATAGATGGCACGCTCTTCTAGGAGCGGGAATCGGGTCCAAGGATAATCCATATCGGGACGCAAAGGACGATATGGAGGCTCCTCAGAAACCCTTCTGTTGTGGCCCTTCCTACTGCTCTCCTTCTCACTCTTCTTCTTCCCACCTCCAAACAGATTAGAGAAGAGACCACCGTCTTTCTCCTTTTGGAATCCGATTTCCGGTTGCTCTGCCGCTTCCTTTCTTCGTCGAGCCTGTTGTCAGGACTCTCGCGGTCAATAAGGAGGCTCTCCCGGCCTTTCGTAACAGCATTCTCGATCGAAGTCTGGATCACGTCAAGTCGAACGTTATCCTGCGCCTTCTCGACAAATGCCTTGGTTTTAGATTTCTTATGATCATCATCCTTCTTCTTCTTGTCGTCCCCCTTGAACCATTTCCAGCTTGACTTGGATGGTGCTGTGTTGTTGGCATCGTCTTCCTTTTCCCTCCTGGTTTTCTTTTTCTCGTCTCCAGAGTACGTTGGAATGTAGGTCAGCGCATCCGTCCGACTAGACCGGCCGTCCGCGACGACGTGACTAGAACTAGGGCCCATATCCCCGGCCGAGGTTTGGGCTGCTGTTTTGGAAGAGGCTTTCTGTGGGGTCGCTTGGGAGGGTGCCTGAGCTTGTCGCGCACCGCCCTGGCGCTTGCTTGATCTCGCGGGGGTTCTTCGGGGATAGCGGCCTCATGCTGGGGTTGAGTCTGTGGGAGGATCTGAGCGCCGGCTTTCTGAGAGGATGATCGCTGTGGGAAGCGTTGCGCGTGGGCAGCGGTGATGTTTTCTTCGGGTGGCGTCTCTACAATCTGAGGGATGGCGGCGGCACCATCAGGCGGAGCGTCACGGTCGGGGTAAGAGTCATTTGTCGGCGAGGTAGCCTCGGTCGTTGTGTTGGACCCGGCGAGAGAATCCTGGGGTAAATTTTGCTGCCTCTTTAAAGAGCGATTTGGCCGCGAGAAGTTTTCAGGAACGGGTTCCGACTGGGTTCTAGAGAGACCGTGACCAAGGGGTGCGCCGGGGGCCGGAAGCGGCGAATTGTCACCGGCTGCGTCAGCCTCGGCCTGGCGTGAAGCGATGCGTTTCGAAAACGGTAATCTGTCACCACGCAAACTTCCACCCTTCCGGTACGTGGTCCTAGTAGAGCGACGGAGGCCTCCACCCGGAGCAATCGGGAGGATAGGCATATCTTCTATGCTGGAATCTGGGCCAATTTCTTGCATCGAGTCCTGAGTTAGCTTCTGGACAACCTTGCTCGGATCCTTGACAAGCTCGTCAATGGTCAGTTCGGGTGTCAGTCGACCGGTCTGCGACGCCTGTCGCCCAAGTCTCTCAGCACCATCGACATAGCCTACGCCGCCGCTCGTACCAGAAGGATCGATTTGCCTCGATAGCATGGACTTCTTCCGTCTTAATCCGGCAGAGTTACTACGGGCTAAACTCTCGTCTGGAGAGAGGGATAGCTCGCTCCCAGACCTCCTTTTGATAGACTGCACCCGGTTCTCTAAAAAGACTTGAACTCCATAGGGGCCAGTTCAGGGTGAACCCTAGCCGGTACCCATAAGAGCCTCGACGGGTCTGCTTCATCGTCACCGCCAGAAGGAGCTATGGATGGCATGGCCATGAGAGACATGCCAGAAAAGGGAAGCAGGTCGGGATCATTATTGTTTCCGACATCCATCGACATCCTCCTGAGGGCCTGGAGATTGCTAAGTTCTAGGGCTATGTCATTGGGATTATCGATATTGGTGAGAGGAAATTGGGATGTGGCGGGGTCAGCCTGCACATCCTTGAGGGAGAGTGTTGGCGAAACTGGAGACAGATGGTTCGAGTCAAAAGACGTGCTTATCCGGTTCGCTATCCGTGTGGGCATCGTCTGCGTTTTCTTTAGCACAGGAACAGCCGCGGAACTAGGGCTTAAAAACCCGGTATTATCAGACGTGGATCGCTCGAGAGGAGGGCGCGTTTCGTCGGAGTTGGACATGCCCCTACTGATTTGCTCTTGGTAGGGGACTGCATAAAGCTCAGTGGGCGACTGCCGATGCCCGGGCGGAGGGGCTGTTCGATGGGTGAATCATCTTCTTCGTCATCGTACAACGTGCCAATAGCCTCCGTTACATGATGGCTTGGGTCCGAGATCGATAACTTGTTAGAATGCCCGCGTCGATTAGAGAAGCTTGCGCTGGCCTGGTTGGGTCGGGACGAGGTCTGTGAAAAACGGTAGAAACACATGTTAGCCTAACTGGCCGACGAGCAAGTAGAAGGGAAAAAGAACAACTCCCAATACACATGGCGCAAACCATGGCACTTGGTTGGCTTTGTACGGGCTCGCAAAAGGGAAGGGGGAAGGGCATCGATCCGAGGGGAAGCGGGTCATTCCTGCCTAGCGACGTATATGACACGGCAGAGGGGCACAGTCGGGTACATGCAAATCTGGAAGTGTATGTATGGTATGGGCAGGTCGGCAGAGGCATAGGGTTAGGACGAACCATCATCGAGGATCACAGTCTAACCCTGAGCCGGGTCACTGGCAGGCGGCGACCGACAAAACTTCAAAACACCCTGATATTCCCCTTATTGCTATACACCGGGAAGAATGTGAACGTTCTCCCTTCGAATAGTTCCCGCTTCAGGACTGTCGGTTCGTCATCAGGATATGGGCAAGTTGCGGGATATGGCAAGAAATGGGTGGATTGTCGCAGCGTGAGAAACGCAGATTAGATTATCGACTTCTCGAACGTGACACTTCGCTTCGGCGAGGGGATGGAGGCGGATCGTGGTATGGTCAAGTGACTATTAATGGAGTGTGCGTCGCATGGGGTCGCGAGCAGCAGAGGGGGCTCGGGAAAACCAGCCTTCCTTCACTTTGGGGAAGGAGGGGAGGACGAGGCAGAAGGGGGAAAGTGGTTCAAAGAGGTGACATGCAGAGGATTCGAGCGTCGTGATTATGGAGGAGCAGAGGTGTCGGGGAGAATCGCTTGCCGGACTGTTCGTGTTGGTTGGAATATTTGGGGCGGGAATTTTCTGTAGATTGTGCTTGACGGGATGGGCACGAACTGGATAATAGTCAGTTCTTTGCAGGAATGGATGGGGCCGTGGGAGTCGCAGGCAAGCGGCGGCAGCGATTTGCAAATTGCGGTGCCTGTCTGGACTGAATGGGCGAATCTCTCTACAAGTTGGTACAGTTCGGCATCGCAGACTGGTACGGTAAGGTTTTGGTGGTGGGAGAAGACAGGGGCGAGAGAGACAACGTTCGGGGCAGGGGCGCGATCATAGCGAAAACATTGAATCGATCAAATAGGATGCAGACAGTGGAGTGGAGTGGGTGGGCTTGAGAGAAGACTGGATCAATTACCTGCGGAATAAGCGACGAAAAGAGAGGGTACAAATGTGGTACAAGCCTCCATACCAGTCCCCTGCAGCGACATTAGTACCGTCAACGGTCCAACAACCCAACCTGCCCTGCCTGCATTGCACCTGTAAGATTGGATCCATTGATGGCTTCCAAATTAAAAAGTTACCACCAGACTATTACGACGGCCACTTCCGTTCAAAGCACCAGAACAAAACACAAGAGTCGATTGGATTGGAGTCTCCCACTCTTCGAGAGCCCATTCCGCGTCTTGTTGTCACCACCGACCTCTCATTTTCCAAGCTTCGTTCCATTCTTCCTTGGATCCATTATTACCCTGAATTCCCAGTCCCAGCATACCGAGGCACAATCCTTCAATGTTCTTTTCCTAGATAGGCCATCCCCTTTCCTACTTGTACATAATAATACCCTCGCTGCCTTTGACGCTGTCAAAGATCCGAGCCTGTCTGTAAATGGTCTGTGCCAGTCCAGTACCTCGCCCTCACCTGCCAAGCTTTGTTCGCACCCCCGCATCCCCTTCTTCCCTTGAAGAAGACGTCGGCTCTCTAACCACTGCGTGTACGATAAATATTGTCAGTTTGCGATGAATCAAATTATCTACCCTTCAGGATAGCTATTCCTTCTCAAGCGAGGTAAAAATATTTTTCCCCTACCCCTACCGTGGCCGACTCAAGTCCTTCGGTGTGGTCACGTGGGCTTCAAGTTCTCACGGAAGCCCGGGACTAAGTGCTATGTACTGGAGTCCTCGCTGGCGGGTGCCCACCGCGTTCACCAGTAATCCAGGGGCTATTATTCCCCATAATCGAGAAACCAGTATCAATTGTGATCCAAGTAGATGGATGACGGCCGTATTGAAGAGAGGCCTTGCCGCACCCCAGTTGGTTTTCCCTACTACCGGTCTGCGCCGGTATTCATTCAACTCGAGTTCGAAGACACAGCAGCCCTTGGCAGTTTTCAGCCTCCACAATCAAAGGGCGAAATGAATTCAAAAGAGCACCGCTGACCCAGGTGACGGCCGGGATCGCAGCCTGAAGATGATTGGAGATTTGACATGTAGTCATGTGCACGAGGGGTGCACCACCAACCAGACTGATGAGTTGACTAGTGACGCTTCGATGTTACGACAGGCGGATCTGCGAGCCAAAGTACTCCAGAGCTTGCGAGACTTTCCTTCGAATAGACCAACTGTCCTCGGAACTCTCCCACTATAACACGATATACATAGATACGCTACTTTGCCCAACAGGGCGGAGATAGACGAGGAAAATTATGGCGTAGCAGGCTATCCGTAGCCTCTTCACCAGTGATAACCAGCACTAGTCAACATCAATGGGCGGTTAGCCAGCCCAGCATATCATCAATTCAAGGAGAAAACTTCAATGCATTGCTCTTCCACGATTAATACAACCAATACCGCACCAAACAGGAAGGGGCTTTCTCTTCAGCTGTACGACTCGACTCTCTAAATGTTCATGATTTCCTTGAAGCTGGATATCACCTCTGCACTGTGCCTGCCCACTCGAGCTCAGGTGCTGGCATCGTGCGAAGCTCGGCCTGTGGTCATACATCCATGTAATCTCTCGAGCAGATGGCGCAACACGCATCCTATAGCAACCCATAGGTAGGTGGTGAAAACCTGGGCCGTTTGGGAGGGTGAGCGTGGCAGCTTACGGTATAAAATAAAAAGGGACGAGATAGTTAGAATATCCTGTGTTAGGGAGGCAGCATTCCTCGACTGAAAACAACCTTAATCTTTAAAATCGTGATATCAAATACTTTGAGCAACCCTGCTACTTTGGTCTGGTCTCTCTTTTACTAGCTTAACATAAATGTATGCTTATCTGGAACATAATTTATAAGTATTAGAACAAGATGCCATCGGTAGAAAAGTGTATGCTGGATGTCAAATTGAAGGGCAAAGGATCTGATAGACGCCTTAACTTCACCTTCATCAATGAGCCGCCCATTTTCACGATCTTCCGACCCCATGTTGATGACAAAGCAACCCCACCGGGTTGAACGCCAAAGGCGAGAATGTTCAACCGGTAATTAAACGCGACTAAACATCGACGAGTGGACCTCACGTCGCTCACTACACCTTCAGGACGGCATACGCATCTAACCTCAACCTCCCATCATCAACTCAGCCATCAAGTGCAACCTTCCCTTTTCTCCTTTAATCCGGTAATCAACTTACCTACCCGATATATACAACATCTTCTCTTATAAGCCGACTTCAGCTTCGACATATCGTACGTCAGTGCGAATCTAGCAAGTCCTCGAGCCTCGCCAAATCAACCTACTGCTCCAAGGACGTGCCATCAATATTGCCCGATCTATCCTCGGAGGCGGGCTGTATTGACATTTCAAGTTCTATCTAAACCAAAGGCGCGCCCGTGATGAACCCTGCCCAGCCCGGGGGCGCCCAGCCCGGCCAAGCGGCTCCTGCAGGGCAGGCCGCTGCCACGGCGCAAGCCCGACAGGTTCAACTTCTACGGCCCGACGTTATAGAAAAGATCCCATGGCTCACGCCAGAGGAAAAGACAAAATATTCAGCGGGCCTGAAACAGCTTTGGAGCGCACTAGACTCTCTCCCAAAAGATTCCGCCGAAGCTGCCGCCACGCGCACTCGAATTTCCGATTTCTCGAGAACCCTTATCGCGAGGACACAGATGAAGAATAGGCAAGCTCAGCAAGCTCAGCAGGCTCAGCAGGCTCAGGCTCAAGCTCAAGCTCAAGCTCAGGCACAGGCTCAGGCTCAGGCTCAAGCACAGGCTCAAGCACAGGCTCAAGCACAAGCCCAGGCGCAAGCCCAGGCGCAGGCGCAGGCACAGGTATGCACATAACCATGATCTCCGCCGTCGCATGCATTTAGATTACTAGAATCCACGAGAACCATCTCACTAAACAACCGTTTTAGAATGCTAATGCCGCTCAGGTTAATCCGGTTAACCCTCCTGCCGCGCCGATCGCAGTCTCCGCGCAGGGCGGGGACCAGACAGCCACTGCTACCGCAGCTACTCCCAATGCCGCGCCCCCGCACAACCTACAACCAAAATCCCCGAGCATATCCTCAAGCATGTTAATCAGATGCCATTTCAGCTTCCAGCACATGTCGTCGCGAAGGGGGCAGATGTCCGAAAGCTCACAACCGATCTCCGGCTACGCTACGCCAAGGCTCTGATGACCATGGAGACAACGCGAACTCGCAGTCAGCAAATCGACAATCTTATCAAAGATCGCAACGAAAAGGGTAACCCCTTATCCGCGGAGGAAGCCAAAAATTATCAGCTGATGCGAGAACAACACCAAAAGTCTTACGAAGATGCCCGGAAGTTCGTTGAACAATTGCGCAAGCAGCAGGAAACGTTGAATAAGGCAAATTTGGAAAAGAAAGCCCAGGGCGCGCCGGCCACTGGACAAGCGCAGCCGCAAGTGCAAGCTACCTCCCAGGCGCAAACTCAACCTCAAGTGCAAACCCCAATCCAACCCCCGACGCAGACCCCCATTCCACCCCTACACAAAATCTTGCGCCCAACCCGCCCTTGCAAAACACGAACGCTGTCACTGCCACGGTTAATGCCGCTGTTGAAGCTGCTAAAAACCAGACGCAGGTCGCCACACCAATCCAGCAGCAGGTACGCCCCGCGCCTGCTGCGAAACCTATTCCCGTTGCGCAACAACAGGCCAGTGCCATCAAAACAGAGCAGGTGCAACCGCCACCAGTGAATACCCAAGTCGCGGCGGCTACTACTCAGCATCCTTCGGCATCGACGCCCACCCAAGCCTCAGCCAGGGTGCAGACCCCACAGTCGGGGACGCCTGTCGCTGCTGGCGCTCGGCCATTGAGCATGTCCGCCGCCGTGAACTTGGCCAACCAGCGAATTGCACAACCTGAGCAGCGGCTGCTCCAGGTCAATCCACCAATGGAACACCAGCAAACTCCGCCCACCCCGGCGTAACCCCGTCATCGACCGTTCATACGCATGCTCACCCCGTTGCAGTCCAAGCTCCCGCCGCATCTTCTTTCCCTGCTAAGATGCCTATTCCCAAACAGCTTCCAGAGAAACTTACACAGCCAATCCAGCCAGTCGCCGTCTCGGGAGGCGCAGGACCCGGTCGCCCGACCTTTAACAGTGGCACCGGAACTGCAGGCGGCGCGATCAGCCAGCCAGCCCTTCCAAAGGTGCCAGCCTATGTCAATGAAGCAGAGAGCGAGCATGTGCTTAGCAAGAAGAAACTGGATGAGTTGGTCAGACAAGTTTGTGGGGGTTCTGCCGAAGGACACGAAGAGAATCTTCTGGCCCCTGAAGTCGAAGAGGTATGTTATATTCAGCTCCAGATCGTCGAGGGATGCATTCGACAAAGCCCTTGCCCCTTGCCCCTTCTCCACCCCAGGCCTTTTTCCCCTCTCTTAATTCGAAAGCTTACCCTTGTGGCACAGAGTATGCTCCAGTTAGCAGATCAATTCATGGACACTGTCATCGCTACCGCCTGCCGCAATGCCAAGGAGCGCGGCTCTAAAGTGCTCGAAATCCGCGACCTCCAACTTGTTCTAGAACGCGTCTACAACATACGAGTCCCTGGCTATTCCTCCGATGAGCTGAGAACCGTTCGCAAGGTCCAGCCCTCGTCCAACTGGATTTCAAAAATGAGTGCGGTTCAGGCGGCCAAGGTTATGCCCGGCAAGGGGACTAAGCCCAGGTCCTCGAAGGTCATTGTATATTTCATGGCAGTCACGCACCGCAAGCACTGTTGCGCATCTAGCCCTTGCCCAGGGATCGAGGAATCGAAACCTACGGGCAAATTGGCGTTTCCGGTAATGGCCGTGGGGTTAATCACTTGACATACCCGACCCAGGAGGAGCGACATGTCTCTTCTTTCCTTTCTTTTCTTTCTTTTTTTACTCGTAGGAAGGGAAAATATTTGGCATCACAAGGGAGGCGAAATGGGCTTGTGGCATGCGATTCGGTTTAAGTTTTATTTCGTCTGTGTCGCAAGGTATGGCAGGGTAGGACGCGTTTTTCTTTCATCCGGCTACTTTCTAGCACCACATTGATAGTTTATTATCACATTCCAGCGTCAGGCTACTTTTATCATTGCCATATATTGGTGCGTTTTGCATCGCTACATGTATAACCTGGTGTGTTGCTAGGGTTTGCATCAGTCACTTGAGCGTAATTCTACCCAGTGTGGCTACGTCAGGTTTGCGCTCCAGAAGGTTTACAACTTGCAGATCAACCCATAAATTCTCACAGCCGAAGCACGGAATACTCACCCTTTATTGTGGTCGGAAATGTTGCTGTCCGCGCCTCAAGCCGCGAAGCAGCAAATCACGGCGCTGCAGTTGGTCTCTTTGCCTAACGAGGATGTTAACGAACCCTCAGGAGTCAACCTAGTTCTTGGTCTCGTTATCCACTCGTCGTGATATGGTGGTACAGAGCTAGAGGCGGTTTCGGGACATTGACCAGTGGTAGATTGGTATATTCCTCACTGGCGATGGCATCTGTGCGAGCGTAAAACGCTATATGTAGCGGACCTTGTCAAGTTGATGAAGAGGAGAGAATAGAACTATCGTACCCCCACACCTTGGCGCTTCAACCTCAAAGACGAGAGGGTTGATCCGGTTCTGCCATTCTACCACTCCGCCTATGCTAATTGGAATTTTCGTCAAATGGTTGGCGATTGGATCAAAGATGCATCAACGATGCAGGAAATACGTGGCCTCACGAGTGGCAAGAGTGGCTTGCTTTCCCACAAAAAAGAGGACCTAATCCTCGACCCAGCGTTTAGATACGAATAAGCCCGGGGGAGGTTTCTAGAAACGGAGGCTAAGCAAGCGCATTCTTGGATGCGTATGATGGAGAGACGCATAGATCCATCGAGAGAGAGCTATTAGACACTCTTTGCGTTCGTATTATTAAGCTGGCGTCGTTGGGCCTGGCCAACCGAAGCCTGTGGAAATCTGAACGTACAGGCCTCCTCCTCAATTATTGCGCAGGTAGGCAGCCTAGGAGCTCAAAGTTCATTGAATGTTCGTCATTGGGTGATTGGGGGCGCACTGGAGCGGAGTCCCACCACTGATGTGTCTCGTCTACAATATTGCTTGAAGATCTGGGCGAGGAGCAGGCACCGAAAGGCAACGTCATGAGGCGGAATGGTGGAATCAGAGAAGCAGAAACATTGATTCGCCAGGTTGCCTATACTCGGCTCCCAAGGGAACGAACTATCGGGCGTGCATGTATCAGGTACTGTTTCTGGGAGCTGGTCGCCTGACGAGCCTGCTGTGAAGTACCTTGCCTGGGTAATCATTGACCAGAGCTCCTCTGGAGCGTTGGTATTCATGAAGGTACAGGGTACAGTGCCCCAAGAGAGGCCCGCTAGGCGCAGATTTGAGATTCCCCGTTAGTGACACATGTACATAGAACCGACATTATAACACTAATACAGTGTGTCCTTTGGTATTAAGTACCAATGGTGCAAGCGGGCTAGGGAAGACGGACGGAGGAGTCAGTCAGTCCCATGCCGAATCGCCCTGCACAGGTCATCAGGTTCTGTTTCTGTTCTCCCGAACGAGAAAACTCCGTATGCACAAGCAGAACAGAGACAGCTGCGCTGAGCACCACACGCCAACATTGCCCAATCCACAACTTAATCTCACGACGACAACGCGGCGCTTGTCCTCCGCATCACCATCTTTCTCATCAACCCATTTCCATCCCCCTATTCTCTTCTTCTTCTCCATCATTTCATCAAATTTGTCACCTTCCGCGATCTATTTGTGTCTGACACAGCCGTTCTCCCAAGAGGTAAGCCTCGTTTGGCCAGAAGCGCGCTTGTGACGAGTGCCCATCACCAAGGACGACGAAGAAAACACGCATCTCCTAGCGACACATAGGGATATTTTTCATCCACGATAGCGACTCCAGCATCTCTTTCGAACTCGGAGACTCTCGACGGCGTGATCTTTTTGTCATTTCCGCCTCATCTCTGTCCTGAGTTCCCCCTTTTCTCTTCTTTTTCCTCGCTTCATAGACTCGCCGAAATGCCCGGCAAGACACCCCATAGCAACGGTAATGAGCCCGTCGAGAACGGTATCAGGAGTAACCAGGACGTGGACATGAAGGACGATCTCAAGGGAAAGGGAAAGAAGGCTGCCAAGGACGGCGATGAAGAGATGACTGTCGTTGTGCCAAAGACGAGACCCGTCAAATCGTCAGCGCCCCCGATAAGGATGGCGATGTGGCGATGGGTGACGAGGCTGACAAGGACGCCGAGGGCGAGGTCAAGGTCGACCCCGTAGTACAAACATCTACAGGTGAGTTGTTGATCATTTTTCTTCCTTCCCCAGACCTTCCTAGCATTGTTCTCCCATGAAAATGAGCTCTTGAGCCATCTCAACTTGCTCTTCTCTCCCTCCCGGCATCCACTAGGCATATCTTGGGTGACGCAATCGTGACTATCTTTGAGCTAACCTCTTACTCGATCCCTCCCATCTAGACATCAAGAACAACTTCGCTCTACTGGAGCGCGCCGTCGTTCAGTTTGATGCCAGGTTCACCCTCCGAGCTCTCCGATCCATCTCCTTGATCCGCAAACGCCTTACATCTGATATCATCGCCAAGGTCATTGTCGAGACCTTCCCTGCTACTGTAGCGTCTGGAAATGTTGCCAAGGCCCTTCTTTCTGCCATCGATCGCCAGGATCTTCCCCTTGGCCGACCTTTCAATGCCGAGGAGGAATCTGAGCCTACCAAGGCCACGAAAAACGGCGCAAAGAAGGAGCTGAAGGAGGTCATTCCTGAGATTGATATTTTCCTCGGCATCCTCATCCAAGTTTCGCTCTTTGACTCTAAGCAGTTCAAGCGTGGAGCTGAGTTCTCAAAGCACCTTTCCGACAGGATCCAGAAGCTTAACCGCCGCACCTTGGACTCGCTGTCTGCCAAGGTTTATTTCTACTATAACCTCTTCTGCGAGCACCTCGACCCTCTACCCCCTCTATCCAGTCGCCCATTGTTGCTCTCCGCCCAACTCTTCTCGCTGCCCTCCGAACGGCTGTTTTGCGCAAGGATATCGATACCCAGGCCTCAGTCATCGTGCTCCTTCTTCGAAACTACCTCCTGACCTCGCATATCTCCCAGGCTGACCTTCTCGTCTCCCATACCCAATTCCCCGAAAACGCCGCCAATAACCAGGTTGCCCGCTTCCTTTACTATCTTGGCCGCATTCGCGCTATTCAACTACGCTATGGCGAGGCCCACACGCACCTCACTGCCGCTACGCGAAAGGCCCCCTCGAGCGCCTGCGCCGTTGGTTTCTCGCAAACTGCAACGAAACTCCTTCTCGTCGTCGAATTGCTTATGGGTGATATTCCGGACCGCGCTACTTTCCGTCAGCCCACTCTAGAGGTCGCGCTCCAGCCCTACTTCCGCCTTGTGCAAGCTGTCAGGGTTGGAAACCTCGAAGACTTCGAGACCATTATTGCCGATCACGCCGATATTTTCCGCCGCGATGGAACATATACCCTTATCCTCCGCCTAAGGCAAAACGTCATCAAGACGGGCATTCGCATGATGTCGCTGTCTTATTCGCGAATTTCTCTCCGCGATATTTGCATCCGACTTCATCTCGGAAGCGAAGAGTCTGCGGAGTATATTGTTGCCAAGGCCATCAGGGATGGTGTTATCGAGGCTACCCTGGATCGCGAGAGGGGCTTCATGAAGAGCAAGGAGGTGGGCGACGTTTATGCCACCCGTGAGCCCGGCGAAGCCTTCCACGAGCGCATCCGGGTGTGCTTATCTCTTCACGATGAAAGTGTCAAGGTATATTTACTCCCATTACTCACAAACCCAGCTGCACACGATACTGACTTCGCACGTGTCTCCTAGGCTATGCGATTCCCCATGAACCAGCACCGACTGGAGCTCAAGAATGCTCAGGAAGCGCGAGAGCGAGAGCGAGAGATGGCGAACGAGATACAGGATGGGGACTTGGACGAGGACGATCTCGGCGGCGACTTCGAGGGAATGTAAATCCGAAACAAATCAACCCTGACTCTTGTATCTTTACTCCATGCCTCCTCCTTTCCTCCCTCATCTTTCCTTCTCAACCTTGCCAAATCCCTCATCCTTCGCCTCGTCTTGTTATTGTCACCACATCGCTTTTTTTCTCTCCTATTTCCTGTCACTTGTAACAACTTCCACAGAGTACCGGTACAACAGAGCTACTATCATCACTACAGAAAGTTTGTGGGGAGTTCTTAAACTGGGAGGGGACGGATTCTGGTAATTGGCGTTTCTGAACGACAGTAGCAAACTCAAACTCTCCTTCCCTAACCAAAGTTTTTAATACGCCTGCGTCTCACTGTTCTTTTTTTTGTTCCCGCACAAGGCCTCTCAGATCAAGGGTTTCTTTCTTTTGTTCATTCACCTTCTGAATTGTGTTTGCCACAGACATACATACACGGGACACACATAGGATTTTCCTCTTTCTTCCTTCTTTTAGCCATCCTACCTAGACAATTCCTTGTCGATTGGGTTCTTGTAGAATGCTATTTGATGCCAATGATTCCTCAGCAAAGTGCCTCATAAACATAACCTAAGCGTTCAATGTTGGCTGTGCAACATCTTGCCATGTCCTACCACGCAGCCAGCCCTTGGTAGCTACCGTCCAAGATCGCTAGGGTCCCACGCGGGTGTAGGCCAGCTACGACCAAATGGAGGGTAACTGGTAGGAAACTAAACTTCAATTCATTAAGATCTCCTTAAAAACGCCGGGTAACTAGTGATATAAAGCCGGGTATCCGCCCTCCAAACCTGCAAACAAGATGATAACCTGCCCCTAAAAATCTAGTCCGTCGCAAAAGAAAAAGAAAGCAAGAGAGAGAGAGAGAGAGAGAGAGAGAGAGAGAGAGAGAGACTCGGGCTCACAGAGCGATTTCTTCGGCTTCTAGGCTTTCCTTCCTCAGCGTCTCCAACTCTTCCAGGTATGTCGGGTCGAACCCGTCTGGGTCACATGCTCGTTGCAGGCTGATCCGTTGGGAGGCCACCCAAGCTCGAACTGCGTCCTTTACAATACGCACCCTAGGAACCAGACGAGGAGTGATCTCCACCTCTGCCTCTTGGGCCACATCGGCGGAGGCCTCGCCCGCCTTGTCCTCCCCAAGGACCTCTTGGCTCACTTCGGCAGCGCTATCAATAGCGCTAATGGGTTTGGCTTTGGGTTTGGCTTTGGGTTGGGCCTTGGACGGGCCCAAGCCAGCGTCTTCGGCAACAGCCATCTCGCGGAGAACGCCGAGGCAATCTTCGGGGTGATCCATGTCTCCTTACTACAATCGTAAATGTCAATGACAACCTCTTGCGGATCCTCTGGGCCGTTATCTTCGGCCTTGCGCTTCCGAGCAGCTACAGCGCCGGCTGTGGAAGCGACATCGAGACTTAGGATCCACCTCGCAATCTCGCCTGCCCAGAATCGCCTGTAGCCCTTCCTGCCCAGCTCAGAGATGGGTTTCTCAGGCCCCCAAGAATCCCTTCGCGCCGCGATATCTCATACGAGATTCCCATTAGAAGGGAGCCAAGGCCTTTACGCTGCCAAGGAGGAAAGACTAGGATGCATGCGAGATTGTTGTTATCCCAGGAAAGCTTCTCCTTGGAGAAGAAGCCACAGATCTGGTGCTTCATGATTGGCGCTGAATCCGGGATGTGAGATTTTGTGGGCCGCGAAAATACAAGGAGAAAGTATTTGAAACCCGTCACGTCGAAGAAGACGGACTTATTATCGAGGAAGAGCTTTGCAAAGAGCGAGAGGTTTTGGCAAAGAGCTACGGAACCAAGTTAGCCACGCACCTCGTTCACCGTTGGGGTGTGTACGACATGAACCTACCACGTCTTTCTCACCATCTACTTCCCAGATGCTCCACTCACCATCATCCTGTACGGCTTGTGGCACAGGTGCCGCCGCAGCATCTCCTCTCCTCCTTTTTACACCACCTTTCACATTCGTCTCGACAGGTACAAGCGCTGGCCTGCCACTATTCTTGGGGTGGGTATAGATCTTTCTGCCGGGAACAAATTCCTTGACCTCGCACACCCGCACGTGTTCTAGCCACATGACGAGCTCTTTGGAATATTTGAAACAAGAGGGACACACGTAGAGTCGGTCGAGGATCGGCGATGGGTCGCGCTCACGTCGTGGGTGGTTTTTGCCGCCGGGAGCAGCTGCGTCGGACCGGGAAGAAGGTTCACCCAGGACTTCCTTGCCGTAGAATGAAGGATACCAGGTTTTGAAGCAGATATTACCGAGGACAATTTTATCAATGTTGCGCTCGGCAGCGGGCGAGGCGGTCTTCTTGGGCGGCTCGACAGTCTGCTTTTCCGCAATCGGCGGTGACGGTAATTGTTGGAGGGCTTGCTTAGGTGCTTGCGGCTTAGTCGTTCGGGCCGTTGACAAAAGAGCTGCGTTACGCTGTGTTGCGGCGGCAGCCTCATTAGCCGCGTTTTGTGTTGGCATCATATTTTCTTTTGACATTGTGGTAGATCCATTCGTTGGTTGGACGCCCTTGATCACATTATCTTTCGCCGTCTTGGTCTCTATGCTCTCGCTCCGAGGCACAGCCGCCCACTTAAGTGTCGTCTGCGCATATCGAATCGGGGCTGCCAATCTCTGAGCTCCCGCGGCCGTGGGGTTGGGCGGTTTGGGGGCGGCCGTCGCAGTGGCCATGGTGGAAGTGGTTCGAGAGGACGCCGCGGAGGCAGGAGGACGGCCACGTCGGTTTTGGGTGCAGGGATTTCGCGCGCTGGGGGTAGTTGCGATTGCGCTGGTACGGGTTTCGCTGCTGGCTCTGTCGTGGAAGGTTGCACAGGAGCCGGGTTCGGGGTGTGACGCGTAGCTCGACGCGTTACAATGGGCGGAGGGCCGTCCTGGATATCAGCATGGTTGTGTCGTTTGCTGCGTTTGATCGGAGCCATCAAGTGGCAAACGAAAATCGGGGAGGAGTGGGTGGGATGCCGGATCCCTGTGAGGGAAGATTCACGAGGGTAGGGCGGTGAGGCGCGTCAAAGACTTTGTACGGTGAAGGGCGCTTTGGGTCTGGGTCGTCTGTGGGTCTAATGCTCGCTGAGCCCGGGGTTGGCTTTTCTGACGATTCGGCCAAGAAACGGCTATTGTGTGGGTTGTTTGGGTGGAATACACATCACAAGCGACCATGGAACAGATGTATCATGATAACTCGAGGCAAAACCTCCCTGGAATGCAGCCGCTTCATGAATCGGGGGTGGGGGTTACTTACACTCGGTATGCTGCGGTTGATTCGGTGAGGACGCTGATTACGTGATGGTCGGTGAGCTTGGTGCCGAATCTCTGCTCCTCCAACGCTCCTGCTTCATTGTGCAGAAAAACGATCCTGCTTGCCCGTTGGGAGATTGGCGTAGCTCCTGCCTTCCATAGCTTCGTATGTTATAGAAGATCCACAGTGTGTTTCATGCTGAGCCCAAGCTTGAGATGACGTAGGGCGTTCACAGCCGATGTTCTCGGATTCTACCCATCTTTATGGTAGATATCAACAATAAATCAAATTTTGCTGCTCGACAAGTTCAAGGAGGGCAAGAAAAAAAGATTTAGAACATATGGAAATATCAGTAAACAAGATTCTATTTTCAGAAGACCGCTACTCTGTGCGATAACTCCAATCCGGGAAAATAAATCATATGAATGGGACAAAATCATGTAAATGAAGCGAACAGGAGTTGCGAGTGAAGAGGAAGGAAAGCGTGTAAGCCAAGTATGTGCGGCAACGCGGCTCTCATCTCCAGGCACCCGCAGGATCAACCACCGCCCTTTTTTGCTCCTCAGTCTTCGTCGCTATTGCCATCCTCTTCCTCTTCACCACCGCCGTAATTGTTGTTGTCGTCGTCGCTCGTGTTTTCGTCTTCGCTGTCGTTCTCGCTGTCTTCGTTGTCGTCGTCGTCGTCGCCGTCATTATCGATGAAATCAAATAACTCCTTTTAATTCCCTTGATCAGGGCCCTTTCGCCGTATACCGAATCAACCACCCGAACGCCCCGGTCCATGGCAAGCCACCTCCTCTCTCCTCCTAAATCTTTCGTACGCCATCCCCTCACCGTACTTTACTTTGACATTCACCTCCAGCCTCCTCCAGGCCGCCCTCTCCACCTCGGACACATCCCTCCTCAGCGCGGCCCCGGTCACAAACTCGGTCGCCGTTGGGCCCTGGGCAGGAACGAATTGACGAGATGGCTTGTCACTCTCGCCGTAGACTCGTATCGACGTGGCCCAGAAGAATGTGAGCGACGGGTGGCGGCGGACCGCGTCGTGGACCGTTTGGAGAGCGGATGCCGATAGGCCGCAGTGGCCGAGGGAGAGGTGCTCCAACATGGGACCTGGGTGGCTCGACTCGAACGGCATCAGAAGTGAGCACAGGGCGGGGGCGCTGTCATCACCAATGTGATTGAATGCCTGTCCGAACGAACCGGTAGCTAGGCTTTGGCTGAGGTCGACGCTTCGGATAGCCGGGTGTCCTCGAAGTGCATTACAAAAGGGCACCAGGCCCTTGGTACCGAGACCGACGGATTGGAGAGCAAGCCGCTGAAGATATCTTGCCGACCGAACACCCTCGGCTAGGATCTTTATCCCCTGGCTCCCCATGGGGTTATTGGAGAGGTAAATGGAGTGAACGCGATGCGGCGACTGAGGCCGAGCCTGGAGCGACAGAAACCTGGAGATGGCCCGCGCTGCTTTGACAGAGATGCCATTTCCGCTAAGATACACAACCTCCAGGGGCAAGGGGCTGGTATCTCCCGCCTCCAGATACAACGCGAGATTATTGAAGAGGGCAGCGACGCCAGCGTCACCGAGGTGGGTTTCGTCCAGATCTAAAATTTGAAGGTTCCTTGTTCGGGTGATTAGTCGCATTAGGTCTTTCGCGGATTCCGGGCCTAGCGGGTTTCCTCTGAGCCACAGGCTCGCCAGGCTTCTTGATCCGACCATGCCGTCCACGAGTAACTTGAAAGCCGATGAGTCGATGCCACCTCCGCCTAACTCCCAGTTCTCGATACGGTTGGGGACGGCTTTCAAGAACTGAGACACCGCGGCGCATCCATCCTCGCCGATCCTATTGTTGCCGAGTAGGAGATGCCTGACAAACTCATTTCTGCGCAGGCTCCGCAGGACATGCGCGAGGAGCTCAGGGTCCAGTCCTGTCTGAAAGAGGTCCAGCCTCCCATCCTCCAGCACGATGCCCCTGGGGAACTCGATCCCCCTCGTCCGATAGTAGACCTCGCCCTTTCCGCCGTTTAGCTCGGCGCCGCCGAGTCCGTTGGGCAAAGCATAGGTTCCGCCTCTGGCGAGATGGTTGATGAGGGGCTGCAAGTCGCTCAGGGCTGCCAACGTAGTCTTGGCCTCGGGTAATTTGACGCCTTGCAAAGACACTGGGTGGTCCTCCTCATCCCATTCTCCTTGTTCCGCTATCCGCCTAGCCCACCCTTCCACCCAAACGCATGGTGCAGCGCCTCCGTTCGCGCCGAGCCTACTGAGGCCGAAAGCGACGAAGAGATCGAATTCTCTCTGCAGCATGACCCAGCCCCGTAGCTTGACTCTGTCGGCGTCGTACCGAATTAATGGCGAGAGGGACCCCGCCCTCGAGGGAAACATTAGTTCCGCCACCGCGGCGGCGAGCAACATCCTCTTGGACTTTCTCCTCGGGAGCGTCAAAAGTTCTTCATCGGCCCTTGCCGAGGGGTGATAGAAGGGCATGGCCAGTATCTCGGCAGCGCTGTAGGGCTTTGAGGGATTGAAGCCTGGCATCGTGGCTGCGAGTCTTGCCAAAGCTGTCCGGCAGAGCTGTGCAAGTCGCGCAGCCTCGACGACGTTATCATCCTGGCCCTGGTCGCCGAGCACCGGCATATCGAACTCGGGGCGGATCAGAGTTGGACTTGCTGGGGAGCAGGTGGAAGAGGAGGAGGAGGGGGCGAAGATCTGCGTCGAAGGTCGGGATTGGAACTCCCGCAGACGATGATGGGCGGACTTGGGAATGGAGTGGAAGCCATGGCCGAACCGAGGATTTACAAAGCGTGTGTGTCGGGGTAAGGTGGTCTAGCTCACGGCCAGGAGGGCGCGATGGGTGGTTCCAATGAAGAAGGACAAAAAAAGACTGGTGTGCTTGGTCTTGCTCATATCGTGAAGAAAAATCGCGACCGACATCACGGATTATATATACTAAGCACCGACTATCATCTAGGCCCTCCGAACAGGCAGAACAGCCGCCCGAAAAGCCCCTCCCGCGCGCCAGACGTCCCGTAGTCAGATTCGGTGGAGAGAGTAATACTGGTGGATGACCTTGATCCAAGTCTCCTTGCAGAATATTGGAACGGCTGGGGCTACCCTCCTCACCATCCTTAGGTTCCAACTTGCTCTGGCAAGCCTACTTTCTTTAGCCCTATAGGGTAAGTCTAACGCCATTTTCTGGACATCACGAGCGGTAGGGTGCACGGCACCTTCAGGTCCATTCTTTGCATCCAACGGGATTTGGAGCGCTTATTGGCCGCCTTAATCTCAGCTTGGGCTAAGCTCTTGTCTCATCCCCGGGTCCAAAGAAGGTTTTGGTGCTGGAGGGGAGTGGAGGCAATGTTCCGGGACGACCTCGATTACTAGGGGGTGGTCACCTCCATTTTGGAAACCGATGTGAACGCATTGAGAGAGCTAACCGCACCCCAAATGGCTAGACAAGGGGAGGGGAGAGAAGCTCGTGTGTACGAGGTATGTGTGCATGCGTGCCTGTAGATGTGTCGAGATGAGATGATGGGGTTGCAAGCTCGACTAATTAAACGCGATGTTTGGCAGGGGGTCCGCATACCAACCCCAAATCTACCCACCGCCATTGGGCCAGCGCAGCCACGAACGATGCCATGTCCCTCGCGAATACCCTAAAAGCGTAGATTAGTGTAAGAAGTGACGAGCCTGCAAAAGGTTGTGCTTCTTGGCTTGCAGGGCCCATGTGTCGGAAGCTTGGAGGTGGTGGGAGTGCGCAGCTAGTGGTGAGGCTGATGAGGCGGTGCAGCGTCCGGCTCGAGCCACTCCCGAGGGCCGGAGCGGGGCTGAGTTAGCATTGCCTGTGGGAAACGACCTTCTAAAAGCCTCTGTAGAATTGGAGAGGGAATAGCGCCTAATAATCTCCCATTGATTCTGGATCCGATCAATCAATCCCCTCACCAGATGCAGTGCTCAACCCCATCAACTATTATTACGTCCAGTCCCAGGGGGCAAAGAGCTTCACGAGCGCCAAGAGCACCACTGGCAGCTCTTGGCAATAATTCTTCCCCTTCTCGTCACCCCTTACTTCTCCAGGTATTGTCATGTGGCATCAATCGCGGGATATTTTGGCTGCTTGTTGCCTAGAGACAGAGGAGCCCTTGAGGGATTGGTAACAATGGCCGACGATCAAATTATTGACGGAGGTGGTTCGATCGGATCGATCTAGGCATTAATACAACCGTTGATGATCAAGGTTGGATCGAGTGGCCCTCCCTTCACTTTCTCACAGGCAGCCACAGCCGCAAGATGCCCGGTGTCTAGAAGTTATGGACATGGACACTGCGATTGGCAATTCAAATTCAGCATGAGGGCGGGGAGGAAGCAGCGGCTGGTGTTTCAGTTCACCACGTTCGCTCTCCTTGTCTGGGCCTTTTCCGCATCTCGCCACCCGCTAGGTCACCTCTTGGGGACGATTTGCGTGAATGTTTGCTACTGTTTGTTTACTCTGGGCTGCACATGGGCGAGTTTGGCTGACCGGGTAGCAGCAGCGCCAGGCTTTCTTGCGGTTGCAGTCAGCAAGCTGGGGTTGGGGATGGAGGGGAAGAGAATCACACTCGTGGTCGGCTTTCCCGCCTCCCGCGCGTAACTTTTAGCCGTTGTCCGCATACCAGCCAGACAGAAGGCTAGCCGCGACCGCGACCTGCGCATCGCCTGAGCTGATCAGTGAGCCGCGGGGCAAGGCTTAGAACGCCTCGCCTCGCCTCCCACCCCATTTCCCTTGCCCTTGTTCTACGCGGTGCCATTTGACAGCTCGATAAATGAGCTGTATGGGCTGTATTCAATCCATCCATCCATCCATGGATGGATATGTGCCTGGAAGATATGGGGGCCGGTTCGTGTTCGGGCCCTGAGCCATCGCTAGAGGGTGGGCAACTGGTATGAAAAAAATCATTTCATTTTCTTTCTTATTCTCTCCCCTGCACCTCCATTCCCTTTGCCCTGGTTCGCGGTTTTGTGCTGCGGTTTTCGACAACAGGGTACTGGTATTCGATGTGGTTGGTCCGCTGTGAGTGGGCTTTGCTCACGATCCATGATTTCTGTTTTGGTCAGTTTTCAGCTATCTCACGTTGGAGGAAATGCACCGCCTTTTTTCTTCTCTTTCATTCTCTCGTTTTTTTCCTTTCTTAACGTTTCTTTTGACCGTGGCGAAGACGCAGGACGATTGTTGCAGCCAGCCATGCCACGAACGGGGACCAAAGACTCGTCTCTCAACAGGCTAACGAACTTCCTGTCAGCGCTCCATCTGACGAGGTAACGTGGACCGTAACCGCGAAAGCTGATGGGTGAGACGAATGGATGCCCCAGATAAGCGCGAAGCGCGCACCGCCCCGGCGAGGATGAGCCAGCCCCTTTGAAAGGGGAACGCTGCAACCGATTCCAACGGCGCGGTTCGGATCTGATGACTGTGTCTGACCATCCTCGCGGGAAGGAAGGAAAGGCCCGATGTGGGCAAGCATCTGTCTGGCTGTCCCAGCGAGGTGGTTTGCGATATGCTTCGGGCATGGCGAAGGCGTGGTGGGTGCCGCGAGGTCGGGTAATCGACACGGCAGAGGAGGAAGGATCTGGCTGTCGACGGCATCGAGACGAGGGAGAGGACCTGTCGCTGAATCGGAGGAGACACGTTTTTTCCTTTCGGCCCCCGATCCTCTCATGCAATGGGTATGTCGGGGGTGTTTGCTCCGGTGCTTCTCTCGGCTGTTTCTTGGGATAACTTGCTCTCACGACATCTTTCAGCTTGTTAGAAGATGGGCGGCGGCCGGTCTCGATCTCGATGGTATGTGGCTCTCTTCCGACGGGTAACGGCGGCTGAGCATCAGGCGGCCCGGGTTGTGCCTGCCTTCTCTTTCCTTTCCTTTCCTTTCCTTTCCTTTCCTTCCCTTCGACTTCCTTTTCCTCCCCTTTCCCGCTTTCCACCGTGCTGGATGGAAGAGAGACGCTACGCTCATGGTAGATCAAGCAGACGAAGGGGCAACGTAGGCTCAAGCTGTTCCACTATCCATGACCCATACATGGAAAGGCCTCATCGAAACTGCCGGTTTAGACAGAGAGGACCGAATCTTGAATCCGGGGCCCCGGATCTCATGCTCCCCGGATGAGAGAACGATCCCGAGATAACCTCAAGAACCCCAAGGGGAAAGTGGGCATTGGGGATCCACAGAATCACCTGGGATCTATCCATCCTTTAGTAGTACCCCATTGTCCGCTTCTCTCGTGACGGACGGAGAAAAAAAAACAAGGGACGCCCATGGGCGATATCAGCCCCAGATCGTGCTCTTCTCTCCGCTTCCTTTACCCCCTCCTGGCAGAAAGCCTATCGAGTAATATCTTCCATAACAAACTGACTTTGAAATCTGCCTTTCCCCCATCCACCTATCTGGAGACAAACGGGCCCCATAGGGAGTGTACTTTATGATACGCCCTCCGTCTTCCAATAGCCTTCATCGAGACTCTCTTTTTGCCTCCCAAATTCTCTTTACTAGGGGTCTTTTTTTTTCCTTCTCCCACGCACCCCATATCCCAATCATCAGATCACCTTTGTTGATTTCTCTAGCTTCACACCCAGGGGAAGAGGAGACGGGGGCCTGTCTGGCCTCTTCCACTTACTCCTCCCTCCCCCGTCCTATCGGCCAGCGATCGGATCCCATGCGGACTTTCTCACCCCTCGGTGGAATCATTCGTGTCCTTTCCTGGATCCTGTCTTGGGGTGCTGGGAGTGGGGGGATGTTTTCCCGCTCCCTTGCACCCTTTTGTGCGTGCTCCGCCGCGGCCAGTTTGGAGGACGGAGCGATAACGCTCCAACTGAAACGAAGCCAGCATTGAGGATGGAGAGGGAGACTGGGACGGAGATGGATACCAACGGGGAGGACCCACCTCTCGAAACTCCGGACATGCTCCGAGCTCCAGTGTTCGGCTTGAGAGAGGGAGAGGGGGCGGCCAGCGATGTCGACTTTCTCTCTCACTCCCTTCGTCGCTGCTGCCGTTCAGCGTTACAAGTACAAGCAATATCTTGGCTCAACTTTTCGACATCCTCGTGATGGGCGCGGCCACCTTGTGATAATACACACCCCTTCTCGACCCACTCTACGGTAGAAGCTTGCTTCGTGGTGGCCCGGTTTTGTACGTAATGATGCCAGAGCTCTTTTCCATTTTCCCTTGTGCCTCTCTCATCCTCTCTCAGTCCGGTGGGTTTTTACTTTCATTTTGCTCGTTCTTTCATTTTTTTGGTCCTTTTCCTTTTCCTTTTCCTGTTTCTTTTTCCTTTTTCCCTTTCCATCCTTCTTCCCCCACTCAGCACCCACCGTCTCCTCTTCTCCCACTCACCAAAATTTTGCGAAACGTTGATGATGCTAGCGGGCCCCACCGGCCAGACGGTAAGCTTGGGGCTGGGCACACGGATATCAGTAGATTGACCTCGGACCAAGGTCGGTGGGCATAGAGGTGGCTGGAAAAACAAAACTACCCTTCCTTTCCTTGCTCGGGCAAAGGCGGCTCTTTTTGTTATGTGTCTCTCTCTCTTATCCTAGTAGAAATTCTTTTTATCTATCGGACGGGCGGCAGAGCGGCAGAAAGAGGGAACATCTTCACTGACACCAATGGCCCCCACATCGCGATCCAATTGTATAGATCAATTGATCCATCCATGGATGGATGTATGTACACGTAGCGTGTCAATGAGTTAGTGTGTAGGGCTCGGAGCTACGGTAAAGGGAAGCTATGGCACCCTTGGCTAATCAACTTCTCGGGTCTCTTTTTTCGAGTTTGCCGAACAAGCTCTCCCACAGTGAGCAAGGAACAACACGTCGAGCTTCTTCAGCCTTCGATTATGCCTGTTTCGTCGTATCATTGTAAGTCGTTTGTAGAAATCCGTTGCACAAATGGCTGAGACAAAAAGGTGCAGATGCCAGAAGAAACAAAAGAAGAAGAAGAAAAGAAAAGAAAAAAGCTCAGTGATGTCGACAAGTGTATGCTTCTGGACGGGTTCAACCAGTGTCTCTCCGACATCGAGATCTCGATGGCTTCTTCCCAAAGGGAATGTGAGTTGCGGCTTTGGGAAGCGACAAAAAGGACGAGGTCCGGGAACGCTGGGAGCTTGGAAAGCTTTGGGAAACACCCGAGAAAAGGGCAGCTCGGATCTCAGTCAGTTGACTCGAGATAATCTCGCATAACGCCGCGCGCTTGCGCCTGGACGCCTGTGCATCTGCACCGGGTTCAGGTCGTCTCATCTCTTTGGCCCCCTTTATTACCTCACACTCACACATCGAGGTACATTCCGGCAGACGCATGGTGGGTGGGTGGGGGCGCAATGGGAATCAAAAGAAAAAGAAAAAAAGAAAAGGAAAAAGAGTGGACCGAGGGCATTCCGGTTCTGGCACTTGAACTACATCTATTATTACGCTAGTTCGCTTATTAGGCGTACAGGTAAGAGAATGTATATGAAAAAAAAAAAAAAAAGAACAAAGAAAATTGGCCCCCGTGCAAGCTGCCGTTCGATGACGAGGAACGCAAACCCCTGCCGCGTGCTAGTGCTAACCATTGATCGCCTTCCGCTCTCGAGTTTGGGGGCACCTGGCGGAGCTCTCGAGACCGATATCGCTCTGGATCCCGGCTTGAAGGTCGGAGCCGATTCTCGTCAACTTGAGTGCGAAGAAAAGAAAATACTCATAGACACCTCGGGCAAGGCTTCGCGATTTACCATTTATCCCATATCCACACACAGATACCAAAACACAACATCGAACCTGCCTGTCATGAGGAACAAGCAAGCAAGCAAATATTAGAACTAGACAGGGAGTTAGGGAAGCAGGGAGCATAACGGAAAGACTAAATAAATAAATAAAAAAGGGAGAAAAAGAAACGAAAAGAAAAAGGCTCTCGGCTGGCGGAGAGAGATTACGGTACTTTCGCCTCTTTTTTGTGCCCTTGTTCTCTCTCCTCTGTTAATAACTTGGATTCTCGTTATTCCCGTCAGCGCAAGTTCCTTGCCGTGAGCGGTCAGCACCAGAATTCGACGGGGCTTTTCGCAACGACAGCCCTCAACAGGATGGCCATCGACCCATAATTCCATGAACAGGGGGTGTCGATAACAGGGAACATGAAAAACTTGAGATCAGAGTGGAGCCTTGCAAAGCCCAGAAACAGCCAACGAGGCCGGCGGAAAGACTATCATGAGATTGGAAAGAGAGAAAAAACGATATGAAGGCTCCTCTTTTGAACCAAGTGGAGCTTGGTCGGGAATAATAACATGGGAGGCTTGGGGGTAAAATACGATGGGGGCCTGACCAGGCGTGGACAACGGCCAAGCCAGAGGAAGCCTTGCTCATTGACAATGTGATTGTTTTGAACGTGCTTGCAATATCAACATATTGATTGCTGTGGATGGATCGATCCCTCATTCTGTGTCATCTAGAATCAATTATTTTCCACGATCCATCTCGTTCTTCCAGTCGCTTCATCTCCCTCGACCACTTGTTAGCTCCCGGTATGGGCGCACTAAAGAATCGAGGTGCCATGGTCGTGCAAAAGGGTTGCGACGGAGCACCAAGACCAAAAGAAAGAAGAAAAAAATTGACTTTCTAACCGGCCCGGTCGGGTTGCACGTGGATGCCGACGTCAAATGTTCTGTGCGAAGCGCGCCGTCGCACACTCATCCGAGGAAGGCTGGCTGGCTGGCAATGTAATTGGCAGGGGTGGGAGTGATGTCCCATTCCTCAAGCGAACAAGGGGCCCTAGGGAGACAGGCGAAAGAAGAAAGAAGAAGGAAGAAAAAGAAAATTAGCCCAGCTCGGAGATCTGCAAATGTACCGCCGCACCGTAATCCCGTGCGCTAGTACGGAGGTGAGTGTGTCAGAATAAGGCGGACAGGGGGAATCGACGGAAGGGAGCAAGGGAATCCTCTAGAAAGAAAGTAAAAAAGAAAAAAGAAAAGAAAAAAGCGGCTTAATTATGCTACTGGAAAAAAATTGTTTCCGCGATATTTTCGTGACAGCAAGACAGACCACATCACGACTACTGTATCGTATATCTGGGTGTAAGCCGATCGTGACCGACCAAGACGGCCCTCGACTTGTCTCATCAGGACCCTGCCTTCCGCTTCTTGTTCATTCTTTCTTTCTGTTTCTCTGGTAGCAAAGATGATCCAGTAGGCGATTTCAAGCAATGTATCACTCTGCCGCCTCAGTCCGTGGCTGCTTGTTCACCCTTGGCGCCCATGTCAAGATTCAGGTGATTTGGTAAACATTTGACAGGGCTAGCTCCTGTCGATGAACACGTATTATCCCGAGGTGTCACAGGTAATAATAGGCTTCGTGTTCATTGAGCGTAGGCCTTGCGAGTCATCAAACGTGCAGCATTGAGTATCATTATTTCCCTTGTCTGGAAAATTCTGTCCTTGCCGGGATGGACAAGCAAGCCTCACCTCTCGTTTCGGGTCATATCGGAATGAGCAATGAAGACTTGTCCGCCAGCCTCAATTCAAACAGCCTAGTCGGGGGCTTTGGTGCCAAGAGGGCCACGCGCACATAAAGGGGATGAGATGGGTTAGGATAGCTCGGATAGAATCGAAGCAGGCAAGGGGGGTTTGGGTGGCGGTGGTGGGCCAGAGGAAAACGGCAGGAGAGAAAAATTTTCACCTTTTTCGTCAAGCTCTGGTCCTATTAGTGCAGCCTCGAAAACGGGAACAAAAAGAAAAGAAAAAATGAGAGGGATAATTGGAGTCAGGGAGGAAAAGAAATAGCGCCGACGATTGACCCACAAGTCATTTCGAGTGGAAACGGACGCTCACGAGCAATCAATCGCATCGCCAGAAGACCCCTAGCAGCTCGCAGGCCGTCATAATCCTGGCTTGGGTGCGAGAAAGGAAAAAAGGAAAATCCCAGCCACGGACTAGGCCCTGTCTTCATCCGGCCTGCCGCCGAGCCTCATCTGAGATGCACAGACAGGCATACCCCTGCCGAACCAAAGGAAAATAAAGAGGGAAAAAAAGAAAAAAGGAAAAAGAAAATTCCATTATTCTACACGCATACACGCATGCACACATATAGTGTACACCCACGCCAGAGACACACACCCACGCGAATTCCCGTTTCTTGGAAAGCTTGCCGAGAACGTGAACAATGTACTTGTTGTCCGAAGCACTGTGATTACCTCACCGTGCTGTCAACAGCCGATCACACCCAAAACCTAATAATACCAAGGCCTGCCCTTTGTCGGGACGAGGCGGTAGGGTAGCTTGGGTAGGCAGCATCTATCCTTGTACTGTATTTTCTGTCATCCCTACACGACATTGATGCTGTAGTGTAGTGTGTGATACCGCACGAGATTGCGATCGATCTGAGCAGTGAACCGAGGCATAACACCACTTCCGAGTCTCCTGGTCCCAAGGTTGGAAGAGCAAACCTTTGAGCTCAAACGTGGTTGCCCCATTGGTTTAATCAATCCCCGACCAAAGCTACGATCGCGGCTTGTACATGAGAGGAGCTTGGGAAAAGAAGGAAATTTTGTTCTTCTGATGAGACACTGTAGAAAAACGTCCTGGCGGGGCGAGTTATAATAACGGACGGAAACGGAAATGAGAACAAAAAGGTCAATTGATGCGATTTGTGAAAGGAAAGAAGAAGAAAAAGGGACAAGGGAAAATAAAAAATAAAATAAAATAGAAGGGAAAGAAAAAGAAGAAAAATGGAGCCATTAGGATTGCCGTGGAGACCTGGCAAGATCTTTGCCCCTGCCAAAGAATTGAAGCGCCACGGCGAACACCACCATCAGCTTCCTGTTCAAGGGGAGAAAAGAGATGTCGTCTTTCGTCGCGATTCCGGACCTAGGTACCGCTCTACCGAAGAGCACGTTTTCTGGAACGGAGGAACCTCGTACGTCGGCAAAGAATAATAGCTGTCACCCTGGCCGGGCTAGTCCCGAAACCCTTGCCATCCAACTGCCCGGAATAGGAAAAATCGAGTAGGCCTTTTTTCGTCCTTTTCTTTTTCTTTTTCTTTTTCTTTTCGTTTTTGGTTCCCTTCCTTTTGCCCAGCACAGCGGATCGGTTCATATCGTAAATCCCATGCAGGCACACCCCCTTTCGTCGTCCGCCTCCAAAGAACCCCTGACCTAACACCCAACGCGAAAAGGAAGCACGTCAAGGAGCTTTTTCCCTGCCCTTCCTCCCTCCCTTTGACCTCCTGGTCGCCGCGAGGGCGTGGGTAATGAGGTGAGGTGTTCGGTTCCAACACAGGCCTCGATCCTTGTCTCCCGCCATAGCTATCGAGGGAAGCTCATCTGTTTGAAGTGGAGTGGGTGGGGTGGGGGTCACCCAAGAGTGGGTAAAAAAGAGAAAAGAAAACGATGGGAAAACAAACACACCTCTTTTCCTTTCCCGAACTCTTTGCAAGTTGCCTCTTTTTGCACCCCCTGTTTGCTTCTTTCGCCCAGACTCCCATCAGGGCCCGCCATATTGGGTACCTGGCTCCTTGTGAGGCTCAACAATGAGCGAACCATCCAGCTCTTCTCGCCTTCGTCCGAGATGGCCCGACGACACCAGACGTCTCCATCCTCCTATCATCGGCCTCCAAGCCCATTTCCTGGACCCGCTTCTACTTCCGCATCTCCTCAGACGATACTTTCAGAATTGAGACGCCCAGTATAATCCTGTACGGAGTACGAGTTCAGTAGCGCAGAGTCTCCTCGCCATAATCTCCTGCCGTCGTGGATTCCTGAGGCATTGTCGACCCCTTCGTTCAAGAGGGAAAAAATTTTCCCCATTCCATCTGCTCCACACTTCTCAGACCTCTTGCTTGACTTTGCTTTCTTTCTCTTTCTTCTTCTTCTTTCTCTCTTTCCCTTTATCACTCTTTCTTCCTATCATCTTCCTCTCTTTCTTCCCACTCCTTTCTGCCTTAATCCACCCTCGTGTGTGTGTGCTGTCGTCGAGCCTGTATCGTCTTGCAACCTTCTCTGTAGATTATTCTCCTCCCTCCAAAACCATCAAGATGTCTGCCCGCTTCGCTGCTACCAGGCTCATGGCCTCCGCCTCCACCAAGGTCGCCAGGCCCGTTGCCCGCGCCAACCTCGCCTCCGTCGCCTCCAAGCGCACCATCTCTGGTAAGCCGTCCTGATTTGCCTCGCAGCTGCTTGCTCGTCTGTCTCCGCATCATGGCCGTCCTGTGACTGGCTGGGCATGTGACCGGAAAGACGCGATCACTTGCGGGCATGCCATTGAAGACGAGAACGTTATCACTCACATGCGCCTTTTTTCCTCCCATCACAGGCATGAACAGCCCCTTCCAGGCCGCCAAGCGCCAGCAGGTCTCCTCCGCTATCAACGCCACCACCCGCCAGGCTTTCGCTGCCCGCCGTGCCTACTCCTCTGAGATCGCCCAGGCCATGGTCGAGGTCTCCAGGAACATCGGTATGGGTTCCGCCGCCATCGGTCTCACCGGTGCCGGTATCGGTATCGGTCTCGTCTTCGCCTCTCTCATCAGCGGTGTTGCCCGCAACCCCGCTCTCCGTGGCCAGCTCTTCTCCTACGCCATTCTCGGCTTCGCCTTCGTCGAGGCCATTGGTCTCTTCGATCTCATGGTTGCCCTCATGGCCAAGTTCGTAAGTTTTGACTCGACCCTGGACTGGCGGCTTGAAGAAATGAGCGTCTGTAGTCAGTCATTTCCCGGTACGGTACTAACGAGACCTCCCAACAGACTTAAACGTCGCAATGGCGTGAAACAACACTCTCCTGTGGATGGGAGAATTGAATATAGCATCCGCGCGAGGATAGAACCTCATACCACTACCACCTGGAGTATGGATTTTCTTAGACCGGTCAAGGTGACCTTCCCTGCATTGTTGAACAAAAAAGCACATCATGTATTTCTATAATCAGAAGAATCCATGATAGAGGATAGACGCGAAAGAATAGAGACGTGTGTGAGGGCGGTCTCTCCAAACCATTTTTACCTTATATTTTTGCTCCCACGAGGGTTGGGTATATCCCACCCTGACAATATATGACTTCTTTTTGTCTCGTGAAAAGAGGTGAGCTCCTCAACTTGTTGATCGATTCATGGCTGTCGCTTGGGTTCTAGAAAATACACGGCCTTCCCGGCATATACCTCATCGAACACGATTGGGCGGAGGAGACGCGGCGGCCTCGGGCCAACCTCCAACGAACTCGCAGAAGAGATTGCCCTGCGGCACACTCGGTCCCCGCCTTATCCGAGGCTTAGTCCTCATCATCGGTATTTTTCAATGGCGGTTCGGCGAGGAAGATGGGCGGTAAATCGTCCGGACTGCGGCCGTTTCTGTAAAGCCACAACCGACTAAGGTCCTTGACTTTGATCTCCCTTTTATGGTCGATTGCCTCTCCGTTGCCGTGGACGTCGACTCCATCCAGAATATCACCGCTACCGAATCCGTCGTTGCCGAGCCAGCTCATCGCGAACGCCTCCCTTGAATTCCTCGAAACGTCTCCTTCCATTCCGACTTGCACGATGCTGTCCATGAACTCGTTGCTCTCAGCCGCCCCCAAGAATTTCCCCGACTTCGCATCCCTTTCGAGCGGAAACATGCCGTCAAGGTAGTGCTGGCAAAATTGGTGGCCGCCGCGTTTTGATGGGCGAATGAACAATCTTCCAATAAATCTGGGAACTGTTTTCGCGGCCAGCGAAGATGTCGCGAAATGTAGGACGCCCCATAGCGCTACGAAATCCGTTGTATGGGCGTAGTGCTCGACATGGGCGATGGCGCGGTCGTGAGCTGCCGACTTGGTCTGGATCGATGTCATCGAGTTTCTCTTATTCTGGCTTGGCAATCCTTCGGGAAAGTTCTCCAATGATGGAGAGCCGGCAGGCGACGAGGACTGCGTGATAGTCGTCGTCATGGTTTCCACTGCAATTGTCGGATCTTGCTTCGCCAGCTGCTGGGACACCATGTGTCGGTGGGGATTGTTGAAGTGATTAGCGGCATTGCCAAAAGTATATACCTCGAGCTTGGAGAGAAGGTCTTGTGGCAGCTCCTGCAAAATCCAGTCCACCACCAGACCACCCTCTATCCCTCCTTGGGAATGCAGAATGAGCACAACTTTAGAAAGGCTTGGATCATATAATTTCTCCTTCACGATCCGATAACAGACGCGAGTGTCGAAGGTGGCATAACCCAAGTTGCGTTGAATGAGGCACTCGATAACGTCAAACAAAACCCCCACGTCCGGTTGTGGATCCCTAATATAGGCCGCTTGAAGGTGAGGGCAAGACGGTTGAGATTACTCCGGAGCCAGTGTTCCCTAGATCTTGTCAGAGGTGGCAAAACTCACGAGGCAACCAGTGTGCATTCTCCTCAGTCACTTACCCGACACCGACACCGTTGACGAAAATCCACTGTTCATGAGCATGCTCAGGCCGAGCCGGGGCGTATTTCTCACACGAAGTATAGGTTATTGCCCCTGTTCCATTGAGCAGAGCACATATGGCTCCATTTAGCGTGAGGAACGCGCCGATTGCTGCGACCGAAAGCCAGACTGGTAAAATCAGAGCCAAAGGTAGGCCTACGATGAACGAAAACTGCAGGACGAACAGAATGCCGTGGACGGCGAGACACCAGAGGTTTTGAGGCGTTGGCGAGAGTTCACTAAGATTTCCGGAGTCATAAGGTCGAAGCGGAATAAATAGCCAAGGAATCGCCCAGAGATAGCGGAAGAAGTTGTATATATCCCAGGTCATTAGCCTCCAGGGTTGGTCGGTGTAGCTGTAGTTGACAACCGCACTGCCCCCAGTTGAGAGCCGACGAAAATTGGCTTATATTTCTCCATTATTGCGTCTGCATCGTGGAAAGTTAGTTACTATCGTAGCATGTTTGAGATGATCCCGCTTTGAATGTTGACTGCGAGAAGAGAATGAGAAGAAGGAGCACAACGTAAAGAGTGACGGCACATTGGAACACTTTTAAGAACGAAGGAACAGAGTATTAGGCATACTTACGTCCATGTTTGCCATGTTTCTTGGCGAGACAATAACAATGGAATACCCATAAAACCAGGTCTCGCACCTTTGGGCCAGCCCATGGAGAGGGAGCGCAATGGAAATGAGGCAGGGCCTATGGGGACAGGACAGGGCCTATGGACACGGCACCCCATGCTGCCAGTATGAAAAGGGGGATGTCGCTTCCCTTTTTTCATTCTTGTTTTGGCACCACCATCTCTTGCGTCAAGCGTCGGTATTCCTGAGATGTAGTATCCCAACGAGACAAATAAATCGTCGAGTGGTGTATAACAGTGTCTGAGTTAATGGCCCATTTCGGACGTGACTGGGTTGTCAGATGGCCCATGGAGAGCGCATGTGATGCAGCCCTCCCCGTGGTCCATGGTGGGCAGCGTGCAAGTTGGTTGTCTCATCTTTCGGCCCCAACGAATCGTCTAAGGTAACGATGTATCAAGCATACGGTAAGAAAAACGAGATCCTGCATCGCGGGTAGAAGATCGTCTGCCAAGGGCTCGGCGATGATGAGATTTCGCCTTGGAACACGGCATCTTGAAAGAGTTAACCAGGCTTGTCGAGCATGAACAGACGTTAGAGGGTGAAGGTTGAGGGAATCAAAGGTGGATCAATTGATGTGGTTGGGAGAGCTCGGTGAGGAAGGATAGCGTTGTGCGGGGTAAACCCCTGTCCTGTCCTGGGCGGGTCTCTGTGTGCTCCAAAAGTGAAGGTATTCTACTATCGGGGTAGTCTGGCCACCCCAGTTTTCGTGTGACGTGTTGAATAATCCGCTGCAAGGTGCCCGCTCGATGTCATCGCGCGGGAGAAAAGCTTCCAGACGAGGCACTACAGAGAGGCTACATTTGTTGAAGCTCACTTAAGGCCGCCTACCTTTCCGCAATGGCCGACACATCTAGTTCTCCGAGTCACCCATACGATGATTCCTTGGATCTGCGGGTCGAGGATTATCTTGACGACAAGCTTCAGTCAACAACTGATCTCGACACTCTCGATGAGCTTCTGGCGAAGGTGGAACTGCAGCAAACCCAACTCCAATCACAGCTCGATGATGCGGCGAAAGAGCTCGAGGATGTGAAACGCAACGCTAGCAACCGCCAAGAGTCTCTCGCCTCTCAAATCCGCGAATTCCAGAGCCTGCAGCAGAGCATCGATGTCCGCGTCCGGGTGGCCGCCGAGTCCGACGCACCGAACGAAGCGATTCAGCGCTTACAAGTACCTATGAAGAAGCTCCGGGCGGTCAAAATCGTCCAAAAATATCTCGAGCTCCTCCAGGATGTCGATAAGTTACGGGCCGAGGCCCGCTCCACCTCCCCGAAAGTCCCAAGGCTGCCCTCCAGCCATATACGAAGCTTCGCAAACTTGCTATCCGACTACGCGAGCTCCAGGAGCCTGCAGATGACGCAGCAGTACATCTCGTGACGCACGTTACGATCGTAACTGACCTACTTTGGGACGAGATGAAGAAAACCATGTCTAAGGAGATGGAAGCGGTGCTGAGCGCTCGAGGCTGGCCGAATAAAATCGACCCTGCCCATGCCGAGATGGACGACGAGTGGTTGCTTTGTTTCGACAAACTCCTTGATCTACAGCTTCCGGAACTCTTATACAGTGATACCGTGATACCCCTCCTGCCGATTGATGTCATGTGCGGCCTCTTCGTCTCCGAGTTTCGATTCCATTTCCTTAGCGACAAGCCCACCAGCAATCCACTAAGCATCAACACACACTGCCTTCCCTGGTTTCTTGCTCTCCTACACAAATGGGAGGACTTCTTCAGTGATAATCTTGGACCGTCCCTGGCTGAGAAATTCCGCGATACCGTTGCTGCAGACCGTATTGTCTACGTTGACCCTATGTGCGCTCTCATCACGTCGATGCTACCCGTATTGCGGGAAAAGTTGAAGATTACCATACGCGAGGCCGTCAAGACCCCAACATTCCTAAGTAGCCTAGTAGGCCAACTGATGGACTTTGATGACAATATTCGATCAAACTTCAATTATGATACCGGTGCACCTGGCGGCTGGGGTGGCCTCACGGCCGAGGTTCTGGATGAATGGTTTGAACCGTGGTTCCAAGCTGAGAAACAGTTTGCCTTGGAGCGGTTCCGTGCCATCATGGACTCTGCAGACGCTAGAAACATGGATTACAATTACGGCGGTCTAGGCAAGACGAAGCCAACCCATGGCGCTACTCGGGTTACCGACCTGCTGAGGTCCGTGACCTCACAGTACCGTCGTGTCCCGAAATTCAAGCACAAGCTACGGTTTTTGATTGGAATCCAGCTTGACGTTTTGGACGAGTTCCACGACAGGCTACGCGGCTCACTCGAAGCCTATGGTGCAATCAACTCTGCCGTCGGCAGAACTTTACACGGCGTCACAAAGGAGCAGATCGCCGCTCTTGAGGGAACGGGCCAGCTTGAAACATTGTGCAAGGTGTTTGGGAGTTCAGACCATATCATTGCAACCCTGACGGATTGGAGTAACGAGGAATTTTTGTCAGTCTGTGGGATCAGCTACAGTCAAGGTCTAAGACTTCGGACGAGCAGCGTGTGCTGTCCGGGGAGATCAGCTACGAGGAGGTCAAGGACAGGACCTCTAGCGCTATAGGCTCGAATACGGGTGATGGTGGCCTATTTGACGAGACGATCGCTGCATATACGCTTCGGCGCAAGGCCGCGCGCGATTATATCGAAGCAGCCCTTGTTGACTCTCAAAACAAGGCATTCCGCGCATACCTTAGTCGGACTCACTGGACCCCTGCATCAGAAGATCATGCTATAGGTTGGTGTTGTGCCCGTCTATCTCTGTGGAGCGCGTCCGGTGCTAATAGCTTTGACAGACCCGAGCCAGCTCACTATCACAGCCCAGCTCGACGAGCCGCTACGAGTGAGTTACCCAGCCATACCCTTTTCCCGTTAAAGGGATAGTCTCATGTTGACACACATTTAGATTCTTAAACGCAACCTTGACTTCCTCACTCGGGCGTTGGGGACCGCCCCTTTACGAAGGGTCTGGCGTCACACTCTCGAGAAACTCCAAGACACTCTGTGGTCGGATATCCTCACAAGACAGAGCTTTACCGCTCTCGGGGCCGCCCAATTCACACGTGATCTAGATGCGATCTGCAGCTTGGTCGAGAAAACGATCCCTGGCAGCTCATCGGCCCTGGGGAATGTGCTTGAGGGAACCAAACTGCTTAGTCTCCCTGTAGTGGCCCAAGAGGGTGGACTGACTTTGAAAGAAGCCACTGATAGAGTGTTCACCGATAACGCTGCAGCGAAGAGTGTTCTAGAGCAACTGGATATCGAACTTCTATCCCCAGCGAATGCTCGCCACATCTTGCAGAAGCGAGTTGAAAATGTAGAGTAACCGGCCACCATGAGGGGAGGGGCTTCGTTACTTTCCACGGAGTTTTCAGCGCCTCAACGTTTGTCCCCCTCAGATTAGAATGAGATGGTGGAGGGGAGTGGGTGCGAAAACAATCATTCATAGACTTAGATACCGCACAGCGCATACTTTCTGTTTCAGTTTGGATTATATTTTGGTTCGAACCTAGGTAGATCTTTGTTTGGGGAAATGAGCCTCGACAAACCCCTCGTTATGGAAAACAGATGATGAAAAGATTCTTTTCTCCAGACCATTCTGATCTAATTCCCGAAGGGGAGATAGGATCTAAACAAATACACGGTAGAAAGGGAATGGGTATTGCGAGAACGTGTAACTGAACTCTAGTTGATCGCCCTCATCGTCATCTCTACAACCGCGAATGTGCCCGCGCTGACGGGCATGGCCCTCAGCAGCGTGGGGCCAATGCCTCTCCAGAAACCCCTTGCACCCTCAGTCCTGAAGGTCTGCGCGATGCAGTCCCTCGTGGTCTTGTACTTCCTGTTTTCACCGAATCCGTCGGTCTGCATCTTGCTCTTCACGACATCGAAGGGGTAGCTGCCAAGCCACAGCACCTCTCCGGCGAGACCACCGTAAAAGGCAACGCGGTAGCTGGGGATATCCTTCCTTTCGATGGCGTTGCGCCTGGCATCGGCGTTCATGAGATACTCGAAACTCAAGAACCAGAATCCGTATGCGAAGGCCTCTCGCCAAATGGTGATGGCCTCGCCGCGGTAGATACCCTTGAGGGCGCCATCGTGCGCGCTGAGCTTTCGCACACAGTCTAGCGGGCCGGAGTAGAGACGATTGGCACCGTGGGGTTGCGTCTGTAGCCTGATGCGGACGTGCTCAATAGGGCCGGAGAGGAAGGAGTTGGCAACACCGGCAAAGGCGCCGGCGGCGAAGTACTGGCCGTAGGAGAGGGTGGGTGATTGCCCTTCGGCGGCGTTGCGTTGCTCGAACCAGCGGCGTGCCTGGTGGAAAGCACCAAACTGGATGGAGACACAAGCGCCGATTCCGAGAAGAGGCGTGAGAGTACCTTTGTAGAAGGCGAGAGCACCCTCCGTCTTGTAGATGGAGGTGGCGGCCGAGAGGGCCGAGGGTACTGGTTGGAGGTCTGTAAGCGGACCTTGACGATGTCAAACGGCTGGCCTGAGTACGAGTTAGCGTTTCTCGTATATCCTTGAGTTGCACACAGGGCGGGGATGATAACTGAAAAATTATATATATATATATATATAATAGGAAGAAACCTACCGATGAGAACTTGGGCCACACCTCCAACGGCGCCGGCGAAAAGGTCCTTGGCGGTCTGGAGGGCAGTTTGCTTGCCCTCCGGTTCCGGAAGAGACTCAGTCATGTTGTCGGAGCCCGTACCCCTCCTGGGTTACAAGGGCGGCAGATGTGAGGGGCGCCGTAAGATGGGATGAGTCCGGGGCGGAGTACGAGAGATTTACGAACGGATGGGTGAAATATAGAACGAGGTCGAATGGCCTGGAGCACTAGAATATGAGAGGAATTTTAAGATTTTGTCTCTCCTTCTGCGATAAGAAAAGCGAGGGGTACCTGCATTGGTTGTTATTAACCCGAAGCGTCTTCGGTCCTCTGATGGCGTGCTGGTGCCAAGGGCAAGCTATTGAGGCATATCCATTGATGCATTACCTCTTTAAGAACACTTTATGTATTTGTCGGGGGATATATCGGTGTCTCTTAGCGCCCTCGAGCGCCACCCTCGACAGAAGCAGAGACCCCGTTCAAGCCAAGGGTGAGCTGTGTTTGGATTAGAGGGTGTCCAAAGTTATAATCTACTTTGTCAAATCAATTTCGAGAGGGCTCAATGGTTTTGACTGGTTTGGCTCCTCTCCCTGCTGGTGTCTGTGCGACAGAGCTAGCCTGTTTATACTCTGTTAACATGCTCAATGCACAATCTGGGTTGAGTGGCGCAATGGTAGCGCGTTGCTTTCCGGTCTTCACTTGGAAGTTGGCAAAGGTTCTGGGTTCGAGTCCCAGCTTGATCGACTCTTTTTTGCACTTTTTGTTCCACATCGGTATTGCCAACAGAAGCACGATTGTGAATTAAGCCCTTTCTATTTGTTTGAAATAACGAAATTTTACAAGGAAAGCAAAACTCCTTCTGCAACGAGATGGGTGGGCCAGTCCCCTTGGTAATAAAAGCCGAACTACCGAGGTAGTCTAGTGATATTCGCTTATATGTGAGAAGCAGGAGGAATTGAGCCCATATCATCTGGGGGCGGCATATAAAGACAAGTGCTCGGAGTTGATGCAGTGATGCCAGAGGAGTGAATTTGATCCAGTCGATCGGGGATATTGATTGGCTTTCATTATACAAAAGGTCTGAGTAGAATAATACATTATAGCAACGACCACATGTGATTTTGATACAGAGAGAGAGACAGTCTTTGATCCAGCTCGTACACGATAGACGCCACCACCCTTCTATCCATCCACTTAGACAGATGAGTAAACAGCGGTTACGAGTCCGCCGCATTCCACCTTTTGTTCCGCGCTCACCTTCCTTCCCTTTCCGTTATCTAGCCTTACGGTTCGTTTAGGAGCGAGTTGCAACCTCTGGTCACCGCCCGCAACCAAGGCATCGTCGGTATTCCGCGTCGAGGAATCAAGGCCGGCAATATAGGTAGGGGCATTGAGGTTGGTTCGCTTGCCAGTTCCCAGTTGGTACTGCTCATTGCCACCCCAGAAAAGCACGTCACCGCCGTGGTTGACTCCGTCACGCGAGCGACGCGCAGAGGCTTTGGCATCCATCACGGCGCAGACGTGAGTGGTCCCGGCGGAGAGGTGAGAGATCTTGACGGGAGCGAGCTTGTTTGTTGACTCGTCGAATTCAAAGACAGATGAGAGAGACTTGACCTTGACGGGCTGGGAGGCCGCATGCACGAATTTGCCACCTCCAAGGGTCCCAAAGAGACCACTTCCACAGGCCCAAACGTCAAAGGTCTGGGGAGGACTGTCCTTGGCAGCGGGGGCCACAGTCCCCGAGGTGAGAACTTTAGTAGCGTCAACCGTGAAAAAGGTAGTCATACCACCGGCTGCGATGGAGGTCGCGCGGGGAACGTAGTTGGTTTTGTTGTAAAGTTTATCGAGCTGAACCTCGACGGGGGTGTCTACATATTGATGTCCCCGGCTGGTTGCGAAGCCAAGTTGGCCGTATATATTGTCACCAAACACAAAGACCTTACCAGTCTTGGATAGAAGAACGGAGTGAAGATCACCGGCGGCAATTTGGGTGATTGGGATGTTGGAGAGAGTGGTAAGCTCGTGGGCCTGGTCGTAGTCGCCCGAAGGTCGTGTCTCCCAAGTCAGGCCCGGTACGCCGAGCTGGCCCTTGGACGGAAACTCCTGAGTGCTTGCGGCAGCAGAGAAGACGCGGCCCTTGGAGGTGAGCATGATGCAGTGCTCGAGGCCGCTGCTGACCTCGACGACCTTTTCGCCGCCTTTCAGTGCGGCAGGGGTAATAAGCCTGTAGTTGATAGTCTCAGGTTTGGATGAAGAGCCCCAGAGGGAGCCCTGAGGGGTGAGCTTTTGGCCGCTCAGCTGGTCTTGGCGAGAAACGGGGACAGAGTAAACGCTACCGTTGGAGGCGAGAGCAAGTACACGGTCAGAAGAAAGAGCTACCTTGACGAGATCCTTGCCCTGCAAGGTCACGATGGGCTCGGGGTTCGAAATGGAGACTGAAGTTCCCCAGAGCACAAGGTCACCCTTTTCGTTGATGGCAGCCCCAACATCAGCTTTAAGCTTCAAATCCCGGAGAACCTGGTCGTCGAAAAAGGAATTCGGTGGGGGTCTTGATAATGGCCTCATTCACGCTGGGGTCTATGACTTTTCCAGCGTTCGATCCCCAGGCATAAACGCCTGGGTGATCCCAGCTACTCTTGATAGGCGTGTTCTCAAGGCTGGCGGCAGTTGGAAGGTCGACTGGGGTCACCACTTTAGGCGCCTTCTTGACCTTTTAGGGGCTCGGGCTCCTTTGCGGACCCGTTGAATTTGGGGTAGAGATAGTAGAAGGCGCCAGCAGAGACACCAAAGGCGGCGAGGAGGCCAAGTACGGGCAGACCATTTCGGGTGGGCTGCTCTCCGGAAAACTCGGGCTGTGGCGGGCCTTCATGCACCAGCCTTTGAAGACGAGGTTGTGGCCGGAGAGCTCTCCATGTGCTGGCTGGTCGAAGGGGAGCCTGGCGTAACAGCACGCCGCCACGGTGAAGGGAGCTCATGCTGATAAGTAAAACGTGGATAGCTGTCCCATCAAGGCGTAAAAGCTATGAGATGGAAGTTTTTGCGACAGCCGAATGAGATGCTGAACAATGAAGCTTTGTGATGAAAACTCGTGTTATCTCATAGGCGCGTCAAAGCTCGAGGTTGACCAGCTGTGAGCAGCTGCGTCACATGGGACTGGCTTTTGGAGCGGGCCGCCACCCCGCAGCCACGATTCCGAGTCGGGGAGCTCCCAAGCAGCGCCCATCCCACCATTTTGGGGAGCTGTCATCAGTCAGTCTCCGACCCTAGAGGAGCCAGGAACTTTAGCTTTCACTCAGGGGCCCCAGTAGGCTGCGCAAAGATGTACGAGGATTCTTCATGGTACAGCTTTGTCCCAGACCTCACGAGCAAAAACCTGCTGCATCCAATTCTGCGCAAGGCCACAAGCGGAAAGAGTCCCTGTTGCAGCAGCCAAATGTGCGAGCCTTTGCCTTTTTCCCCTTCCCACCCGCCGCCGTTGGGACGTTAGCTAATGCGAAACTGTGGATAGGGGACAGATGCCGCTATACGCCAACCTCCTACCCTTACACAAATTTTAGAGAAGGACGATGGGCCCCCAGAACCCTCCGTGGCCAGGCGGGCCTGCTCGTTTTCCGATCTCCGGCACCTCTCTGGCGCCCACGACCCTGTCGTGCGCTTGGCGCGTAGAACGGCGTTGAGGAAGCCTGAGCAACGGAACTGGGATGCCCTAGACCTTCCAAAATCTGCGCAACGGGATGAGCTTGCTATACTACCGATCCTCGACACGAGCACGGCTCAATTGCTACAAGAAAGCAGGAGGGACTACAGGTGGGACAGATAGAGAGGCATAAGAGTTTCTGAAGAGGTGCTGACCGAGGTTCCCTCTAGCTTATATCGTGATCAGTTGACGTTGGCAGAGAACCACCTTGATTCTCTCATCCAGGATGCCAACAAAAGCCTCGCTCTTCTCACCACCCTCTCGACGTCCTTTGAGTCCGTCGAAGCACAAACTACGTCCTTCCAGGCTCGCTGCGATGACCTCCTCAAGGACCAGTCTCGACTAGAAACCCTAGCGAGCGACGTAGGGACCAGTCTTTACTATTACGCCTATCTCGATAATGTTAGCAGACGCCTCAACGCGCCCGGCGCGAGTCGATTAGCGGAGCATGAAGACCTCGCAGAAGTGCTCGATCATCTAGAGAGCTGCATAGAGTTCATGACAGAACATGTAGGTGCTCATTACACCCATAGTCACCGCCAAAGGCACTAACACAGAGTTTGCAGCCCAACTATAGAGATGCCGAATCCTACTTGGCTCGGTACGAGGCTCTTTTAACGAAAGCATTACATCTTCTAGAGGTTGGGTTTTCTAAGCATCTGGAGTCCGTTTCGCAAGACATAGCGCGACAGCTCGGTTCCACACAATCCGAATCCACCATATATGCTTTAGTATATGGTCGGTTTGAAGAAATGGTGCTAGATTCGTATTCACTGATCCCCAACGTCCGTAAAGTTATTTCGAAGGTTTATGAGGAAGACGGAAGGCCCAAGACCGGGACGGCCTCCGAGATCTATTTGAATACGGCCAAGAATATCTTCCACTCCTATCTTACGACCCGCGATCGCGATCTTCGGTTATCCGCGCAGCGAGAGGTGGAGGCCTTTGAGAAGGAAGCCAAAACCCCTTCAATAGAGACGGCTTGTCGTACCTATACCAAGCAGTGTCTCGAAGGAGCTTACAACGAAGATAACTTATTGAACGCGATATTCGCGATCGATCCACTTCCGAGCACATCCAGCGAGTCCGCCTTCCACGCCCTGCGATCAGGGCAAAGGTGGTTGATAACCCCTGCCAACCTCAAGCCCCTTGCCACTAGTGTGCAGGCGGCATTCCAAACCACGGAGCTGCGGATCTTGTGCAACTACGTAAGCTGGTTGACTCACGAGTATCTAACCTCGGACTACTACGAGGACGAGTCACCTTTACGACCAAATGCCGCCAGTATACGGCGTCGCTACTCTCGGATTACTTGTGGGCTTTTGTGGATTCTCGCTTCGAGGCGGAGACTACGGCGTCGATTGCAAAGGCGGAAGTTCCAGCAACAACAGAAAATGCCCACCAGGTCCTCAAGGTCGCGATTGAGCTTCTTGCTATGTTTGATCAGTGCATGCCAAAGGAGCGCTGTGTAAGTAGCGGCCGCTGTCCTCGAAACCCGTCGGAACCAACCTGCTAATCAATATCTCCAACAGCAACAAAACAGTCCAGTTGTGTTCAAGATTGTTCGCGAAACTATCAATGTGCTGCAGCGTGTTGAAGCAAAGATCAAGGGCGGCAAGTCAGGGCTCGATGCTGACTTGTTCATGATCAAGAACCTTCTCGTCCTCAAGAATGAGCTCGTGTCTCTCGAAATTGGAGACATCCGTAGCGAAACAGCGCCCCTGCAGCATTTCAGCCGGGTATGGGAAACAGTGAGCCCTGGTAACTGGCTAGGCTTCTTCGGCAATATTGTAGGCGCGGGATCCCTGTGGTCTCGTGGCGCGCCTGTAGTAACGGCCAAGACGCTCACGGTTGAGGACATGAGTGAGCAGCTTGATGAGCTACTTCGGCAGTCTATCTACGCCTTCGCAAGGCAGTGGGCAGCGCAACTTAATGCCGCTTCCAGCCGCGCGGCCGGCGCGCGCCCGATCGGCAAGGTCCAGCAGGATCTGGACCAGAAGTTGCAGGGTGTGTTTAGCGATCAGCCCGAAGTCAGTGAGAAACTGAGAGAGGCAATCGATATCAACGCGCAAGCCCTCAATGATGCAGAGGCCGAGAAGAAGGGAGCTAGGAGGTATTAAAAAGAAGAAGAAGAAGAAGAAGAAACGAGATTTACGAGGCATTAACAACTCAAGACAGGAACAAGAGGGCTCTTTTTTAGTAATATAATTGCATGATGACAGAGCTGGGACGTGTAGAACAATTCCTTTTCAAGAAGCTTTTAGGACTCTTTGCATCTACCCCAGCCGCAGCAGAATCCCCAGAAGGCGGGGTTGCGCTATTCGGTATCCCCGGTAGGACTTTCCATTGTCTGTCTCGATCATATATCTGAGAAGTCCAGCTTCGCGAGGCACGAAGCTAACTGCTGAGATCTTCTAGCAGGGCTGCTTTCAACATCAAACGTCTCATTGCCTGGCTGGGAGCCTCATCGGCACGAAATGTGGCGTACTAGCCAAGACCAAATGATAAACCCACGTATACTTTTAGAGTTTCCAGCGAGCCGACATCGCCTCGTGTGCCGTTGATTAGTTTCGGCCCTTTAGATTAACTCATTGTTAACGAAGTTGATGCTTGGTAGAACTATGCACTTGCAACGGTGGTAATGCCCAACGGCGCTTTCCATTCAGGGCTAATATACCGAGCTTGCCAAGGTACCATTTGCACGTACTCGGGAAGGATCAATTTGGTAACGCAACCTACTGCATATTAACACCAGCTCCGGCAAGAGCGTTTGACTATTGATCCCACGCAAGACTGCATCCGAGAATCGCGAGTCTTTGTGGTAAGACTTTTCATTGCTGATCTATGAAACTGACAAGACTCCCAACATCGAGGCTTGTGAACATGCCGTGCCAGATATTGTTCTGAAATTTGAGCTGTGTCCCGTCGTTCAACGATTCCCAACCCTCTCCATCAATTGATCAGTTCTAACCAGCCCAAAAACGCTTTTGGAGGGAGTCGAGGACCGACCAACCGGGATTGATTGAAGGGTTCCTGGGCCTGAAGCGGGCCCAGTGGGGGGACGACGGCCTGGTTGGTCAACACGGAGGGACAAGCAGGGCAAAATTGCATGGTCAGCTGGGGAGGACTTTCCAGGGGGTCTAATTAAAGCAACCCTGACCAGGGGCACCAGAGACCTGGGAGCCTCCGGATCCCCCATCCCTTGACCTGGACATGGGGAATAGAGCGTCCGGAGCACAAGTATACGCCTATCCGTGAAACACGAGGAGAGAAATATGACCAGTTTTGGGGCCCCTTGAGAGGGAAAAACATAGGTCATAAATGCACCGGAAACTGTTGCACGCACTAGAGCAAGCCGAGAATAGCGCAGGAATACATTCCCCGCCCTAACCTAGTGTATTACCATGCGGGCTCATTGTTAATACTTCCTTTGGAACGGGCTTGAGGCCAAGGGCGGGTATCGCATGGGGCAGAGCCAATAATCATAAAAGATTTGTTGACCAAAATCCAGGAAGTCAAGGTACACTACATATAATGTCAGTTGAGCGTTTGAGACTTTGATGAATTCGAATAGACGCCTGGCCGCTTGTATTCGCTTCAAATTCGAACCGGGCTTGGGCTTTGCGGTGTGAGGTGAGTGGCTGGCGTGGGCGCTTGTGTGAGGCAGGCGTGCGGCGTGTGGTGTAGTGACTCCGAGGTCTCAGCTCAACCGTACATGTATAATTTGAAGGAAGCTGGAAGCTCAGGGCGAGGACGGCTGATTAGGGAAATATATTTCGGCAAGCCACCAGAACGGACGTGCCCTATGCAGATCCAAGGGACCAGTGAAGAATCGGAAGCACGGCCGCTGCAATCTCACAGACGACGCACTAGCATCTCGACTAGGGGAGCTGGTAATTCGGGCTTCTCTCAATGTCACTTCAAAACATGACGGACAAGTGGAAGAATCTGACACGCGTAGAAGAGCGTGCATGTGTGGATGGAAAAGCAATGGAAATCAGAGCCAGTGACAAGCGAGGAACCAAGGCACGCGAATACCTCATTCTTTGAGATATTATTAGCGAGAGGAAGGAAAAGGGGGAAGGGGACAAGATTAGCAAGGACCAATGCTGGCCACATCGACACACATCAAACGCGAAAGCCTCCTGGATTCCCTCACTTTCTCACCCTCGTTGTGTGTCAACCAGACTGGGTGTTACAAGGGGAGGGGATGAGTGAGGGGAAGACAGAATGATCAATCAATTCGAGTTGGATTGATCAGGATACGGCAAAAGAAAAGGAAAGGAAGAAGAAAACGGGCAGGAAAAAAAAGGGCGGCTTGTCCTCTTGCAGGCGACATTTCTTTATTTTTTATATTTTTATTAAAACAATAGATAGGTCTATAGATATTATGTCCACCGTCCAGACGCCAACACACCCTATCAATACCATCATGATTCCTCGTCTCAACTGGGCTGGCCTTCCTCGTTGTTGCCCCCTTTGAATCGCTGACCAACGTGTATATTCCCCTTCATGGATCCCGAGGCCGGCCAATTGAATTTTGGCCACAACTCTGGTTGGATGGATGGCTGTATTACTTAACAGGGTATTATGGCCGGCAGCGCTTCCTGTCTTGTGCTGGGTCTCTCTGTCTTGGCAAGCAAGGCTTTTCAAGGTCACAGGCAGGACTCGAGGCATCCATCCATGTCACAAGGGCACATGGAACCTGCTGTCTCTTTCCTTCCCACTTTGTGCGCTGTCGTTCTTTCCTTCAAGCCACTGTGTCAATGATAGTGTACAAATCGAGTAGTTAACGGTCACTGCTGGTTGTTAGCACTTCCCCTCTGGTTAAACGCTTGCTGCGACAATTGCTCGCTTGGTTATCGGTGTGATCTAATGGATCAAATGTATTCTCTGCCTGCGCAAAGACGTGATCTCTGTTAATAGCAATGCACCCCAATTAGTTCAGCCCGCATATGCAAGCTCTTCCGCCAGCGCGAACTGGGACAAACCAGTTGGCAGGCGGTGGACGTCTAAACAATGATCGATTAAGAAAGCCGGATTAGTTAGCCGATAGCCAAGTTTGTTCCAAGACGGACTCAATCATCGAACTTGTGCCTCAAGTCCCACCCCTGCCCCTCCCGCTTTCCGTTGACGTGCTCCTTCGGCCTGGGTTGAAAATCCCACGAGGATATCCCTGTCCGTCCGAATCGATCAAGCTTGCCTGCTGCCTCCCACACCACCATCATGGCTTCCAGGAAATATCATCTTCCACTCTAATACTTTGAGGCTTCGGAACTTTCACCCCCACCATCCCCCATTTCTCCCTCTTTGAGAGAGACCGCTCAAAAGAAAAGGGGTCACACCTTGGAGAGACACGCGACCACAAACTGCGCTACCATCTTTGGCCTCCTGCCTCCTATCTCCTGGTCCTGCGCCATCTTGTTTCTCTTTTCCTACCTTCTCAACCTATCCCATTCCACTCCCATCTCCGTGCCTCTTCCTTCCAAGTTGTTTCCTCCAAGGGTTCTGCAAAAGACCCCCTGCTCCCGTGCGCCATCTTATCCCTGTCCCGCCTTGGTTTCGTTGCCTTCCTTTTTTTTTTTTTTTCCTTTGTTCTTTTCTTTCGCTATTGGTGTGTGCGTATTCTTTCTCTCTTGGCTATTGCATCCGCCACATCGGCGAGACACTTCTGTCCCACCAACACTTACCGTCTAGCCTCGCCCATTATCATTCTCCTCGCGAAGGTTTCCCGTTGCCGAACTCTTACCCCAACCACAGTTGCTGCCTCCTATCCCGTCTCGTTCTCAACTGCCCCCATAACCATGGATCGCATGCCCCGATTCCGCCGGCGCCCCAAGCTTCCGACCGTCAAGACTGACGCAAAGTCTATCAACGACCGAGATATGACACCCCGCCAGCCCCTGCGCCACTGACCGTATCCACGACAAACACGGCTACGACGCCCAAAACTGACAAGTTTCTCAAGGTGGCAGGGCTTAAAGGTCTGAACTTGCGCAGCCCCCATAAGCGACAACGGTCTCCCTCGCCCGCCTGCCTCCCTACGTCGCCCCCTCCGACCGTGGTGACTCATGATGTTGGGCGCGTGGTGTCCCGGTCACCAGAGGATAAGAAGAAGCGGGATAAATCTAGAGAGCCCTCCAAGCCAACCATCCTAGCCAAAGCAAGCAGGAAGGCTTCTTCCACCCCGAGCCCGACCGCGACGAACCCGAAATTAACGATAGAGGGCAACGACCTCCTCATATCTAATGACATGGATGGTCTTTCGGAGACCACGAAGAGCAGGGCCGGGTCGAGTGACGAGATGGACCACCCGTCGCATCCCACAATACCCTTCTTCTTAACGCACTCCGAGCTAGGTATAATTGGCACCTTTCCTTCCCTAGGCCCCATTGCTTCCGTGATGCGCATGCGGCCATGGCTAACCGTGACCCAATAGACCTCACAAACAAGTTCCAGGAAATCACGTGGAATGAGCGGAAGCGCCTCGCCTTTGGCGGTTGCGTCCTCGAGAACGCCGACTCGCCCCGATCGAGCCCGAGCTCCCAGCCTGATCTGCGCCGTATCGGCATGGATCGTTACTACAATATCAAACCCTGGAGCCACAACCGTGTAAAGCTTCTCGTCCCCGAAGGCGCCCTCGATTACGTCAACGCCTCTCCAATAGTTCTTAAATCACCTTCCGACTCGGAACTTGCGCCGTTTCGCTATGTGGCCATGCAGGGACCTACTCCCCAATCCACCGATTCCGTCTGGCGCATGGTGGCCGAGCAGCTTGGTACCACGGCAGTCATTGTCCAGCTCACTAATATGGTGGAGAATGGGGCGCAAAAGTGCTTCCCGTACTTTCCACACCTCGAGGCGGAACCTACATGGGTGCTAAACGAGAAGGATGTATGGCAGGACGGCTGGGCCGGCAGTCTCACGTTCAAGGAGACGCAGACGCTGGCGGATGGCGACATCGAAGTTACAAAGCTCATCCTCCACGTGGACGGCGAGGAAGAAGACCGCACGGTTTGGCACCTTTTGTACACCAAGTGGCCGGACTTTGGCGTTCCTGCCATCGAACATCTCGACAGCTTCTTTGAGATAATGCGCCTCTCCCGCGAATACAATATGGAGGACAAGCCGCGTATTATACACTGCAGCGCTGGAGTCGGTCGCACGGGTACGTTTATCGCTCTAGAACACCTCATGCGGGAGCTCGACACTGGATACCTCGCGAACTACGACGCCAACGTGACTGGGGAACCGGATTTCATATTCAAAGTTGTCGACCTACTTCGGGAGCAGCGCAAGTCAATGGTGCAGGCAGAGATTCAGTTCCTATTCATATACAGGGTGCTGAGGAAGTTGTGGCTCGACAAGTACAGAGACACTGCCGATGGCGAATACGACGTGGAGCCAGCCCCCAAGAGGCTCGAGGTCTCGGATACATACAGCAGCGATTGAGCCATCCGCGCCGATGAAAAGCGTTTGGCCTCATCTTTCCTTTTCTCGACCCTTTTCCCGAAGGGTTCTTTCCTTGTTTTAGAGAGGTGGCCGCAGAGGCAGAGGGAGCGGGCGGATGATACCAGCCATGTATATCTTATACTGGCGTGCATAGATATATATATATTTTGTTTTACGGGTAGGGGCGTTTGGCGGGGCCAACACCCCCAACCTATGTATGAGGAGTTATAATGCGACGCTCTCGGGCAACCCCTTGTGATGGCGTCCTTCGGAAAACTACTTGTCACGCCTTCATCACGCAGAGTCGAGACAGCGTTCACGGCCTGGGCGAGGAAGGTGGAAGTAAGGAAGGACGAGCCCACCTCCGGGGCCGCGACTATGGGGGAAGGGCACGAGGACTTGTTGCTTGTATTGACGATCACGGTGTATATCATTCGGGGGAGATGGCGTTTTCTTTGGGGTTCGGGGTTTTTAGCGACATATATCTCGTATGCTTCATGATGAGTACTAGTAGATTGCAACGGCTGGATAGAGACTGAGTTTGTCTCATGACTGGTGACGTGAATAACATTGTCAACAGATTTAATACCACCCTTGTTCGTTTTCCACCTTCACCGTCCGTGTAAACGCCACCTCAAGCCGGCACTATCCTGAAGATAGGCTGTCCGTAACAACGACAAAGAGGTGTCAAGAGGGCCGACTGAGCTACAAGCTTAAGCAAGGAGGGAGATGGAGGGAAAGGGAGGGGAGAATATTTTGATAAGAGCGACTCACACGGAGGAGCCTGTGGTTAGAAGAAGAGAGGGAGAAAGAACGGCGAAGAGAAAACATGAATAAACGAATAGATAAGAGATCGTCTTTGCTATGCATCGACCTTGGAATGCTCCCGTCACGAGACGGTTCGTTATCTTAGGGGAATCTACGATCTGATGGGATCACAGCAAGGCCCCCAAGCTCGACGTTACGCGCGCAACGGTGACTAGGCATGGAACAGAGTAGGTGTGGAATGAGTGGATACGGCCTTGCTGCTTTGCCACCTTCACTTCCTTGCTCTTGATATCTTGGACCGTCGCGCATACGAAGTGCCAAAGTGCACCATCGCGCTCTCCTAGAGGGTGTCGGTTCCTCTCCTGGTATCGGTGCCGCATGCCGCAAGTATGACGTTTTATTTTAGGGAGGGAGCGGGAGCGGGCTGATGGACCTTTGGTGGCTTACAGTACTGCCACTTTCTTTTCTTCTGCTCCTCCTTGGTGTTACTCGGACGTTGACTTGTCACTTCAGGTTGTGAGTAAGTTTGCGATCCGTCTTACTTGCGTCCGTCTCACCCGCTCTACAGGGCCCGCTCCCGCTCTTCCGTCGTTGCTTAATTACGCATGAGCAGGCGGAAGGAGTAGAAATGGGCACATGCGCACAGGAAGCACAGGAAGCACAGGCAAACACGCATACACGCACACACACCTTGTCTCTCTCTCTCATTTTTTTTTTTAATAAACCCGCCGACGGGACAAATAATACTCTTTCACACCAAGAGTTTCCATACAGTGAGTTGGGGACGTGACGCTTTCATCGCCGCCCCCTCTCCCTTCCCTGCCCCATCCTGACCCTTTTGTACTATTTCCACCGTCATATCTCGCATCTATGCCGAATTAAAAACGGTTCACAAGTTCCCTAGCCTCGCACGCCCTCCAAACATCATTAACCGTAAAGGGTTACCGGTGGGCGAGAGAGCGGTGCGTGGCATGCGTTGAGTGAGAGCGTATACGAGAGAATTCGGACCTTTGCAGCCAGTGGCGGGCGGGCGAAAGAGATGAGAATGTATGTTGGATGCTTTCTGAAACTTGGATAGATAGCAGAACTCAGGCTAGCTTTCAGCCTTTCACTCACTGCCGTGTCTCCTCCTTATCTCACCTCTTCTTCCGGTCCAAGGCTGTCCCTTGGCGGAGATTTCTTCTTGTTCACGACGATACGGGGAGCGGGATATGGTTATTCGAGTCGGGAACGAGAGATCATAACAAATCTGGAGATCGGAAAAGGGTGGACGATACGAGATCTACTGTAACCACTGGGAGCGGGAGCCGCGGGTAAGTTCAAAGGGTTCTTCCCCCTTGTTGCGCGGTCCGTTGCAGGGTGACGTCTACAACAGATACATTAAGACCCGGCATCTTAATACCCTTGGGAGACTCCCTACCGATTCCCATTTTGCATGTGGGAGTAACACTGGGCGGAAGAAATGCCCCATGACATAGCGAGAGTCTTATTGATCACACAGCGTACGTGTAAAGTCCCGTGGAACATGGCAGAGACTCCTCCCTAAAAACGCGCACACATACGCACTACGCACTAAACAAAGGAGAAAAGAGCTCCACTCTAATGGGAATTGACAAGCGGAGAGAGGCTCAACGTGGTGTTATCCTTGGACTTGCTCACAAGTATGATGCTATGATGTTGGGGCAGAGGGGGGCGGCTAGCCGAGCACTGCTAGGGAGAGCTCAATAGGTGGGATATTATATACCCATGTATTCACCCGCGCATCTGGCCTTTCCTTGATCCAGATGTGTGAACGCCGAAGAGGGAGCGGTGTGTCGGTAGTTCGTGCCTATGGAATTAAACTACCGTTCTAAGATCCACTACTCTCTGTCAATCTCATCTCCTGGGCGGCACGAATGGGGGCTAGGGCCTCACGAACCGCAACCTTGGTACAGAAGGGAGTATTGGAGAGGAAGAAAAAAGGAGGAAAAAAATAGAAAAAAGGGCAAGAGATAAGGCCAGAAGCTAAAGATAGATAAAGAGCGTGAACATGACACTGATACATGCGTGCAAACTACATGTAGGGATGGGTGAAAGAATGCAACGATCTGGTTGCGAATTAACTGAAGATACTAATGAAAGGGGAAACGCCTTAGGACAACTTGCAAGAGTGGGGAGGAGCCCACTGTCCCTGGCATCATGAACATGTCAAATGTTTGGGAAGGGATGAAATTTTGAAAAGATCCATGGATGACAAGATAGGGAGGTCCATGCGAGCGAGGTTGGAGCTAGAAACGGCCTCGGGCCGGTTGAATATATTGGATGAAGAAATTGCTGGGCAGTCATTGGCAATCCGGCCAAGTCATGTTCCTTGCAAGAAGCAAGGCTTTGTGCATCCCCGTTTCATCTTCCACGTAGCCTTCGAGGTCGCAGACCGAAGGTGGCGCGATATGCGAACGTATGGAGCATCCGCGTATGTGGGTAGCACGGAGTTGGAGTGGAGGAAAAGGCGTGCATGTACGCACGGTCATACATCTATGGATTCATGTAACATCAATGCAGGTTGAGGTCACGCTACCGGAAAGGCAAAAAGAAAAAAAAAAAGAGATGAAGAGAGGCTCCAAAGTGAAAAGAAAAAAAGAGCCTGACACAACATAGGGACAGGAGCGAACGGCGGTCAAGGGCGGGCGACGAGGAACGGCACCACGGGAAAATGAGCGCTATTAGGCAAGGGAGGTGATGTTTGGAAGTCGGGGGATGGGACGAACTGCAATCTCTCTGCGACCTGATCATGTAGGGCTGGTGGGGACGGGTCTACGGCCGACCGGGCCCCGAAACTCTGTCGGGATCAGAAAGGACCACTGAGGCATCGAGACGTGACGGGCGAAGGCGGGGACCGCAGCGGGAAATGTGGTTGGAAGGCCCTGGGAGATTAGCGGACATGGAGAGAGTCGAGTGTAAGTGGGGAGGGGGAGGAGGGCTTTATCTGAACTGGACGCTTGGTGTTTTGCGTTTCAATGTCCCCTAGAGATTGATAGGCCAGGAGGACGTTGATGGTTGTGGGGATGGCGGTGGGCGGACCGCCGCGGCTAAAAGGGAACGATCAATGATGGTGGGAGGGAAGAGGAAGAAGGGCCCCGGTGGGTGTGGTGCACGGGGTTTGAAATGTTGCATTTCGGCCCGTGGAAGGGGATGACAAGTGACAAGAGACGAAAGGCCTGCGCCGCGGAGAAAGGAGAAACGAAGCATCTGCGGTATCTGGTCCTGCTCTTGCCAGAGGGCTGGCCATGTTGAAGTGCCGCGAGTCTGCGAGAGCGGGAGACCGGGGGGGAGGGGAAGCAAGGTGTCTCGAGCCGTCGTCGCTGCGAAAAGGATCGGTGATGACTTACACCGGCAATTGCACCCTTGCCCTGTTTCTTGACGTTTGCGCGTTTGACGATGGCCGGGCTGGGACTAGAGCATGAATCCTGGGGGAGAGGGGAGAAAAAAAGAGTTTGGGTATTCATATATCAGGCCAAGAGCCGGCACGGCTAACCTGGTTTGACGGATCAAACAGCCGATTAGCACATCTCACGAACCGCGTGGAGGTAGCTGGGCAACTATCGAATGGCCCTTGGGGTTCGTTTTGGGATTACATCAAGTAAACCATGGGTCAGGGTGTTCAATTCCAGTAAACCGCAAACTTCAAGTCCTCGTCTCTTTTGTTTGAGCTACAGTACCTTGTTGGGGGCCGGCAGCGGAAGAGACGCCCGAGACCAAACCTTGCACGGCACTCGTTGTCCGCGGTGTACGGCCAGGCTAGCTTTGTTTTTTCTCAAAGACTGGGCCGAAGGGAGAGCGGGACCCGTCCATCCGCGACGCAAGGATGGATGGTGATTTGTGACGACAAGTATCCATGTAGCGCATGTAGCACATGGATCAATGGATGGAGAGATGCCACCTTGCTTCGTTCTCGCGCGCCCATCTTGCCCATCTGTTGCCGATGTCTCTCGAAGTTAAAGCTGCCTTGAAATGGATCATTCCTCGAAGCCTTGTGCGAGGGTGTGGTGTATACTCAACCTTAAATTTGTTCCAAGAGATGGGCCCACGCCGTTCGGGTCAGAAGGCCACTGTCCGCCTTCTTTTGAGGTCTCGGGTAATACCATGCATATGAAGATCATTACCTATCCCGTCTTCTTCCTGAACTGGACCATGACATCTGGGAATCTGGTAATACTGCACTGACAAAGTCACCGCGGCCCACGTCGTTACCT